ACACGCACGCGGCCTATACATGCGTAAATACGGTATTTCAAGTCAACATTCTTTAGCTCTCGCAAGGTCCAAGGAATATCGGTACTTAGAATAGACCGCGAGTGCTAACAACACTAATTTCAACAATTCATGCACAGAAACTCCAAAAAGGAAGCGGTTAATAAAATGCCTTAAATTTCATAACTGAGTAGAACCATCTTCCAAAACGTGGTGAATAACAAATATAGCTCAGGGCCGAGCCATAGCCCAGGCGGTGAGTCGCCTGCTTCCCACGTCGGAGGCTCGGCTTCGATCCCAGTGGGATTTATGGTGGAAGAAGCGCGGCTGATTTTCAACGAGTACTGCAGTTTCCGTTGCCAATTTTCATTCCACAAACTACTCCACGCTCACAATCATCTGGAGCTGGTACAATAGGCCTACTTGTTGCAGATGTACCAAGTGACCTCAGCTCACCCCATCCCACAAATAAGAAAAATTCATATACATCAGACAACGGATATTATCCAGTATGACTGTTATTAGCCTACCTTCCTTATTTAAAACAAAACAAACTCCGTGGCCTGTAGTCCGCAAGCGAGCGACCGCCGTTTGTCGGCGAAATTAGTGGCAACTTTAGCGGATAGAGGGTGTCGCGTGGTCAGCGCAACAGATCCCCACGGCCGTTAATTTAGGTTTTCTAGACCGGAACTTTACTTATTTAAAATAAAAATAAAAGGAGGCTTATGAGATCATCCTGCTGCCTGTGTCCCCCCCTTAATTTTTGTTAGGAGGCTTATGAGATCATCTTACTGTGTATCTGAGTACGCCCCCCCCCATATTTTTTTCATTTTCTATGCTGTCCGTGTCGTACCAACGGAAAGTAGGAGATTAGTTCTTCCAAATACTTATTGTATAATTACTACAGTTTCGATCTAACTGGTGAGCCTAACGGGCCTTTTGAACTTACGAATACAATATGTATTAACGCGTTCTGAGAGTACTTTTGTGTACCTGTAAGGCAGCCTACCATGAATGAAACGCGCTTGAACGAAAGGTGTGGCTGCTCCATCAAAGATCCACTGACCTACGTTTGTAATGGATATGCAAATAGTTCACTTGGTTTATGGGTCTGTTGAAAGTTGACGTTCAACCGGATCAAGAGCTAAAGGTGCGGAGGTAGCTTACCGAATTACCCAGTTCGATCAGGGAGACAAGGACGGTTTCATTCCAAGGTTTCTTTAACGACGTGCATTAACCTCAAGACATGGTTCCTTAAGTTGAAGAGATCCGGTTCTCAAACGTGGGGCCGCGGAATGTAGACAAAATTAAACTACGCATACAAAAATTTAAAACATGACGTTCTGGAGTAAAGTTAAACTGTTTACACTGATTTATTTTCCTAATAAACGGGGACACTAATAGTTCCATTAGTCGGAAAGCATCACAACTCAGTATCTTAAATGGAGGAGGAGGTGGAAGACAACTAACAATGTGAAAACCTGAGGAACCTTTCTCAAGAAACAATGTGAATAAAATAAAATGTATCCTTTTTTCCCGCTATCACGGAAAAGGTCCTCTGGTCTGTTCTGATTCAGAGTTTATTCTGAAACATTCCATCCCTTAGGCATTCAGTAGACTTCTAGGATTGGAAGGGGTATAGGGGTTCAGTTCTTCATATGAACTTGACCTACATAGGATAATACAGCATGGAAAATGTGGACATAATTCATACCCGAGCGGGCTACAAATTTATCTATTTCCTTATGAAGACCACAATCCACTGGCCCAATTTGCCCATTATCAGCATAGTGGTACACTTCTACCTGTTGAAGGCTTAAGAGGATGTGACCTTTGTTAATGTTAGGTGCCTAGTGAGACATTAGACAGGGAAACAGGTATAAGAATCCCAGAATCCAATCTACTGACTCCCTAATATGAGGCAAATTATCTCTGTACAGATGTATGCTCCCTACAATATTCCAATACCCTAACAAGCCAGAGAAACATAACCCTGAATACAAATTTCCTGAAGGAATCTTAGGGTTTGTTACTTCGTTGAGTTATTAGGCAAACATAGCAGTCATCAGCCATATGTGATCTGGAAGGTTTGTGACAAAGATCTGGCATCATATGGTTCCTGCTCAATATTTCGATATATAGAGATACAACTTCTGCAGGCTCAAACTTTAAGACTGAGACAAACACAGACACCAAAATGTTGTATATTTATATAGAGAAACTGGACAATGTCCAAAGAGAATTATCCTATAACAATTTGCTTCAGATTTGATTGAAGCATACAACAATGTACTTGTTGTTGTTTATTGGAGAGGGTGGGTTTCCCCATGCACTTAGACCAGATATTGGTCCATTGTGTGTCCCCCTATGATATTCTACCAGTCTCTATACCCTACCGGTACTGGTGCGTGCCATCAGTCCCGACTCAGCCAGCGAGTTCGGTCTCTACTGGTTCAACGGTATCTCGATGCTTCCCCCCTCTACCAGAGGCGTTAGAGACTACTGTTGGGCGGGAAATGTCCTGAATTTGGCTCAGAGGTTCCCTTGGGACATGAGGTTCTTTTACGTGCTGTAAAGCTACGACACAGGACCCACGGCTTAAAGTCACTCCCAGAGGACTTGTTCCCTGAATTTTTCCGCCCTTAAAAATTCCAAGACCTCCGCCGGGTTTGAACCCGCGTACCTTGAGCCACTAACAATGTACTTACTAAACATGCTAATGCAAGAACAGTGTAATTGCTGGTTTTACTTAGAGCTGTAGAGAATATAGAAGTATGGATCATTCTATACTAGCTAAATAAGATGCCAGAGTTTGAGTTCAAACTCATTTTTAAATACAAAGATTTCAGTACATAATTTATATGCCAGAAGTATTTTTAGCCTGTTTTCCTTATTCTGAAAAAATAAAAGGAGGCTTATGAGATCATCTTGTTGTCTATGTGTTGGCCAGACAGGTAAACTGCTGCTGGTTTTCACCAGCATGGTCCCTCTTGGTTCGGAACCCCAAGAGACTCATGACCATATTTCACTGTCTCATGACTCTGGGAGTCATGCCACTCACCTGTCTGTCTATGTTGCTGTTTATATAACTTAAGGGTGTACCACAGAGAAAACACTGCCTCCAACAGCTGGATGCATCATTCTCTATGCAGTCCATGTCGTATCAAAGGAGAGCGGGCAATATCTTCCTCCTTGAACTTCCTGTTCAATTTGTTTTAACTTTTCTCTGCTGAAAATATGCCATCAGCATTGTGAAATTTCTGGAACTCAAGTGAATGTTTCCAAACACAAGTGGTCCCAGCTCAGTTCTGCACACCATTGCATGCTGTTCAACAGAACAATCAACAACCACTTTCTCTACAGCCGTAATTATCAAACACACTGGCACAGAAGTAACTCTGTGAACTAGCATCTGAGAATCCAACATTTTGATACCTGCTATTAAAACATAAATTTATCACTATATAAACTACTTCATCACGTACCACAATGATATAAAACTCTTGAAGAGACATACCTGTGGTCTTCCTATTTTCAGGATTTATTATCCTGTCTGGTACACAAAAGTAAAGGCTATAATATTCCAAAATTCAATTTAAGAGTAAAATAAATTCAGGAAAGCTTAATGTTATTAGGCTATTAATATCAATTACCGCACTTTCAAAAATACTAATGGTAAAAACAGGCCCCAAAAATTGTCTACATGTCTTAACAACACCATCTAAAAATCAGAAGACAATATGAAATTTGAAGAGGGCTGGAAACGTGTCAATTGAACTTTGTGGTTACAAAACATATTTTCTTATGGAAATTTAAAACTGTAACAAGTAAAGTCCAGTAATATTTATCAACATGTGATGCATGATAAAAAATTCAACAGGCTTATTTCTTGATAAGGACTGAAATATATACAAAGCATCTTCTCTCATGTGTCTGGAGTATAATAATTATAACCAGTGCTGGCATAAGCCTAAACATCTCCTCAGGCAATGAGATATTCTATTGCACCTGCATATCTCAAAAAAAAAAAAAAAAAAAAAATGTCAACTCTGCAAACTTCATCACAATCACTGAAATTCCCAGCGCTGTGACAAAAACTGTCAATAATATAATACATCTCTAAACAGGAGCAAAGGAAGCATCAGTAACATGGTGTCGTATAGCCACAGTGGATGCTGCACTGCTGCCAACTTGAGATTACAGAACTAGATAACAATTACAGTGCTGGCAGTTCACGGTTATATTTATTTACACTGCTGCATACCATGTTTAGCTGACTGCCATCTAAGGATCACAATATGAACAACAGGGCTTAATATTCAAACAAAAAATGAGCAGCTCTAAGTGGCTGTTTGGTTCACCTGTACTGTCAGCTGATTCCTATAAGGCACATATGGACTGGCAGTTATCACTTTAAAACAGTAGATACCTTTAGGCAGGGGAAGGGAGGGGGGAACTGGCTGGCACCAGTTCAGATAAACCAGTACCTAATACGCCAGAATGATGAAAAACGTGCCCCTGAAGCAAGCGCAGCCCAGTTGCATGCTATAAAGTATGCACAGGGCACAAAGAAGCAATTATAGGCCCATTCTCCATTCTGGAAATTATGGTAATAAAACTGGCAATTGACAATACTGAGCGCACACACTCTGGAGATGTCAATCAAAATATCTATACTTTCCTCTACACTGGTGACACAGTTTGAATATGAAGGCTACCACTTTTGTTAACAGCTAAATATGTGATCTACATAATTAAGTATAAAAGTGGAATTTTATTTGTATAAATCTTCAAATGCAAATAAATAAAATCTCTAAAATATTCCTTTATCAATGTCATAAAAATCACAGAATTTGGTAATTGCGAATTAATTCGAATGTTCTGTACACTCCTCGACGAAATGAAAACAAAATGCCATGAAATGTAAGGCATTCAGAAATATATATCTTACGCATAATATTTGCATGCTACACTCAAAAGCACTGCATTAGACCACATCGTACCTGAACCTTGGACACAACATCTGAAGTTGCCAGCTCTTGTTCCCTCTGATCACATTCAACACTGAGAAACACAAACCCCAACTTTGACACATCCTGTCTCTGCCCCTTTTTTTCGGAGAGGCGAACGGCAAACAAACAGCGTATTTTTTCAGCGTTTTCAAACACAAGTCTGACATTCTTTCGTCTCACACGTATACATGGATGCTGGCCCAATTCATCCATGTCTGGAGGATGTCAACCTCCATCTCCACGACTACATGGCGCCAAACTTCTTCCTTTTACACTACAACTCCACCTGCATCTCAGGTGGCCATCTTGCACGCTTCGCTCTTACTGCCCTCTCTTCATAGTTGTAGTAAACAACCTTAGCTCTTTTGATTACTTCTAATTTCCGCGATTTTAAATCATGGTTTACTACGTCTACGGTTGCACTGCACGTGAATTGTTGCGGCAAACTGAACAAATACGTCCGAATTCGTGCGAAATAATCAGACCCCTACATCTTATGATAACGATACGAGACGGGTGCTGGCGATTCTTCATGTTAACGTACGACCAACCAGTTTCGTTTCTCACCAGATATACTGCTCCATTCTGTGACTGCTATCCCTTTTAGAATCTTTTTTTTTCTGTAGCTATGCAAGCTCTGACACTACAAACTTGTATTCGGTCGTCTAAAAAATGAATTAGATTTCACATGCACCCCCTTTTTGAGCACTACCCTCGTGACCCCATTTTTTCATCAATCCTGCCATCTCTTTTTCTTGAAGCATTTCACACTCCAATAATACAAACCTGTGGAACCTGTGAAAAGTTACTTCTACTACTTCACATTGTGCATAAATGTACTTTGACATTATAGAGTAACATCAGAAGAATGAATTATCATTATTAATAACCTGCAACTCATAATTATCTAAAACTACTCAAAAAGAAGTAAATTGCACTCACTCCTATTTGGTGAATCTTTCATCTAGAGACATGAACTCACACGGCACTTGACTGTCTTTAAAATCTTGGAATATCCCCTCACCAAATGCAATTAAATGTTTCATGAGACATTTATTGGACTTTTCTGACAGGTCAGGTAAAAGTCACCAATATTCACCTTTCGATGACCACTCAATGAACAACACTCACCCAAACTACCTTTAATTGTTGCAGCATCAGTAATGTTAAAGAACTGTTTGCTACAAGGCAATAATCCTAATCAACAACCATGCTATTAACATAGCATAAAATGAGACCATGATCACGACTGATATAACACATGTGCAGAACCAGTCTGCAGCAACCATTAACATATGAGCAGGGCCCAGATTTTGATGACATGTCATCTTTTTTTCTTTATGTAGTAAACACTGCTTTTAAGTACTAAAGCCCCGATTATGAACCTCTGGTTATAAAAATGTGAATTTTATTGTGCATTTTTTTGTCATATTTTGTATGTTTTAAGTTTTAGGTCATTTTTACAAGTTTTATGTCATTTTTCGCCATTTTTTCACGTTTTTTAACAATTGACATTCATTGATCAAACTGAAGATATTTGATTCGTGAGGTAGAAATCTATGTTCTTCTAGTAAATTTTATTTTGTATCTCCAGCCTCTATCTCTAAATATAATAGACTAGTTTGTGAGAGGGCACATTATTTTTCTTTCTAAGCCAGAGATGCCGTTACTGTCCTGTGCCACTTTCTAAGCCACCGCTATGTCATAAACTCATAAAATTGATGCCTCAGAAATGCAGAGGGATAGGTTTAAAGAGATGTCCGGGTGTCATAAAATCAAGAAATTGGAAACTAATTTACACAGTCCGCATCTACCTTATTTTAAGAAAATGTAGAAATTAGTTTTTAGGTCATTTTTTAAATTTTTTTGGTCATTTTATAGATCATTTTTCAGATATTTTTAGGTCATCAAAATCCGGGTCTGCATATCAGTAGGTCATAACTACATATATAACTGGCAATACAAAATAAACATCTAAAAAAAATGCTTCATATTAACAGTATTTCTTTTCTTTATTGGTGCTTCAACCCCACGTGGGTCTTCACCTCCTCTATGTTTTGTAACAGTAAATTTTTCCAGGGTGGGGTCAGTAGCCCCATGCCCAATCCCCAACCTGATGAATCAGGAACTACACTTCATCTGGTTCCTACCCTTTAACCTGTCTGGCATGGGTGGCCCTACCAGATTACACTCCCACAAGCATAGTTCTCTGGGTCACACTTACCTGTTATACATGACAAGGCAGCAGTCCTCAAGGAGGATTTATAAGTATATTTGGAAAACACCACCATGCTAAATTTCTTTTCAACATAGCAAAGAAAACTAGACCAACATGAAATAAAAATTCAGAAAAATAACTCAGCCATGAAGTATCCAAAGAATTTAAGTACAACAGAACAAGTGAAGAAAACACCACACGCTGCTAGAGGGAACAATGCACAAGGGGCAAAATTACAGTTGCAGGCATAACACAACAAAAGGCTTACGTATAGAAAAGCAGGCTGCCGCAATAAAACATCTGAAGAAAAGGATACAGACCAAAACAAGTGGATGATGCCCCTTGTGAGATGTAACAAGAATTTTACAAAATTTAAAGAAAATTTTAATAATTTTATTTGATTTAAATTAAGTGAACTACAGCATGTGCTGTTTTAGGACACACGAATTGACTACAATTATGATGTTTTAAACCATGAAGCATGCAGTCACAGATGTGACGAATGGACAACATTAGTGCAGTGTAGCAGTTTTAGTATAGAAGACACTTGACGATGGCCATTTAGGGTCAAAACGTGTTGTGTTGAAAGTGAAAGTGTAAGAAAGAAGGAACAATTTGTTGCATTGTTGACAGACTGCATAGTACATAAACAGTTTTAGCTACAGTAACGCAACAGGATGCTTAAATACAGGATTATTACATATTAATCAGTCATACAGGATACTGGTACATTAATTATTCACTGTGAGGCCAACCACTTGCGACAAACAAAAACGAACTGTGGTTTTTATCCGCAAGCGAACTATGCCGACTGAGCGACCGCTGCTTGTCGGCAAAGTTAGTACCAACTTTAGCAGAGAGGGGGTGTCGCGTGGTCAGCGTAATGAATTCCCATGGCTGTTAATTTCGGTTTTCTAGACCGGAGCCACCATTTCCTTGAAACAGTTCCTCAATTATCCTCAAGAGTCTGAGGTAACCACTTGCTACATGCTCCTTAATTTACAAGAGACACAAGGTGTGTTGTATGAAACACAGACGACCAATGACCCTATACATCATTTATGGTACATAAAGACTGAGAGGCATACTATACCTGCATTCAGGTGCTTCAGCACTGTTATTATCTAATACTTATAGTTATGGTTTCCTTGAGGTGAGGAAAGTTGCAGCTCTCTGACAAGAGGATTCTGTTAACACCAAGTGAGAGGGCAATGTGATGGCTAGCACAGTGAACCTACAGCTTAACATGGGCTCCAAATCACTGCTGGTGCTTGCACAAATACAGAAACAACCCACTCTGGATGTGGGCAGTCTTGAATCAGAGACTTTCAGTAAAGATTTAGTCTGGGATTCAACCTGGGACCCTCAAAACAAGAGCACTGAATATTAGCCTGAGATCCAGTCATCCCCTCTGTTACACTGGTGCAATCAAGAAGAAAATTACGTGAGATGTCTGAAGAAAATTTCTGATAACAAAAACCAGTGCCAGAACACAGTAGGAGCTTTAATACAGAACGAAAGTTTCAATGCAGTTTATGTTGCACTTCCTCAAAGCAGATATAAAACAGGAACTGCATGAAACACTGAATTTCTTTTCTTTTTTGTGTATTGAAGGCTACATCTCCACATTGTAAGAGACTTAGAGATCTGCTTCTTTTCTGTTGACTTTAAAATCTGACAGTTGCATATTGCATACAGCTTGGAAAAAGAATGGGAATGAGGAAAATGAATTAAAGCATGACTGGGAAACATACATTGAATTGTAAGTTTTAGGTTTTCTTCCATACTGAGAAATAATCTACAAAATATCAATAGACGCATTTACTGCAATTTCCTAAACAGTCAGTAGCTATTTTGCCAGTTGTTTGCAATATTTGGTTTGTGAATGTAGCATCTTGTTACACAGGAGCAGAAAAGGTTATTATTTTAATATTAAGAATAGGCATTAATAACATATGTGGCTAATTTGTATATTGAATTTTTTTTAAATTTTACAATGAAATACTTCACATTTGGCCTGTTACCCTCAATCCTAAGGAAATTACATCTAGTCATGAAGAACGATCTTTTTCTGCACACCACTCACATAAGCAAAGGATGTAGGAAGCTGATCAGACTCATCTTCCTTCATGTATTCTTCTAGAAGATGTGCAGTCATGGAAAATAAAAGCACTGAATTTGCCATTCTTACCAAGATAAAATGGCTTTGAAATTACATATCAGTTGCCACTTTTTCTAAAAAAATGTATATCACAAATATAAAAAAGGCCAGCAGAATGCTGACTCCTTTGATACTACAAATGACACTTCTTGCTAACCAACAGTAGCTATTTAAGCTCTCAACATCTCTACTGTCTGACAGTATGTGTGAATATATATTGTCTTGACACCCTTCAGCTGTCAATTTGCAGTTTTCAACAAAGAAAGTTACAAACTACTGTGAACACCAAGGAAGGTGTTCATTTTCTATATTACACTAAGCATGGAGAAGGTTTCAATCAACAGAAACAGATACATTCATGTGTGAATTAATGTTTCATATTGTGGTCTTCTAGGTTATGACACCATGCAGTCTGGCACATGGGTACTGCAGTTTCAGAGGAACATAGCGCCACCATCTCCAGAGTAGAAATGAATGCAAAAAAGTTTGTAACAGATTCAACATACAACATGGTTAAACTCCAAAATCTGAAATTACACATTAGACACAAGCTGCAAAAAACTAAAGACGAGGAGTATTTTTTTTTTTGCTTTAAACAGTAAATGATGTTACCTATTATATCAATCTAGCAGATAATTATCGTGTGCTCAACCATATTCAGATCAGTGTAATGGAAACAAACTTTAATATCTATTAAACCATAATGTTGTATTTGTATCCTGTTGCACTGATTTTCGTCCATGATATGTATGCTGTGTCCGTCTTGTAGTGCACTCAATTTCACCTGTTATTTCTCAACATGTTTCGGCAACATAGTGCCATCATCAGGTGCTCCATTTATGTTAATCTATTGCATTGCTTGCCATTATGTCATTGTAAAATTATTTAAAAAATATTTAGCTGCAAAATATAATTTTTACTATGTCCATGTTTTCAGTTACTTTCGGTTTGGTACTTATAGTAGCATACCGAAAGTAACTGTAAACATGGACATAGTAAAAATTATATTTTGCAGCTAAATATTTTTTAAATAATTTTACAATGACATAATGGCAAGCAATGCAATAGATTAACATAAATGGAGCACCTGATGATGGCACTATGTTGCCGAAACATGTTGTGAAATAACAGGTGAAATTGAATGCACTACAAGACGGACACGGCAGACATATCATGGACGAACTATTAAACCATCTGACCTCACAAGACATTTTATTCAATGTTGAAGATTTCTCCATTTACCAACAAACATATTTATTATAAATTACAAAAAGAATAAAGTAATTAAATTAGGACTGCAACTTTTACCTTAGTTTTGGTCATATATAAGAACTCTGTTCCTCATGCTTCCTTCAATTATGACAGGTATAAAATGCAAACAGTTTTACTAGAATGCAATATATAATAACAATATTGTTATATGCAATGGTACTGTTGATGTCAAAAACACTTTTACGTTAAAGGTAAGACTTATATTTCAAAATTTGGCCCTGAACTCCAGGCAAAAACAGATCATCTCTGTTACATTTCTTTATTTACATTTATAAAAATAAATCATATTTCTTGTGAAAATTAAACAAGCCTATAAATGCACTCTGTGAATCAAATGACAAGTCACTGAATACTGATGTGGGCAGACACAGTTATCAACCTGCTACACAATTAAAACTATCCCTGTGCTTAATTAGGTAAGCACCACAACATGAAAACATACAGTGAAGTGGATCCAGAGCTCCACATATTCTTAACCTTGGCACTGAAAGGAGGTGAGTGGTCAGATTCATGCCCCTGTCACGTCACCTCCCATGCCCATTGTAAAGGAGGCTGGGTTGGCACCAGAACAAGTCAGGATACTACAGGGAAGGAAAAAACCTCTTTATCTTACCAGGTATTGAAACTGATTCTTTGGTTGCCTAGGTTTAGCCTAGTAACCCTACTGACTGAGCCCAACAAAACAAAGCAACTAAAAATATTGGGCACTTTACTAAGGGGCCTTACATTGAATAAAGCACATCCTACCATATGTTTCATTGTATATGTTAATAACTGCATCACACTGCAAAAGCTCCTAGTTCAAACTACAGCCATAAGACTGGTGAGCAAATGTAAGAATACCAATTCCTAACATTTTCACTGATCAATATATATAACCTATGTAAGTGACACAGAGTTAAAGAAAGAGACAGACATAACAACATAAATAACTGATTCCACTAAATTCACTGTGAGTGCATCTATTAACGTATACATGCTTTGCTGGATTAAACAATATTCAACAACTGTCTTTAACTCTGCAAGATTTTAAAGCAGAAACATCAGCCAAATTGCAGTGTTATGCATAGATGGCAGTAAAGACTCCTTTGAGGGCTATAGAAACTAAGATGTCAAATAAAAAAAAGACAAACCAAATAAACAAGTGGATACAGATGCAATGGGAACACCACTGGGTGATAAAGAAGAATGAAGGTGCAAGAATGAAGGGTTTGTCACTGGACAGCCCATCTGGTGGAAAAGGTCAATGGACGACATTTTAACTCCAGATCAAGTTACGTTCATTAATGGGGTAGTAATGAGAATTCTAGGAAAGGAAGAATGGCTGAGATAGCCAACTTGCAAGTAGAAAATATGGTGAAATGAATAAATGAAGATTACAGACTAAAAAAGGAGACTACATGAATACGAATGGAGAGGTTACAGACAACATGACAGCAGACACAGTTCTGTGAAGTGAGGGCCTATGAAGTCATAAATATTCATCACTAACAACATCTAACAGCACCATTTCACAAGCTGCCATTATAAAATATTACCTGTACATAACAATGCACTTTCATAATACAAAAAATATCACAAATGGAATGGAATGCAACAGAAACCCTTAAAACATAACATACAATCCATATTAATATCTTCACACCCAGCTGCAGTCTACAAATGGAATTATTTTTAAATGTGTTTCTCCTCCACCAAGTTTAACTGTTTTGGCCACTTTCCATTACCCTGTAACTTAGAGTAAAAACTCCATACCTTAGTGGTATGAATACTTTATACTGGGAAAGGAGGGCCCCAGCCCCCAAAGGCTTTCTGCAGTTCTCTAGCAACAGCAATGCACAGGTGATCATTGTAAGGTGCAGCAACCACCTGAAGCAAAATAAAACAAATACATGCTGGCAGTCAAGTCATAATGGTGCCTACATTTTCTGGGAGATAAATTTTAAATTTACAGGACATACAACAGTTGACTGTAGGATAATTGTGAATTAAGAATAGTAGGGGATGCAGAAAGAAGTGACTGTGTTCTCTTTCGAGGTACTATTCCAACATATGCCTGGAGACAATGAGGAAACCCATGAATAAGTCCATCAAGATAGCTGTTGTCTGTTCTGTAAATTTAATGGAGTACTGTTCCAAAGTTGTTCTTTATTTGTATATGAATAATTTCCATATCGGCGGCTTCTAGTTTTCATTCCATCATGAAGCTCACAGCTTCAACCAGTGATGAAACTTCATCTTTCAGCAGAAAGATACAAAATGTTATAATATGGACAACTGGTGATTTGAATTTGATAATTCATTCTTGCTTTGTGTCAAAAATATAGCTTTGGTTGCTTTCAGACAAAGCTGGACAATTCTTTTATACCCTATAACAATTTTACTGATTCCTAGAGGGACTGAAGTAACTCACAATTAAGCATGTACATATAATGTTTGGAGACACAGCAGGTGATAGTACCAAGAATGATTACATCTATGTCCTGTGATATGACTGGCAGTGTAGGTAATAATTTCAACCAGACAATAATTATATTCATATATACCTGAATTCCTAGAGGCAGGCCATCTTTGTTCAGTCCCATGGGGACCTGAGTAACTGGAAGCTTGAGCACATTGAATACAGCCCAGTAGCCAAAATTGTAGGGACGCAAGAGAGATGAGTAGTGATAAACAGCAGGGAATGGATGGCTTGGATACAGAAGGACACCATTATCACCAAGTTTCTCCTGAAATACATTAAGCAAGTAAGATTAAGAACCAATTCATTCAGGACCTAACCTAACCCTCTTAGTGGCAAATTTGGGCACATTCTGATACCATTTGAAACCCATGCTAACATATTCGTTTTTGCATTCTTTGCATGATGCAAACAAAATGAATAGTTAATAGAGATGTCATATCCAGCCAACCTCATATTTCACCTACAAAATTACTATACAAATTTCATTCAAATTAAGTACTAACCCTGTCACTAAAATCTGTCCAATAAATGTCATTTAATCCATAATGATTAACATATAACTTCATATTATATCAAGCTCAAATCACAATTCCTGAAATGTGACTCATTATAAAAATAACAGTTCATACAATACATCACACAATCATATTATATTATAACTTTTATTTTAAACGTTTTGCACATAAGGCATATTCAACAAAATTCAAATTTCATTTCTTTTGAATTACCTAGGAATTAAATCATTCCCCTTAACAAATTCTGAACATTCATTCCTTAAATAACATCAATGACCAGTGACTTTTCAAGTCACTTACCTGTGTAACTGCTATATTCAGCTATTAGATATAATAATCATAACAGTAAAGTTTCCCCTGTGACTAAGCACAATGCCATGTAGATGTATAGGGGGGCAGGGCATTACAGTTCAATTCATTCCAGGCTTTGGCAGTGCTAGATGAAAGTAATCACTCAAATTTATGCTTTGACCACCCATCTCTGAGGAAAGACTCCTCCAGTGCCCATTGGATGGGCCTCAGTGTCAGTGTGAAAATGACGAGGAGAAAAATCTCTACCCATGTCTTAATCAAACCCAAGCCATAGAATCCATAACCAGTAACTTCACTGACTAAGCCATTCTCCCACATTACAATTGTAAAGATAATAGCAATATGAATTAAACTATTTGAATTACTATGCTGCGTGTATAATTGTTCCTTACTGGGGGCCAATAATAAGATGTAAAATTTCAACAGTGACATGATTAGTTGAATATGATGTATAGCTGGAAACCCACAGAGCAACAAGTGAAGGCATTTTCTACAACATACAAAATATTTATCTCATGTGAATATGAGAACTCACCAGTATTTCTGACAGCAGGCGCTCTGTAGTGCTCTCTGCCCATTCAGAATTTTCTTGGGGTAGTACATAGCGGTTAACAAGATTCATTATTGAAGCAAATGTAAAGTCACTCTGACCTAGTAATTTCCTGAGAAGTTCCTTCCACACTGAAACAGTGCCCTGCATTTCAAGAAGAAAGTGTGAATTAGGAAGCATTATGTAGCCTATTTATTACATCCATCCATCATGGTCAGACTTCAGAGTAAGGGTCTAATAGTCAAGTCAATCTCAGATTCAAACAAACATTTCTATTCCCTCTATAGTTCTTCTGTACACAAGTTATTACCCTTCCAGACCTCCAAACATATAGACTCAATTTGTGCAAAATGTGGTGTGAAATTAATCAATTCACAAGTTTTTCAGAAAAAAAAATTATTTCAGTCACTGTACTGAAATATTTATGATTCCCAGTGCTGCTAGTATAGTCCTAGGCCTTTACCATTAGGAGGCAGAACATATGGCAATCGAAAGTGCTACACATCATGCAGATATCTGCACACTTCTGATGCTGATGTTTTTATCTTCATATATTTACAAGTGGCATTAATTTTTCATATAGATAAACTCACCTTGCCATCTGCCAGTTCTTTTGCCAGATCAAATGGCTCTCTGGTCATCCAGTATCTCCATAATTTAAAGCTGTATCTCATATCCGAGAACTTTACCTATAAACATAAAATATTAATCAATATGAAGGTAGAAAAGAGTTAAAGTTGTGCCCATGCACCATGCCATGAAGACTGACAGAGGTTGTGGAAGTAAAGCTCCATGCATTTTAGACCTCATCATTAGGTGGAGGCTGGTGGTTGGCTTCATGCTCCAGCTGCTTTACTTGAAAGAAAAAGAACCTACCATCACTCTTGGGGGCATGCGGTAGAGTAGTTGGTTGAGGTACTCTGCTACAAGCCAGAAGGTTCGATTCCCAATGTGGTCAATGGATTTTTTCAATTGACCTAATCCTTCCAGCCAAACTATGGCCCTGGGGTTGACTCAGCCTCTAACAGAAATGAGTACCAGGAATATTCTTGGGGGTAAAGGGCGGCCAGTGTGTGCGGATGACAACCTTGCCGCCATCTATGAGCCAATTGTCTATAAAATGTGGGACCCTCAACATCTCGCAACCCTTTGGGCCTCCACGGCCTGGTACAGGGATACCTTTACTTTTACTTTACTTTACCATCACTCTTAAGAGGCTGAGTGGACCCCACAGCCTGTTTGGATGTGACAACACATTATTCACGATGGTCAAGAAAATTTGCAATGTAAGATACTTCCACCAAATTATCAAACTGTAAAACTACAAAATTTATGTATGGATGACAACAGACATCATCAGGTTGTCCATAAAACTGTTACTTAATATGCCATGATTTGTATACTAATCCAGAATTATGGATTAAAAATAATTCAACCTCTTCAGTAGTATTCCTGGAAATGTTTCATGGTTCACTTTCTGACCCTACTTTATATACACATGAAAACTTCCAGGCTCAAGGCTGCACACAGTTTGTTATAACCAGATGTTTTATTATGTTGTCTGATTTTTTTTCCATATACTTCTGTTTCTCATAAGATGGCAGCACAGTATGCAATTGCTTGTTACAACTATTTGCATGTATTAATAATGTGTGTTGTATGTTATGGAACATAAAACAGCACTTTCAGTCATAACAGAAGGGGTTAAGCATCATTAAACTAATTTATAATGTTCAATAATCAAAAAATCTGTTCTATTACAATGAAATGTCTTCACTCAGTGCATAAAACAGAATGTGAATGGAGATACAAATCAAAATTTAAGATTCCTTGAGACACAATGGATCTCAACACCAAACTTTATAAAATACTGAATATGGGAAACAACACTGAACAAACTGAACCTACTGTGTTAACCAGATCATTAATGCCTGACCTTAATGTAGAACTGAACTGTACCTTCTGAACTGGACTCTTACTGATGTCCTGGAAGTGCGACACTGCCCTCCTCAAGGCCAGTCTCATCTCCTCACAAACACTACTTGAACGCAGATCTCCAGACTTCTCCATATAGAAGAATTGTATGTCCTTCAGAGACACCTGTATGTACATTTCATTTTGGACACGTTATTACACCAGAACCAAGTATGACACATAATAAGTTATGATATGTAATCATACTAAGACAGCAATTTCTGAATTGCTTTTATTTTAATTATGTTTTATGGGATTTCACATTTATTTACTGTTCATTTTATGATGATACCACTAGCTAAGTCTATATAGTGATGAATGGTATGATAGTTATGGAATAATGAATAAGAATAGATGCGGAAGCAACCATAGCCTAATTTGAGGTACCATCCTGGAATCTGCTGATGGGGCTGAGGAAAACCACAAAAAAATCTTAGAATAACTGGGGTTCCAGCTCAGACACAAACCAAGAACCTACCAAATATAGAAGCATTAACTGCTTGGGCCAACTTCCTTGGTTAGTGATTTTGTATTAATATGTAGTTATTTTATATTTTTAGTTAACCTCAATATACATTTCTTAAAAATTCCAATCAGAGGCTTGCAAAATTCTACAAAGTAGCAGCAGATGTTCAAATCTGTCCCAATAAAAATAAATAGTTTTAGTATTATTAGGAAAGACAGTAACACTCAAATATTAACTTTGGATAATAAGAAATAGAACTGTGCATGAACTGAGTACCTCAGCATTTAACTTGAGCTTTGAGATGTTGTTTCCAACCATTACTTGAAGAAATGGCAGAAGATCTTGGGCATATCTACACAGTGGCCCAGCTGTCACCATTGTATTCTCTTCCTGGCCTGTTCTTTTTGAAAGCCCTTTTGTAGATATCAAGCCTACAATACATGAAAACAAAGACTGAGTCTCCTTTGGCCAGCCAACAGAAAATTCAACTGTTCAACTCTACAGTTATGGTAGGTTTATCAGTCATCTTCCCAAATGGATCCTCAATTTATGTTCTTCCCCTTAGAATGAGATACTATATTTCAGATCCACAGTGGAAAAAGAGGTAAAATTCCATAACCTCAAAATTGTCGTAATATACAAGAAAAAGCATATAACATAAAATAAATATGTTATGATGGACTAAAATTATTAAAGAATATATTCTTATATAAAGTGTATATTTAATATAGTATATAGTAAAAATTTTCTATGCAATGTACTATCCATCCTGTTGGAATTAGTTTTATTATGAACAGATCTGTATCTGTAACAAATAACAACGGATATTCAATTGTACACAGATGTAAAATTCCAACTGGAACTCTGTGTTCTCCAAAATGAGGGTAAATTTCTACTATTATTACAATTAACTCAAATTATTTCAAAACTCAATTACAGAACAAATATGCATAGCACTGGCAACCAGTTATGACTGCTGGATTTATGGTTTCCACAGCAGTGACTATCTCCTGCTATGTAGTCAGGTTAAAGTCCACCGTTGGTTGACTCCTGCCTAACAACACAGTGTTACATCACAAAAGAATACTATTAAATCAATTACTGATTCATGTAAGACAGCTTGTATACCAGAGGGTGCATTGAAGTACCTGTAGTAGGTTTATGTCCAAAAATTCCACAGTAGAAAGCAGGCATTCGAATAGACCCTCCGATGTCAGTTCCAATGCCCATGGGAGAGCCAGAAGTAGCAATGATACTTGCCTGTAGAGACAAATTCAATTGTGTTAACTATATCTATACAATATTGTATCCTAGCACCCTCTTGCAGTATTACAATTTATTTTCAGTTGCTTACCATCCACCATGCAACAATATCAATGTCACAAATTCACCAATATTATCTCAAAGGCCGCGCCATAGCTTAAGCGGTTAGTCGCTGGCTTCCCACTGCTGCGGTCTAGTCAAGTGGGATTTGCGATGGACAAAGTGGCGCTGGGGCAGGTTTTCCTGAAGTACTTCGGTTTCCCCTGCCAGTCCTCATTCCATCAAATTCTCCATAACCATTATCACCAGTACAGGTACAATAGGACATATGGAAGCCGACGTGCTGAGGGGACCTAATATGGATTTCACCTCACACTACATGAACTCTTTAACTACTGTAATCTATTGTAAACAATTGTAAATATTGTAACTTTATTCTCTTATTGTAATCCACCAATGTCCAGTAACTGACTTGCCCTATATTATTATTATTATTATTATTGGAGGGGGTGGGTTTCCCCATGCACCGCAACCAGTTTGATCTATTGTACGTCCCCGTGATATTCTACCAGTCTCTATACCCTACCGGTACTGGTGCGTGCCATCAGTCCTGACTCAGCCAGCAAGTTCGGCCTCTACTGGCTCAGTGGTATCTAGATGCTTCCCCCATCTACCAGAGGTGTTAGAGACTATTGTTGGGCGGGAAATATCCTTACAAATTTGGCTCAGAGGTCTCCTTGAGACATGAGGTTCTTTTACTTGCTGTAAAGCTACGATACGGGATCCACGGCTTAAAGTCCCTCCCGGAGGACTTGTTCCCTGAATTTTTCCGCCCTTAAAAAGAATTCCACGACCTCCACCGGGTTTGAACCCGCGTACTTTGAGTCATGAGGTGGGAACGTTACCCCTAGACTATGGAGGCCGCTGACTTGTCCTATATTTTGTAACAATGATCTATAGAGACGAATTAAATAAATAAATATCTGAAATTCAATCCTTCTAAAATTCATCACTGCACTAGATGTTTCGGCCTACTTGGCCAGCATCAAGTGTGTTTAAATTTGGGGGAACTTCTGTGCCTCCCATGCTAATGCAATTGATGTGTTTGTATTTGCAATACTTTCAAATGAAGTCAGTGTAGCTTCTCCTCCTATGCCACATGTACTCCCTTCTTTGGTATACCTGCTGTATATCAAGCGTGCAGTGTGCAGAAGGCATGACAGTTCCCCTGAATTTCAGCGCACCTGATGAAGGCAGAGTATGCCAAAACATGTACTGCAGTGAGGAATTTTGAGATTACATTCCAGATTTTGATATTATCGCATGGTGGAAGGCAAACAACTCAAATTAAAATCTATATATTTACTAAGATAAACCAGAAACATGAAAAGAAGTAGTAAAAGAGGAAATGAGTTTGCTGTCCATTCTGATTCTGTCGGTCTTCTTAATTCCCAACAGCATATACCAGACACCAGCTTTCCCTTTAATTCTTTCCAATTAATCATTTTTAGTTGTCCTCATATTCAAAGCTAAATAACATTTGCATATGACACACCATTAGTCAATAACACACAGCCCAAATAAGATAGGGAATGATATGGCCTCTTATTAAGTATTTTAAACTTTCTACTGTTAACATATAAACTTTCACCCTATTCAGCTCTCCTCACCTCCCCACCACTAGATCCTCCAACAGTCCTTGTTGTATTGTAGGGGTTCAATGTCTGCCCATAAACATTGTTACGGGATTCACACCACAAATTATATTCAGGAATGTTAGTCACTGCAATAAGAATGCCACCAGCTTTCTTCAACAGGATCACTACATCTGCATCTTCTGCAGCCTTTACATTTTGGCGTGACACTAGTCCCAACGTCTGACGCATACCTGGAAAGGAAATCAGAAAAAAAGTGAATCAACTTTACGCTATAAAGCTAGAATAAACCAATACAATTCATTTGTACTTTGAAGAAAGTCTTTCGAAACCAAAATGGGAATTGAAGCTAGTGAATGTAAGCGTAACTAAATTTGAAAATACAGTAGAACTTGGTTATAACGTCATCAAAGGGACCTAAAAATAGTGTCGTTATAAACGAATGTCGTTGTTAACCGAAATGGGCACTTCCACAGTAGCCTTATGTTAGTCACGTAAAAATCTGCCAAAAACCGAGTTAAAACGTTGCATTTTTTAGTGAAATACGTAGTTAAGTACAGACTAACGTAACATTAACGTGGAATTGCCCAAATGTGTAATATCAAAGACATATTACAGCACTTTTCACTGACAATACACACAATATTTCACGAATCAATTTAACTTTCTCTTCAATGCTTAAAACTTTCCTTTTCATTGCCATGTTTTCGCTACTGCACTTCTCTGGGTTTAGGCAGGAACACTATAGGGTAAGTAGACAATGTGAGGTCCTGTTAGACGAGATTCTAGGAAAGGAATGCAGTTAACAACCTGCCGCGTCCTCTTGCACTATTCACGCAGTCCCACCCCACACCCTTGTTTTCGCATAAAACCCACGCTCCTCTTGCAGCCCGCGGTCGTATTCTTCCAGGACAGTCACGTCAGCAAGTAGAGAAAGTGAGGGTGGGCAGACACATCGAACTTTCCCACGATATCGGAGAAATTCAGGAATGAAAATGACGTTACATACGAGGTTGATGCATTTATGTATGTCGTACTAAGCAAGGTATAAAAACAGTTGCTTTATGAGGAATTATTTCGTACCATTGAATATCTGACGCAATAGACAAGGTGTCGCAGAAACCGATGTTGCTATAACCAAGTTTTACTGTATTTCAAAATGCAAATACTGTACCTACCTTCAAAATAAGTAAACAATTATTTTATAAATTTTCTGGTTGGCTGCAAAATGTGATCTCTTACTTTGAGGGAATAACATAAGTTAACAAATGTTTTTTTTTTATTTTTGCCCTGATAATATTGGTGAGGATGGCATATGTGCTTAACATTTCTGGTTCTGTCTATACTGCATGTTTCTTATTAAGTTTGTATTTTAAGTGAAGTTCAGTTTTGTACACAAAATAAATTCCATGATCTATACTTACCAATTTATCAGACTCTTCACTGATTGCTAAATGTTTGTCATATAATTCACTACTGATATTCTGTTCCTTCTGAGCTCAGTATGCCTAAGACATCAACACCACATCAAATTCAATCCATCCCCCCCTTTAACGCAAATTTTTCTCCAACTACATACTTCTCCTTTTCTATTCCTGTTAGTTACTAGCCATCCCACAGACAACTTGCTTTTTAAAACCTGTTACGAAATTCGTAACAACTACACAAAACATAATGAGAGGATCTTTCCACCACCACAGGACACGTGTGCATATAGACGAGGACATATCCCAAAAATTGAACTTATGGATAGAAGCACAGCAGTTTCATCAACAACTTTAGAGAAACCTGAAGATGACCAATGTTGGTTGAAACATGTAGTGTATACACCAGTGATGTAGAAGAGATTGTAACATTAAAACTTTTAAAGGTTTTAAAAAGCAAGCTTCATGTCGGATGGCTTGTGCAACAGGATGCTATGATACAACATTACACTTCTTCTATTCTCGTCCTTGCCATCCAACACTTCCCAAATAGTTTTCTCAAATATTCCAATTCCTTACCATACCCCCCCCCCAAAAAAAACAATCCCTGTAAGGGTAATATTTCTGTTGCATTCCTTGGCTACTGTCTGATGCTCTGTGGTAACCATATACTATAAGTATCATCAGGAACCATGGAGTAGTCATTTCACCTTGAAGACAGCAAGGTCTTTTAAAATGTTGCCAATACAGCACGCTTCTACAGGATACAATCACTTGAACATAGAATCAACATCAGCATATTTATTTATTCATTAACTGACGGTCTAGACGCTGTTCATTAAATCAGATATCAAAACTGGTAACAGTAAGCTTCCCATAGTCTACTAATTTACATTCCAAAAATTACTCACAATACAACATGGAAATTCTGTCACCACCAGTCCACCAACATTATCATAATTCATAAGTTACTTACGTCCATAAACTGTTACACAAGTAAAATTGGACAAGTCAGTTTAAGCCATCTAAGACACTACAACTCAACAACTCTTAAGATTGTACAAAATGATACACATGACTAGGAACAATACAATTATCTTAGGATCATTGTCCTCCCCACTGAAGCTAGAAACCGAGGATCACATCTCCTAAAAATCCAATATAAAGCAACACATACATTTAGACCATCTATACATACATACACACATCAGAACAAACCCGAGCCACAAAACTATCATGAATCATTGTTACTAAAACAACTCCTGCAGAGAATAAAAACCGTTTTGTAATAATTAACTTTTTTAATTTATTTTTAGAAACTTAAAAAAAAATTATTCACTGCCCAGAAACTGTGTGTATATATATATACGAAACAAGAAAACGGACGGCTAATTGGATTGGTCATATCTTACGCAGTAACTGCCTTCTAAAAGAAGTTACTGAAGGAAAGATAGAGAGGTGGATAGAAATGACCAGAAGACGAGGAAGAAGACGTAAGAAGAAGCTGGGATGACCTTTGGGACAGAAGAGGATATTCTCATTTGAAGGAGAAAGCTCTAGATCGCATTAACTGGAGGAACTGTTTTGGAAGAGACTGTGGACCTGTCGTCTGACAGATTACTGATGAATGAATATATACACGTGGTAGAATCATTAAGTTCGTGGAATGTGGTTTTACTGCATCATATTACAAGGTCAATCAAATATTACAAGGCATTCACATACACTTACACAGATCCACATCAGCCCTCAAAATAGTTGCCATTGGCTGCTATGCAAGTCTGCCAACGTTGATATAGCTGCCGAAAACATTGCTGAAACATACTGGCAGTAAATTCCCATATGACGCTTTGCAGCCATTCCACAAACCTATTGACTGTGGTAGTGTATGTATACATATTAACATGACACTGCAAATGTGTGTAAATAAACTGTTCACAAGAATATCCAATGCACAAATGATAAAGCAGATGGATAACAGAAGATTTTACAAAATGAGGAGCTTTGTGATTTCCATATTTCAACTATTACTGATATTACTGGGACACTAAAATCAAGAAGGTTGTGCTGGACTGGACATGTGGCACATACAGGGGTGACAAGCATCATATACAAAATTCTGGTGAATAAATCTCAAAAGTAGCAGCCAGTATGAAGATCAAGCTGCGATGACAATATCAAGATCACCCATAGAGAATCATGCTGCAAAGATGGGAGATGGATGGAACTACATCAGGATCATGTCTAATAGTGGGTAATATTATATAAATGCATAACCTTTGGGTTCTGTAAGTACTGCCAGATAGTTAGGTAGTTTATATGGAAGCAGTGAATAAGTATTAATCTAAAACAAACCTTGTACTGCTGTACTATCCTTTGTAGTGAAGGGCACTCCTAGGAAAGGTTTCTGAAGTTTGAGCTCCTCAGCAGTTAGTTTAGTCGATGCTAGGAAAGCATCTACGTCCCTTGCTTCCTGCAAAGCCGCTTCAAATCTTTCATCCACCACAGAATTAATCAGTGAATTCACTTCATGGATACGGTTAATGAATCCCTGCACTACCTCTTCTGCACTCACCTATGCAAATACAATTTCCATCACTGTCTGGTGGTAACAAAACATGTAAATGATTTCTTATAAAGTAGTAGACTGCATATCCTATCCTACACTATACAGTACTCTACTTTTATACCTGATTACTTCTTTAGCAAATTACGTAGGGAAGTAAAAAATTATCCGCACTCTGACTTTCCCTCGTATTTAATGATTCTGTGAGACTGTAATATGTACTGGCATGAAGAGAAAAACAATTTACCAAGAGACACAAAGGCAACTGTATCCTGTCATTTACTGATGTGAGTTAGGCTTTAGCAATCAAAATGAAAGAGATGTTGTGCTTGGGAAAATGGAGAGAAATAGACAGAAAGTAGTGAAAGGTGACCTATTTTTACAATACTATCCTAACTCTCGTATAGAAGGAAAGTATATGAAATCCTCTCAGAATAATCAGTGACCACTACATGACTTCAAACGGAGACCTCCAAAATTCACGTACAGGAGGAACGTGAAGATACACTTCCAGTTGCTTTATTTAAACATGACCAACCAAAATGCGTCATATACAACAAATGAACAGCAATATTTATGCTACTGCAAATGAATTTATTGTACCTCTTTGTGCCTAATTCTTTCTGCAAGAGAGACAGCACTTTCCATAAGAAAAGATTCCTTAACCCCTGGAATTTGTGTCCGTTTTGAGTCATCATAAAAGAAGGAACAAAATACGTCAATAATACAATCAATTATTGAATGGATTAATATCCACAGACTCATGATACACTTGTAGAATGGCCTGAGTGATCCTTCCTTTGGTCTGTGAGTGGATTCTCGTCTCTCCTGCAACCAATAAAATAAATTATTTTGTATTAACACTCACAACAAGTGGAAACCCAACGCTCTTAGAGTAATACTTGAGATTCTCAATCAGAAGAACCTACGTTAAATCCATGGTCCAATTTAAATGCAGACTTTTCAGTGCATAAATTTCAGGCTCTCAATCAGTGGGTCCCCAGTTCATTTCTTTTCATATCTACAGACAATTCTGTGCATATTTCACAACCTTCATTTTTGTATATGTTAAAACTCAGAAATGTGGGAAATGTCAGCTGCCGGTTCTTTTAGCCAGGGATCCTGCTAATTCATTCTATGAGTATAACCGAGAGCACTGACATCCACCTAATGAATACTGTCACTTCAAAAACTAATTTGATCAACTTATCTTAAGGGCAGACAACTTGAGAAAAAGTCAAAATAAAAAAAATAACATTGTATAAAAGCATGTGAAACTTCCCACAGTAAAGTATTCCTGTAACAGGCCGTGAAGGCCCATAGGGTTGTGAGACACTGAGGGTCCCAAATTATCTAGACAATCGGCTCAAAGATGGCGGTAAAGAGATTAAAACTACTATTATAAATATTGTGTAAAACACGTTCTTAATGCACGTAAAAAGAAACTAGCTCGCCAGCCATATGGAATTTTGTTTCAGTTTTGTGGCAACAGATTGGAAAGTACACAACTAAAACATGCATACACTATCCTTCAAGGGCATGAACAGAAAAAAAATTATAGCTGGGAAAAAGAACAGATCCATACAATGTAATTCTTAGTATTTAATACCAAACTTTACATAGATTACAGTTTTGTTGCCCTGATTTAACGAGAGATGTGAGGTTAATGTCGGAGAGCCTCCAAAAGAAATAGGTTATTCAGAGTATTGCCCAATTGCGTGCTCTTGTTCTAACGGCTTTGGAATTTCGGGTTCCAATTAAGAAGAGTTTGTCAGCTTTGGTATATACCTGAAACTGGGGCTGTTCTGCAGTATTTGGGATATGTGACCTAAAATTGTGAAATGGTGCCGAAAATACGTCGACAATACAACTCCATTATGAAAGTCATCGATGCCCAAATGTGCAGTGATATATGTGGTAATTCTTTCGAACTGATCGTTTCCAGCGGCTTCAATTGTTTGAAAAAAAAATAATGTGCACCAAATGACGAATAATATAATGATGTGTAGTATTCATGAATTTGTAATATGTGACATGTTTTATATCCATCCCTACGGGGAGATGATTGGATCCATGAAGTGAAAATAAATGTAAATGTAAAAACTACAGTGTCCATAATATGAAATCCCACCAAATCATTTAATACGCGAAAGAAGTAATGAACAGTAACTGTACCTACTGTTCGTCAGATTTCGTTAGATTAGCCAAAAGATCTCTACCTCATGTACCTAGATTTCACAGGACATACACCCAATAACGTCTTCCTTGCTACATAATACTAAGAGCTAACTTACCTTTCCAATCTCGGACAAAGCCATTTTTCATGCACAAAAATCTCTTTCTACCTCCCTATTTGTGCGGCACATACCACTACACGCACTTGATCGCACTTAACCAACGAACAATCAAACCGATCAAACCGCTCAAACTGGCACACCTATATACACATCGATACACATGATACTTTTTCTTCTGCAGTATAAGTACTTGTAGGAAAATTTAAGGGGAACAATACAGGCTGAACAACTAACGAAATGTTTTCTACCGTCCTATAAAAAGTGGGTATTCCAACGAAAAGAGCGAAGATTCCATCTATTGGGATTAAACGCAGTGTAATCTGCTGAAAGTAAACCGAAGTTTCGGAGGAACATATCGCGTCTATCTTCATGGTTGAAGAGTAAGCCAAGCAAAAAACCAGCATGAAACTGCGAGCAAAGGTTGGTTAACTTTCAAGGGACTACACGACATTAAATACAGGAGACATAATTCTTCATAAACACCGCTGAGAGAAACTTAATCCTACGAAAAAAAATAACAAGTAACATAAATTTGTTAATCTCGCGTATTTTAATTATAATTTTCCTCGTTTCACTATACTAAGATTGGTTTGTGGGTTGGCTAAACTTACCTTTCGTGTCTGCGTTTATAATGCAGAATATGAAGCCGAATAACACTACTATCAACTTAATGCAAAATTTTATCCAATATTCTACTCTCAAGGTTAAGTCTGTACAGTGTACACGGACGAACTTGAATTGGAAGAATTGAATAATAACAATAGTGAACTCCTTGAACACTGAACTAGGATTGTAGAACTGCAGAAATCTAGATCTGTAGAGTCGGACATGTAGAAAACCTGTCACTGTCTGTATTGTTGTAGGCTTTGCCTAGCAACGGCTGTGTACTTGTCGTTGCTAAGCAATGAAGCTTGCGTTGTCACACTTGCTTGAATGTGGGCAGTTCCCACAAGTCCATACATAGATGAAATTATTGGAGATCATCAGTGTGAGTTTCAACATAACAGATCAACTACTGATCAGATCTTTTGCATTCATCAGATACTGGAGAGAAAATGGGAGTACAACGAGAGAGCACATCAGCTATTCATAGACTTCAAGAAAGCCTATGATTCAGTCAGGAGGAACGTATTCTACAATATTCTCATAGAGATTTGGGTACCCTTGAAACTAGTTAGGTTCATTACAAATGTGTTTAAATGAGACATATAGTAAAATCTGTAAAGTAAAGGTATCCCTGTAAGAGGTTGTGGAGGCCCATAGGTTTGTGAGATGTTGAGGTTCCCACATTGTCTAGACAATCGGCTCATACATGGTGGAAAGGTTGTCAGCCCTACATGCTGGCTGCCCTTTACCCCCAAGAATATTCCTGGTACTCATTTCTGTTAGAGGCTGAGTTGACCCCAGCACCATAGTGTGGCTGGATGGATTAGGTCAATTGAAAAAAAAAATATCCAATGACCTCATCAGGACTTGAACCCGCGACCTTCTGGCTTGTAGCAGAGTGATAGTAAAATCTGTATGGGTAAAAATTTGTCTGGTAATTTTCCTATCCAAAATGGTCCAAAACAAGGAGATGCTTTATTGCCACTGCTTTTCAACTTTGCTTTAGAATATACCATTAAAAAGGTCCAGGAAAATCAGGTGGAACTGAAATTAAATGGAATGCATCACCTGCTGGTTTATGCTGATGATGAGAATTTTACTGGGAAACAATATAGATATAATAAATAGAGACACAGACTCTTTAATTAATGCTAATGAGGAGGTTGGCCTTGAAGTAAACACATAGAAAACTAAGTATATGTTGCCGTGCCATCTACAGAATGCAGGGCAAAATCATGACAAAGATAGCTAAGATATGCTCTGAAAATGTGACACAGTTCAGATATTTTGGAACAACAGCAACAAATCAAAATTTGATTCAGGAGGAAATTAAAAGTAGACTGAATTTGGGTATTGCTTGCTACCATTCAGTCCAGAACTTTTTGTCTTCCTGTCTACTGCCTAAAAACTAAAAATTAAAATATACAAAACTATAATTTTGTGTGTGGTCCTGTATGGGTGTGAAACTTGGTCTCTGACACCGAGGGAGGGACACATACTGAGGGTGTTTGAGAACAGTGTGCTGAGAATATTTTGACTTATGAGAGATAAGGTGACAGGAGGTTGGAGAAAACTACATTATGAGGCACTTCATACCTTGTACTCTTCTCCAAGTATAATTAGAATGGTCAAGTCAAGGAGGATGATATTGGGTAGGGCATGTAGCACGAATGGGGGAGAAGAGAAATGCATATAGGATATTGGTGGGAAAGCCAGAAGGAAGACTAAGACGTAGGTGGGTGTAGAACATTAAAACGGATCTTAGAGACACATGATGGGATGGTATGGATTGGATTGATCTGGGTCAGGATAGAGATCAGTGGAAGGCTCTTGTGAACATGGTGGTAATGAACCTTCAGGTTCCGTAAAATGCTGGGAAGTTCTTGAGTAGCTGCACAACTGGCAGCTTCTCAAGCAAGCCTCAGCACCAATTATCAATAGAACCTCCGTCGAGTGTAACAATATATATTCTTGTCACCATTTTCTCACATTTGCCTTACATGTTTCGGCTCNAGCCCACACAACCTCGTGCTGACGCCTCCCCCATTGGGACTATCCACTAAGAGGAACCTGAATATTTTACTTGGACGGTTTTAACTTTAATTTTAACATTAACGACCCGCTTTGTGGGTGATATTTTAAATGCAAATGGGATACCCGCACTCGGGGTACTGGATGTTGTTGTGTTTTACGCTCCGATACGTGTAACATCTTCCACAAAAAACTGTATATTGTGATTGTTGAGCAGTGCAAGTGTTTCCATGTTTTTGTTGTGGTTGCCTCTGATGATGGCTCCTTGTGAGCCGAAACATGTAAGGCAAATGTGAGAAAATGGTGACAAGAATATATATTGTTACACTCGACGGAGGTTCTATTGATAATTGGTGATTGATAGTGTAACGGACCAAAATGAAACAATTCAAAAAAGCCTCAGCACCATTAGTGAGTTATATCAATAGAATGTAATTGATGCAAGATTCTAATTGTGCCAACTACAGAGGTTACATACTTCATAAATGGCAATCTTGGAATGATAGCAGTGTTCTATCTTTAAGCAAAATGATGGACTACCCATGCAAATTAAGAAGTGACAGGTTTTCTGTTATGACATTGTCGTAACCCATATGAATATAAAACTCCTCAGACTGCCCTTTTTCCGACATTATGTAAACTAGTCGATGCACATGTCCACATCTGGATGGTAGTTTGCAACAAAATTGCAACAGAAATTATACGAGGCCATGTATGTTACTTTACTTCTACATTTTTGTTTCGGCACAATATATTGTACTTTTCATTCCATCACATCCCAAGAAAAAGCTGAGTTCCATGAAGCAGTAGGTATCTTTTGAATGTCACAAGACCCACTTACCTCACCAAACTTAATTGTTAAAAAATTACTGCCCTTGAATGCACGATATACCAATTACATTCTATTTGAGTTACACTCTAGTAAGGTTAATCATACTAATTAATGACCTTTGTAAGACATATATTTAAATTTGTCAAGAAATCCTTTGTGGATGGAGCAAAGAGGAACCTAGTGTAAAAGTTTATAACGGCTCTGGGAATAGCTATTGATTTGCATAAGAGTTTAAAAACACAATACAGGATATTAATGTTTATTTATTAGCTCTACCATTACAATTCTGGATAACATCAAATTTATGTAATGTAATAGGACAATACATGCAATATTCAGGATTACATGAATGTAATCGAGTATGTTGCAGGAAGGGAGATGATGCCACAGCTCATTAAAACCAATGAGAGGGACAATGAGACTCTTCTCATGTTAAACTCCTCGTGGAACTCACTCATATGAGAAAACATTAAGTAAAAACTGCATACAATATAAAAATTGAAACATTATTATTCAAATATAACAAAAAAATAACGAAACTTCAATTTTACATCATGCCAAACATTTTCCCCAGAAATACCCGCAACTAATAGCACCTACAGAAATAAGTCATAAAATACCATGCATGTCATATATATATATATATGGGAATGAAACTGCGTGAACACAAAAAATTACAGCATCATTAAATTAACAGTAAAATTGAAGTTTCAGCTTGTATACCTTTAAAGGAAAATAAAGTGTTAGCACAAAATCTCTTAGAAATCATACAAATACCTCCTGATCAGTATAACATTGTCCAAGAATGTCAGCAGCCAAATAATGTAGTTATCCCACAGTATTAAATGACAAACACTTTTGGTCAATTTCATTTCCTTTTTACAGAAAAGACAGTAACAGAGTTAAGTGTTGACTCTGGAGTCTTGCATTAGTAATGAGTCATGCTATTTAAATGAAGGAACTTTTCTATCTTTGCTGGTATATGAACAATCCAAAATATCGTTATCAGTACACGCTTCATGAACTTTACTGAAAAGCCATAGTTTTAGTTGCAAATAGTACTCTCACCATACAAAACAGCCGATCATTAGGAGTGAACCCTTATTACAGACATACTGTATACAAACCCCTAATATTGATATTCAGTGCTTTATTTAAAATACATCATGTAGTATTATTTATACTTCTTGTATGTCAAATACAAAGATATCTCCAGTTCACCTTTATTAAGAAATAATCATACTGTACTGTATGATCTTGTCTTACATTATTATTTTATTTGATGCTATAATACTTGTTACTAGTACTTTAAATTAAAAGTATATTCAAATTTTGTTTAGTAAAGAGTACTGAAAAGAGTGAAACCTGAGGTTCTCACAGCAGTGGGTATTCACATTAGTCTTCTGGGATATGACACCAATGTAGTACAGTATATAGGAACCAATATTTCAGAGGAATCTGCTGTCTCCATCTTCCATTAGAGGAGGAGAAAACAGGATCTTCCAGAATGCTGGTACTTTTCTACTGAACTACCAAATATTATGTTCCAAAAGACTGTAATCTTAATAAGGGAAAGCAGGTACCAACACAGTCCTAGCCTATTTATCTGAAGGGTTCAGCAGCTTCAGGGAGATATGGAACAGTTCTGTGTGACATTTCACCCTCAAAGACAAAAACCCTCACAACAAAGAACTGAAATTCACAGCAGCATGTAAACTTAGCCCACCTAGCAATGTAGGACCAAAGTTATCAGTCTAAAACAACAGAAACGATGTTTTAAGTTTTCAAATCAGTAACTCTCTTCAATTCAAAACTTTAGTAGTAGTCTAGGAGACATCAAAACTCCCTTAATACAGTTAGAAACTGCAACAAAATGCTGCCTGCTACTGTCCACAGTCAGATTTGCGTCTATCCATGTCATTGTTGCTATCATGTTCAACTTAAAATTTGTACTTCAAGTATGTAATGTTACTGTTCTCAATGTGTTAATGTTTCCTTAAAATAAAATAAAATAAACATACAAAACACAAATATTGAGTCTAATATTTTATTGTAGTAGTAATGAAACTACACTGTCATAACAAAGGCTTTTCCAGTTGTGCTGATGACAGTACAGCACTGCATCTATTTCTATACCTCCAAGCTTGCACGTTTGTCTTTTGTGGACACTCTCAGTAACATAATCTTCAACATCAGTGATATTCAACTGTATTCAAAAAGTGTGTAGTGAATGATTAGCACACTTTTTCTGCATGCTACTACCATGTCTGTTTTAATGACGACAACACATTCCATGAATATTCACATCTGTCCCTTCAACTTTCACTATTACCTGTCTGAACAGTACATTAACCAATTTTAGATGTGACCACTGAACAACTTTAAAAGGTTAAAAGAACACTAGAATATCTGAGAAAATATACCTTTAAATTTGTTGTTCAAAAAGGACATGTGATTAGTTTCCTAATCACACTTTAAATGCTCCATACACTTTGTGTAATGTGTTGTACATTCTCATTCAGCACGTAATTTTGTAGATGTACGTCACAACTGGCAATGTACATGCAACTAAACAAGTGTGGTGACATTTTTACATTTGACACTGATTTCTCTCATACTTAAAATTTACCTGCCACAGAATGACTGATGATAAATACCAGTTCATCTCCTACAATTTTGGGATTTCAAAGTACACTGCAATTATGATGTCAAATACACTAATGGAAAAAACAACAGATTAGGCATATGAATCTTACTCTACTACCTAGAGAGCAAAAGGTGGAACTTACAATCATGTAATTATGTTGGGTGAACAAGTTTATAGCCCTAAAAATTTATCAGCAACATACTTTAAGTGAAACCTTCCAATACTGCAAAGTAAAGACTGTAAAAAAAACCTTACAAAGACAAATATACAAAAGAACATCTACTCCCAGTTGTTAGTCTGCTCTGAAATTGACTGAAAGGATTTGTTACTGTCCTATACAGATAACTGCATTATAGTCCTGTGTTTGCAACACAGGTACTCTCATCTTAATATGCATTTCATTTATTCTTTAAATAATCCAATATATTTCAATTTGTGTGTATCAACACTACCTACAAAGATACAGTTTGCCAAGCTTACACACACATACACACCCCTTTCCATGTTTATAAGTGTTTTTCCTTGCTTCATTATTCACTCTTTTATACAACAGCCACCAACCAGACATAAGTTCAACACGTTTCTGGAGCTTATATCTGCTATGTATGATCTGAGGTTTTCACAGAGGTGGTTATGAAGAGTGCTATCTCTGAGGACATGGAACTGTATAATGGTCTTTCTATTTTTGATCATTTCATTTCCCCCTTGTCATTTTAGTTGATCGTCATGCCTGGAAGTATTACACACCAATGAGGAGATTTATAACTTGTACTTTTCACCAAGCATAATTAGAATGATCAAGGAAGATGAGATGGGCATGGCATGTATCATGAATGTGAACAGGAATGCATAAAAGATATTGGAGGGAAAGCCAGAAGAAAGAGACCACTAGGAAGAGCAAGACGTAGGTGAGTGGATAATATAAAATGGGTCTTAGAGAGACAGGATGAGGTCCTATGGACTGGATTGATCTAGATCAGCATTGGGACCAATGGGGGGCTCTTGTGAACACAGTAATGAACCTTCAGGTTCCATGAAATGCTGGGAAGTTCTTGAGTAGCTACACAACTGCCAGCTTCTCGAGAAGGGCTCAGCTCCATGAAGTTCGTGCTACATATCAGCTATCGTGGCCTGTAGTCCACAAGCAAAATACCATTGTTCCCAGTCAAAAACAGATTTGACGACAACTTTGTTTCAGTATAAAGTTTGTGACCGCTGATCACATAAACGCAGGGAAAAAATACAAGTGTACTCACCCACATTATAGGTGCAAAAAATTCATATATAAAAAACAGTAACAGCTTCCAATTTCTCTGCACACAGCTCCAAAGAAAAGGTGTGTATGTATGGCACACAGCAAGAAAACTGCCCCATAACTCTTTGGCCAGCACTAAACAGGGAATAAAAATGGAATGGAACATGTACACTGTACAAAAATTTCCCTATTTCCACAACGTACTGATTTCACTACTTCATTTCCATTAATTTCAAAACTTGTAAAAACAAACTAAAAATCAGTTTAAAACATTTAAAAAATTGCAATATGGAACAGCAGAGCCTGACTTGGAAACAGCTTGCTGCCCCTATGCAGTTGGCAACACAGCTCAGCAACAAAGACTAGGCAAACCAAGGAACCAGTGAAGTGAGCCACAGAGTTGCCAGCGTGTCACCCTCATAGGTGAGACATGCAGTTGACATCATTATTCACTTCATACCACAGCTACTGTTCTGGGACTGACCACCTCAAGAGATCTTGTTGCGCCACCACATGTACAAGAGGTTTGGACTGAGACCTGACAAGAGTAATGAGAAAGGAAAGAGGACCACATGTGATGGTACCATTCTACACCAGCAATTGAGCCAATGGCTTGCCATACAGAAAAATTCATTTGAAACATCAGCAAAATGTGGATCACACAGTTTCAAACACCAACACCCCTTGTCCTGCCATACTGTACCATACCTGCTCTGTGAGGTACTGGAAATATCTGCACCCCCAGAGGTGACACTAAAACTAAGTACACATAAGCACTGAAGAGAACCACAACGAAATGCATTGTATTGTTTGCTAAGACTACGACTACCTTGGAAGGGAAATTTAATGTGGGGCAAGGGAGAAGGCCCCAAAAGGCGCCGAGCGACGAATGGATTGCTTCCATCCGTGCTACGGGCCACCGCGGACCCTCAGCTTGGGAATTTGGAGTAGAAAGCATAGGTGAGGTCATAGTTCTTGAAACGGCAATATTGAATATCATGACGCAGCCAGTCTCCAAATGAAGATGTCTTCTCAAGTTCCCTAGGGCACTCTGCAGCAGGAGAAGTCTGCAATCAGAAATTATTTTCCTATGGTATTGCTATGCACTTCCAAGTAAGAAGATCTGCCATATGAAAAGTACCAAGAAATCTTAATTATAAGGAATTTCAAATTGCATATAACAGTCTAGAATTAAATGTTCTCTTTTCTCCCTCCGACTAACTAATTTCACATTTAAATCAAAATTATAAAATTAAGAACTTCTGATACACATGCAGCGCAATTACAAGAACATTATGGAATGGGAAGAAGAGTCTACTACAATATGTTCAGGGCGGTTCAAAGGAGACCTGGATTTTAATCTTTGCCAGGCCAGATTCACCAAATTATCACTCTTTCTTGAGATACTATCCCTCTACACAGACACACTTTTGCCACCACCATGGCAAGGCACTGACAACAGTAGCACAGAAAGACACAGCCTAACCACAGTCAGTTCAGGACACTATGCCTGGGTTCATCATGTGTCAAATTTCTGTTCTTCTAAGTGTTCCTTCATGGTTCAAACAAGTGAAAATTGCTGGGAGTCAAACTGGACTGTAAAGAGGATGGTTCAGCATTTTCCAACTCAAGGATGTCAATGTGGTCACTGTCAAATGTGCCAAACACAGATAAGCATTATCAGGCAGTTCAGTGTTCTTGACATTTCCCCAAGCCTTTTCCTGTGAATCATTAAATGCATAGCATGGTGCATGTTTTGGATGCAAATCATATATTTTCCAAAAGTAACTTTTAGAACCATGAATGTTCACATTTATAACAACTACCAGCTGAATATGGGCATGTGGTCAGTTTGTGGCTTCTTCAGGGCCTTCAGAAAACTTGATGCACCGATCATACACACTGGTACCTGACAGGGTAACTTCTCCATATTATGTAATTAGTCTGTGTAGAAATTCAGTAGAAATTTGATTGCAAAAACACTGTTCACCACTTTGAATGAGAAGGTACGAGTATAATCCCATATAATCTCCAATGTACAGAGGCAAAGGGGCAGTCACCTGTCAAGAAGCGAGAGCTACAAAGAGGGTTTTCTTGTTCTAGCGATGACATCTTTCAGAAAAAAGTGAAATCCAGGCTGACCTTGGACCACCCTCTTATAAAGTAACTCCTGCACTCACATTATCACACAGATAAGAATTTTGGACTATTATTAAGAATAACTGACAGGCCACACCATAGCTCAGGTGGTTACTTGTTGGATTCCAACCACGGTGGCCTTGGTTCAAGCCCAGGTCTGAATGTGGGATTTGTGGTGGATAAAGTGGCGCTGGAGCAGGTTTTCTCAGGGTATTTCGGTTTTCCCTGCCAAACTTCATTCCACCAACTGCTCCACAATCACCATCATCTTTCACCTGGGGCTGGTACAATAGGCCAGTAGTGGCCACTGTACTAAGTGGACCCAAAAGACTACAAATGATGCACCCATTTTGAACATAAACCTTAGAATCAGAACAGTCCAATAAGATGAATCCCATTAAGATGATCATCATAAATTAAATATAAATATGTGGATAGAATATCTGGGACCCAGATGACTGAACCAATAAAAATTTTAAACTGTAAGATTTAACACATAACTACAGACCATCTATTTAATAACTACATAATATGCAACATCATCATACCTTATTTGCAAATACTGTAAGAACAAATTTTCCAGGTTGGAAAGTCTCCAATACTCGGGAGATCACATCTTTGTATGAAGCTTGTGGCACGTTGCTCTCAAAGCTGACATAAGAGAAGTCTGGCTCTGGGGTAACGTGAATAGTCATGTAGCAGCCCTGCAGGCACACAAGTACATATCATATCACCCATCCACCTCCAAACTCACCACATTAAGCAGTTACTATCTACAGTTTATGCCTCCCCCCTTACAAATATATTTCTAGTTTTTAATATATCTTACAACTTCAACACAGTGCAATGAAACAAGCTACTATACGAATATACATAACTGATAAAGCTTCAACATATACACAACAGAGTAACATGAAAGTCAGGTTCAAGCCCGGGTCTGGTCATGTGAGATTTGTGGTGGACAAAGTGGCACTGGAGCAGGTTTTCTCCGAATACCTTGGTTTCCCCTGCCAATCTTCATTCCACAAACTGTTCCATATCACCAGCATCTATCATCTGGGGCTGGTACAAAGGGCCAGTAGTGGCCACAGTGCCATACGAATTCAGTCTCACCCCGCTAACATTCAAGTCATCCACAAAACAAGCTTTGACTTTAGTTCAGTTGAGCAGCATAAGAAGTGGTTTCATTACCAAATAACACAATTAGGAACTACAGTTCATGACAACATGATCACATTATCACTCACTCCCTTTGCTTTGTGAACAGAACAGTTCTATATGAAGGAATGCATATGCACCACAGGATACTGACAGAACTGTCCACTAAGTGTAAGGTGCAGTAAAGTATTTATTTTACACTTCATCCTCAAAAAAATCATGTTAATAAACTTATGACTTATGTACAAATGAGTTTTAAAGGGGAAAAAATACAACTTGTTAACTTTCTGGACATTATCTATCATCTTTTTGTTTAAAAGCAAGGTTTTGAAGACTGGACTCATCTCTGTCCTTAGGTAAAAGTCTACTCAGTTGGGCCCAAATTATAAGAGGTTGTTCACTCGATGGATAATGTCCAAAAAGTTAACAACTGCATTAATATACCATGGTCACAAACTTTTAGATTCTATACAAAACAAAATACATTTATTCACATGTGCACAAATTATCCAGATATCAATAATCAAAACAAAACTGACTAATGCAAGAATGACTGACGTGTTTGTGTTAACCAACAGAGAAAGGATTAATATTGTGACATGCTGCGCAGCGAAGGACCCCTACCTCCCCATCGGCACGTAGCGGTAACGTAGCGCTCACGTAATAGGCGAGTCATCACCCCGCCACTCTCCCCGCAGTGACGTCACGAGCGGAGCCGAAGTGAGCCGAGGTTAGCCGAGCCCCCGCAACCTGGTAGCTATGCAACGCGAGTCAAAAGCGGTGACGTAACAGGATGACGTGGCACTCATTACGCAACAGGCAAGCACTGGGGCTATATAAGTGAGCTGCACAGCGGCTGCAAGTTAGTTGTAATGTGGGCAGTCGCCGAGTTGAGTTGTAATGTGGGCAGTCACCGAGTTGAATTGTAATGTGGACAGCCGCCGAGTTAAGTAGTAGTCAAGCGAGTCAGTGTGTTATCGAGTTCTCAGTTCACAAGTTACGAGCTACAGACGCGTGTGCGAGAATCAGTGATAGTTCGTGATAACCAGTTACATCTGGAGTGTGTAATTCAGGGAGACTTGTATAGGTCCCGCGGTATTAATACGGGCAGACTCTTGAAGATAGTGTTAGGAGATTTTGTTTTAGGGTTTGTAAAGTGTGGAAACCCCGCAACAGTGGTAACAGATTATTGCGCATAGGGTTATAAAGTGTGAAACCCCGCAACTGTGTTATAATTAATTGTAGCCGTGATTTGTAGATTGTTAAATAAACCAATTAACGATCTCTACGGCGTATTCAGTAACCAAGACACGTTACAATATTTTACTTTGCATTCCAATTTTTGTTGTCTATGTGCAATGTCCATTAACCTTTAAGTGACGGGCCATTTAAATTCCGGTAGTGGTAGCGGGACGGAGTTAATTTAAATGCCCGCCATTGTAGAGTAATAAAAATTGTAATCATGTTACTCAAAATGCTGTGATTTCTACCATTTTTGTGATAAACGAACGAAATAAACGCTGCTTTTATCTGGAAAGAATATAGAATCAGATATTGTAATTTACAGATTTCAGAATCTATAAAAATTGTTACACTGATTCCGAATTTCCCCCCCCCCCCAATTTTGAGTGTCCGTCCACAAATATGCAGAAAGTTTCTGCACAAAACGTTTCTCCAGTACAAATGCATGCTGCAAGACATCCTCTCTTCCTGTTTTATCTTTCTAAAGGGGAGGAAGCTAATGTTTGTACGGCACATTCTCCAGTCACGTCGTAACCTTTCTACTATTGCATGAGTGGGCATCGTACTTTGTACTTCAGAAACACTGCATGTTTATATCTCAGGCTAGCCACACAGAGGTACTCTCCTTGGAATAGCCCTGCAATGCCTTTCAGTTTCGTTTGTACTGCATTCTGAATCGGTGAGATTTATGAGCGGCCTTCAATCTCGGCTTCTTCCATGCATAATGGAGCCATGTTGGATAGTTCAAATTGCGATGTTTTATAAGCATTATGATTCTGTTTACATCTCGGACTAAACAAACAGAGCTACTGTTCTTGGAATGCCTTTCAGTCTGGTCTGTAATGCATTCTGAATCGGTGTAATTTATGAGCGGCCTCTCCTATGCGAAATGGGGCCATGGTGGATAGTTGAAATTGCGATGTTTTATAAGCGACACGATTAGAATTGTCCTTCAGAAACCCTGACTGTGCATATCTCGAACTAACCACACAGAGATATTGTTCTCAGCATAGCCCTGCACTACCAGAAAGTTCTAGCCTAGCGCGTTGTGTTGTGAATAAAACATCGCAATTTTAACTAGCCAGCATGGCCTCATTTCACTTGGAAGAAGACGAAATTGAGAAGCAGTTGATTATTGACACCGATTTAGACTGTGGTACAGAAGATTCTGAGAGTGGCGAGGAAACAACGGGCTCAGAACCCGAAGTCGACGAAGACCCATCATCTTCGTCGGCAACCTGGGGACCACCACACCAGCATGGCAGGAGGCGTGTGAATAATTATTCAGGTGGAGCTGTGGGGTTAAATATCTATGAAGCTCCACACGTAAATAAGGATTCCACCCCTTTCTGCGTTTTCATGCTGTACTTCGCAGGGATTATCTGTCTGCTGGTGGAAGAGACGAACAGGTACTACCATCAGCACGTAGACAGATGTCAAGACGGACCTTCTCCGTGGCCTGACGTGACCGAATCCGAGATGTTTCTGTTTCTAGGAATAATCATTCAAATGGGACATGACAACAGAGGCAGACTAAAGGACTACTGGTCGACTCTAGAACAATTTGCCACGCCTTTCTACTCTAAGACAATGAAACGCAACCATTTTCTACACATTCTTCGTTTTCTTCATTTTGCAGACAACAGTACAGAAATAGACAGGAATGCCGACAGTTATGACCGACTATGGAAAATTCGGACCATCTTCGACACTCTCAATGACACATTTGAAAAATATTATAACCCTTCCGAACATTTGGCCATTGACGAAATAATTGTAAAATACAAAGGGAGGGTGGTTTTTAGGCAGTACATTCCTAAGAAACACAAACGTTCCGGAATCAAAATCTTCAAAATTTGTGACACCGCTGGGTATACTTATGACATGAAAGTTTACCTAGGAAAAGACAGGACACGTGCCAGCCAAGACGTGACAGCGACACATGCTACAGTTAGGGACCTATGCAGACGTATTGAGGGCGTAGGTCACAAACTGTACATGGACAATTTCTTTTCTTCACCCGACTTGTTTGACGAACTGATGACAAAGAACATAACGTGCTGTGGGACAGTCAGACCTAATCGGAAGGGCTTGCCTGACGATTTTCGACGAAGAAAATTTCGACTGAAGAAAGGGGACATTCGTGTTAGGGTGAGACAGAACTTGACAGCACTAGTTTGGAAGGACAAACGTGACGTTTACATGCTGACAAATATGCACTCTCCTCCAGCAGAAGGTAGTTTCTGTGATGAGCATGGAAATGCCATCAAGCCAGCAACTGTTGCTAACTACAACAAGCACATGGGTTATGTCGACAAAGCGGACAGAATGGCAAACAGTTATAGCATCTGTCGTCGAACCTGGAAATGGACAAATAAATTATTTTTCCATCTCCTGGATCTGACGATTCTGAACAGTTATATCCTGTTGTCATCCTGTGGCGCGAAATTGTCACACAGAGAACTTCGTCTCGCCCTTGTGCGGAACATGCTGGAAGGGGTCCCCCTTGCCCTCAACGGCCCAGGGGTCGAACCCCTGCCGTTTCATCGGGATCATTTCGAATAGAGGAGGCCAAACAACAGCACTGGCCGACTCTCTCTACTTCGAAATTGAGGTGTCGAGTGTGCTCTTCGCGTGGGAAATGAAGAACTGTCCGGATAAAGTGCGTGAAGTGTGATGTGGGACTCTGCATTTCCGGATGTTTCCAAGATTTCCACACGAAGCCAACATTCCGTTACACAACGCAGGTGGGAAGAGAGACAACTTATAAAGCTGGTGACCATAAATCATGTAAGTAGAAAAAGAATTTATAACTTAAAATTAGATTTTAAAAATCCGGCCGCGCACATGGACTGCGCGACGACATATGGCGTCATTCGTCCCCTTGACTTTATTTTAATGACGCCATATGGCGTCGCTCGGCTCTTAAAGGTTAATATTCTCTCATCTTCCCCTTATTGTCATTACATGTTTCAGCCTAACCAGCCATCATCAGGTGTACAGACTGTTGTGATGAAAACTCTGCTGCTCACTGTGATACTGTTCTGCTTTTCTTATGTAATTGCTTTGGAGTAATTCTAGGTTGTGTGGGTTAAGAAGCTGTTGCCATGCACATGTTTGCCTTATGGGTTTGTTGATTTATCTTTGGTTCAGTGAGAGACTGCCCTGAATGTCTTTGTTGGAGTGGAAGCTAGTTGTCTGGCAGTCAGCCATCATGGTCATTAAGCTATATCTTTCATAACATAGTTCTATAAGGTTATGATATGAAAATGCTGTTGATTCATCAAAAACAGGTAACCTTATATAGTCATGTAATATTAAGAATATGTGAAGCTTTAGCTTAACTTTCCCTACATGCCCTTATGGTGTGGTGTTTTTACATAGTATTGTCACGTGATGGACTATGTACAGAGGGCCACAAGCTTTTCCTTATGTCTGCAGTGCCTGTGGTTGCTGATGTTGCGTGTCTTGAAGCAGTGCAGCTGTGCAGGACTGCTCTAGTGAGGTGAAATTAGAGAACGTTCCTCCCAGAGAATCTCCTCTCCTCCTTTTGAATGACTGTAGTCTTGATATGACGCTGGATGAGGTTTCTCCTTCTGCTAGGGTGCAACTGCAACAGCTTGGTACAGGTTCTGTATTTGTCTTTTCAGGGCATTCCTTATGCAGGTGGCCACCACTGCACCACAAACATCTAGGAGATTGCTTCCAGTTGCCCGAGAAATGGTCAGAGTTTTGTCAGTTGTAGCACTGAATAAGGCCAGTCTGAACTGTCTATAACTACCTTGATCATAAGATGCTTTAATATATCTTTAAGATTTTACGTCTCCTGTTAAGGTAACAAGGAACAGAGGGAGGGGTTCCATGTGGGTTTGTCCGTTGGGTGCAGTTCGAGCAGTCATATTTTGCTTCATGTTGATGACGTTGAGGCTGTTTGAAATATTTTCTGCTGGCATGTTTGGGGGAAGGTGACAGATCACTGTCTTGATCGGCTTTTCAGAATTGGGGAGAAGGTAAGATAGAAGACGTTATTTTTCTCCAGGTAGGATTTCATGGTTGAATAATATGCCATTTCTTTTCTTATAATACGGATTCTGTTTCTTGTATTTCGGAAACTGTCCTCTCCTTTGACATGGTCTTTCATGCTGCTTAGGAGTCAGATGAGGTTTGTGGTAGAAATCATCATTACTGGTGGTGGCCTACCTACTTTTCTGGGAGCCTCTGCACCAGTAGTTCTGAGAGGTGCAAAGAAGTTGTGAGTTAACACTGCTTTTGGAGGCATCATGACAGCTACAGATGGGATTGGTTTCGACGACTTCTTGTCTCTAGACCTGTACTGCTTATAACATCTCAGCATGGAATGCACAGAAAACACCACTTCCTACTGTTATATCCAATCACATGTGTGGAAGCATGCTCACTTGTGACACCACTACTTAGTAACAGCTGTTGTATATGTGCTTATTTCATGACTGTCGCCTAGCAATGGGTCTACATGCCACAGTATGAATACTTAATGTGGTAACTTTTATGCAACTCCCCTTAAAACATTTCCATAATTAACCTTTAAGATCCCAGCAACACCATATGGAGACCTTTAAAGTGTAGCCGAGTGGTCGTGCGACACCGCATGGGTACGCGCAGTCCACGCGTGCGCACAGTGTTTTAAAATCCAAATTTAAGAAAGAAATTCTTGTTCTACTTACATTATTTTTGGGCACCCACTTTATAAGTAGACAGTATTCCCTCCTGCGTCATCTAACTGAATGCAGAGTCTGACGTCGCAATTTGTCGGAATGTAACTCTGTTTCCCACGCGAAGAGCACACACGACACCTCAGTCTCGCATTAGAGGGAGTCAGCCAGTGATGTCGAGTGGCCTCCTCTAATTGTAACGCTTATAAAACATCACAATTTCAACTATCCACCATGGCCTCATTTCGCATGGAAGAAGCCGAAATTGAGAGGCAGCTGATAATGCGCTTCCCATGCTTGTGTGTGCGTGGGGCGAACGTGGTATGAAGGAATGTTTTTCCAGCTTGTATAAATGACACCGATTCAGACTGTGGTACAGACAACTCTGAAAGTGGCGAGGAAGCAAGGGCGAAATGCGGGGCTATTCCGAGAACAGTACCTCTGTGTGGCTAGTCCAAGATATACACAGTCAGAGGAAGGACAAAGTACGATAAGACTTCGACCACACTCGTGCATACAGAAAGGTTCCGACGTGACTGGAGAATGTGCAATACAAACATAAACTTCCTCCCCTTTTGCCAGATAAGACATAGTAAGACAGGATGTCAGCAGCATGCATTTATACTGCAGAAACTGTATGCATATTTGTAGACAGACGCTCGAAATTGGGAAAACAATTTTTTGGAATCAGTGTAACAATTTTTACAGATTTTAAAATCTGTAAATTACAATATGTGATTCTATATTCTTTCTAGATAAAAGCAGCGTTTATTTCGTTTGTTTATCACAAAAATTGTAGAAATCACAGCATTTTCAGTAACATGGTTACAATTTGTAATACCCTACGATGGCGGGCATTTAAATTAACTCCGGCCTGCTGCCATTACCGGAATTTAAATGACCCGTCTCTTAAAGGCTAAATATCCTGACAATATTTACAGTTCATTTGCCAAATATGTAATACTATATTTACCTGTATACAAATTATGTCAGTTTTAAATGATTAAGAAGCATCTACTCGATATAAAGTTTTAAGTGCTCTGAAACTGGATAATGCACTTGTGATAATGTTTTAAAAATTTGCAACAGCTTCATTTTCTCAAAAGATGTCAAGCAGAAACTCATATCCAATTGCATAAAGTTATCAGCTTATGCATGTGTATACATTATGTTAATAAATGGAAAAATATACAATTAGGATGCCATGCAGCTTTGTAACCACGATGCTGAGGACGATGGTATTATGATGGTAATTCAATTCAAAATAACAGTTTTACTGTAATATACTTTCAAGTCATGAGTCATCTATATTTGTGCTGACCTTCTGCAACCCAGGTGCATGTGCTATGACTGGTGCGAACATTAAGTTAAGAACAGGTACGCATATCACAGGTCCAAAATGATTATTTGTGTGGAATCTTACACCAAGCAAGAGTAGCATGATGTTACTCAATTTCTGGCAGCTGAAGGTGACAAACCAGAAAATGCTTATCACAAAATGGTCATAAGCAAATGAGAGATGGTTTTCTTGAAGAAAATGAATGCATTACTTTGAGCCTAATACTAAATGAGCTTGCAAAACAATGCCATCCTTCATCACAGAGGAGCCCAATTCTCACTTGAAGGGTAATGTTGACTGTTTGGTGGTACATGTATGGTGTCAGAGTAACAGATTTCATAAACAAGAGGTAAAAAAGTCAAATAAATTGCAAGTTTTTGAAGGAGAATCTGAAGTCACCTACTGGAGAATAATGGAAACTGCTGTTAAAAGGACGTCTGCTTGCAGGATGACAATGTATGTCCACGCAATTCTCAGATGTTACAATAATCAAAGACCTCTGCATAGAACTTTTCCCATTCCCAGTCTATACATCTGTATACATCTATACATATCTAAAAACTGCACAGTGGAATCTGCTTGTTTACTAACGAGATGGTACAGTGTACAGTGCAAAACGGGGGCATGTGAACATTAGCAATTTTTATGATGATGACACTGGTAAAATGGAAGATATGCATTGAGAAAGAAGGTACCGATAAATAGCATACACGCTACTTTTGTGTAGCTATGTACTTTACAGCAATATTTTTCATCTGAATTACCATCACATAATGAGCGTTACGAATAGTCTGACTATGCACACATGCATGCTAACAAATGCACTGACAAACCATACAGACATTGCATCTGCAGCAAAACAAACTAAAACAGTGTCTGTAAATCCTGTAGATCAAATGAACTACAGAAAACTACATTATTAAAAAAATCACATATCACATTAATTTTCCACAAATTCCTGTATCTATCATCCATACTTTTTAAATGGAACGACATAAATCTTCATATTCAGACATGCAGATATTCCAAAGACCTGAGCACTTATTAGCTTCACATGAGTTAAGATTAAAAGCTACTCAATATACTGAGAGCTGCCAATGCAAATCAGGTTTCTACAACTTTTTAACATTTGCTTTCTTGCCTGAGCTCTCAAAGAAGTTTTAATACTTCTCACCTAGGTGGCATGCAAGAGCAGAAATACTGAAATATTAAAACGAAGTTACATGATAATGACACACTTTGGAAGGGCAGGTCATGTCTAGGTTTAAGTAACTCTGGTACTTGTTGCAGATGCAAACAACTGCAATGAAAGTGTGGCAGTAAGGGTCAGAACAAAAGTGAGTTTATTATTATATAATCACGTTAAAAAGCTGGCGATTGTATAAAAAGTTTCAAATGTTCCTTATGACACTTCCCTACAATCCCAAATTAGTTTAATGGTTAATGATTTCTTTTATGTGGTTTATCTTAATAAGGGGCTGGTCCTAAAGTGTTAAAATGAAGATTCATTTGGAAAAACACAATTGCAGCACCACCTAATTTCAATCTTTATAATGTGCACAACATCACAGTAAGCTCTGAAGCAAGGTCGCACCATAGCTCAAGCGGTTAGTCGCTGGCTTCCCACCGTGGCAGCCCAGGTTTTATCCCGGGTCTGGTCAAATGGGATATGTGGTGGACAAAGTGGCGCTGGGGCAGGTTTTCTCCGAATACTTCGGTTTCCCCTGCCAATCTTCATTTCACCAATTGCTCCACAATCACCCTCGCCTATCATCTGGGGCTGGTACAATAGGCCAGATGTGGCCGCAGTACAAGGGACTTAGTCCCACCCCACTAGCATAATAATAATAAAAAAAAAAAGCCTTGAAGCACCTACAACAGAAAGCAGCAACTGAATTATGTACAAAATTAAAGAACCAATGAAGATAAAGCCTGTACTCAATACCAGAGTGAATGAGAATTAAGTGGCACATTTCTTTCTTATCTCATTATATAACAGAATGGTACCAAACCAGACTTCTAAAACAATCATACAATTCATCGAATTGCCACAGTTTATCAAAGAAACAGAGTATTTGACTTAATAAGAGGCCACAGATCAATTCTCTTCAGCCATTGTTAAATATTCAATGAACAATATTTATCTGTTAAATAAATAAACCTTCATTTGCCTCTAATTTTGTAACAAGCATTTTATCTTAAACAGATTTCTCCATTCCATAACAAATTCCAAACTGCCCCATGCATATTTCATGTGATGAAGGTACTTACAGAGGGCAAATCAGGGCCACCCTATGGACAGAGGGAAAGAAAATTATCAGACCCCTTTTTAAAGAGGCCTCATTATACAATACTGCAACATTTATTAACAATTCCTTTCTCTTGCCACATGAACAGTTCCATCTTAAATGTGTTTCAAATTTCATAATAAATTAATATAAATACATAAAAATCTGAAGACAAGATTAATTATGAACTACAGATTTATTAATAATTTCATATTATATAAATCAACAGTGCAGGAAAACAAAACGTGAGCAACAGTGATGGTGATGAAACAAGCTCACTTAATAAGAACAGCAAAATGAATAATCCAAACACACAACTGTGGTTTCAATTGTTTTTTGTATAATACAACTTTCTGTATGACAATCAGTCTTACTTGAAAGATAGAATGCATGTACAATAATTTTTATAATTTTCCCTTCTAAATAACACTTTGATAATAGAACCCAAAGGCTCAACACCTGCAGCCTGCCAATGAACACAATATGAGACAGCTCCATCTACCTCCACCACTAACTAAAATCCATTTATGGCAACTTTCCATCTCCCGTTTGGTCTTCAAAGTGGCCACTTTCCAAGACAATTCTCAATCAAAATTCTGAATGTATTCCTTGTCTCTACCTTAACTACACATGCAGTCCAGCACACCTTCATCTTTATTTGAACTATCAATTCTACATTACAGCTTTAGAGACCATTTGTGATAATACACCAATCATTCATTATACCAGAATCTGCGGTATCCACTGATAACATAAGTATCAACATCAAAATGACAACTCCATTATGGACTACAGCTGCCTAAAGTGCCCTGCTTATTTCATTACTGTGCAGTTTCACAGATTACACACAGGGCTGGAGCAATCCCAAAGGCAACCCCCCCCCCCTTCAACGCATCACATTACACAAAACACTATTCTTCACAGCACCTATCAATGTACAGAGGACAATTCCAAAACGAATTTATACAAATAAGAAATACACTTACATTTTTACTGGAAATACCATTCATTGAGTAACCACAGGGCTCAAACAGAAAATCATCAATCATCATATTTGGCACCAGCTTCTCAATTCCAGATTTCTGAAACAAAATACAACATAAAAACTTCAAAGGTTACATACCTTAACCACAAATACAAACTCTGATTACAGAACTTGTCATGCCACCGAAACCTGCTGCAATATTCCCAGCTGTAACATGTCCAAAGAAGACAGAAATCACCACTACACTTCACTGTTTCCAGTTGGAAAACCCCTAAAAACGGGGAGTAGTAGTCCCAACAGTTTCATATGTGTTCTGATCATGCAATGTTAACAGGGATTTTCTTTTCTACAATGAAAAAGATTTAATCTACAGAGCATGTTTCTGCTGGCAATAATATGGCAGTCCACCAAACCTTACTCTATGATTAGCATTGCCTTAATGAAATGGATTCAGATTATTACCATTTCCAGCTATGACAGAGAGATGGCAGCTGCAGGCAGTTGCTGCAAAAGACCATTGATGGGTCAGTTCCGTTTCGCCAGGCGACGGCAGTTAATCCCGAAACATTCAAGTCAGGGCCTTGCGCAGGACCACCTCTCTACACTACCGTTGGAGGCAACATGAATGCACACGACGTAAACCAAATGTCACCACTTAACTGCAAAATCAGAGTCAGGGTGTCTACCAGATCCATCTATCAAAACCCCCACACCATCAGAGCCAAATAAAATATGTACCCACCATTTTTTAAAGTCTAAAACTTCACACATAATAAATGACACTACTACCAACTCAAAGAATGCATGCATGCAAGGGTTAGCAATGGAAAATTTAACATTTAAGACCTCATGAAGCAGCATCAGTAATTTGAAAGCCGACAACACTCAGGCAAACACCCGTCAATTTGGGTTGTAGCCAAACCTCTTAACTAATTTAACAAAATTTATTTTCTTTCTTACTTTAACACATTAACAACCAAGGGATGCTTTTAGGTTGCATGTAATGAAAATAAATCACTATGATCGTCATTTTAACCCATCTGCATCTGTGAATCAAATGTGTGACATCTTGATAAGCTGTCCTACATGAACACGAATGTAAAAGTGTGCATTTCTATAGCCTGTGTTTCAGCAACTTCTAACTCATTCTCTGTTTTACCACAGCCTTGAATCACACGTACACATACTGTAGTCATCTAACAGATAATCTATTAACTGCTACCAAACAAAAAGTCAGTATGTTTAAAATAGGGTACAACAAATATGCAAGATTCTGTACGATTCTGTACAATTCACGAAGGTAAAAGACAAAAGGTAACTGCAATATTTGACTCCTATGGCATACCTGGAAGGCTGTATGTCTAGATTAGTCATCAAACACTGAGAGCGCTGGACTCTCAAAGTTGATGCAGCTGGGGCAGTGTTTTCTTGAAATTCGATTTCATAGTAGCAAAGGGGGGCTACAAATTTCAATTCACAGTACTCCTAAGTTAGGTTTGCCCAGAAATCAATTGACAGAAAGTAAACTGAATCACTGTTTCTGGAAAGGGTCAGAATTGAACACTACCAGATTCCGGTATCTTGAACTGCATTGGTATGCAGCTTTTCTTTCATCAGTGTGAAAATGAATTTTATATCCAAAAAGTTCCTCCTTAAGGAGAAATATAATACAAAACACCATCACATGAATCCAATAACATATAAGTGATAACCTTAATGAATTCACTATTTATGCTTGACATGTGCAGACAGCAGAGAAATACTACAATTTCCTCCTGTCCTCATTCTTCAATCACAATTCAAAGTTTGATTATATGAAGACATAGCCAGATTCATCTTCCTAAATTTAATATAAAACAAAGAGACCTTATAAGGTTACATTCTTAGCATTCATAATGAAATTCACCACTAGCAAAAATCTGACAATACTTCTGGAATCTCAGGGTTCCAAGGGCATCACCATAATAGGTCAGAGAAAGCTGTCAGGTTGATGCTATGAAGGCAGATGCAAGTAGCTGATCTTTATCTGATGTTTATTAACCAGTTAAGTGGTATATTTTCCATGGTCTTATCTCTCTCATAGTGGGACATTAAAATTCACCAGACATTTAAATTTGTTACTGCAGTGTTTAATTTTACAACTGTTGCTCCCTTTTCAGAATTCAGTATCTCAACCATTGTGTCGTTATAAAATTATGAAACAAAGTCTCTGACAGACTAATTATCAGAGTTCATATATCTATATATTCATATAAATATAAACATTACATTCAAGTTTACACATACTTTTTAGTAAAATTCTGGACTTTTCACTTCATTCTCATAAAGTATACCACTGTCACCACTGGCATGCATTTCAGTTCCCAATATGTGATCACAAAGGCATGTCTGACTCATGCACATTCAGTATATGCAGTCCTGACTGGCATCTGGTGTTTTTACATATGAAAAATGTTCACTGAAGCTGATAAAAAAACAACTTCCAGCCTAAACACACACTCACATGTCTGATTACTGCAACATTTCACTATGACTTACTACAGCTCTGACTGCCTCATTGATAACAGACCTTATTGCCATGTGGGCTGAACTTGAACTTCCTTCACAAGCTCAAGGCTACTGCGGATGAATGAACTGTGCAACAAAAGCAATTTGTTGTCCCAAACATCAACTGCAAAAGCGCTATCTTGCACAGACTATGAAATCATCACTAAAACGCTTATACCACCAGAAACACTGGTGCAACTCCCGTGGCACATACTCTGAAAGTCTTTATAATTATGGTGTAGTTTTCAATACCAGCCAACAATACACCTTTTAGCCACTGAAATCTTGCATTCAGACACTTCATAGCCACTAGCTAAACCTCGATCCCCTTTCGCGCCTCTAGAAGTTGGCCAGTGCAGTACACAGGGTCACCTACAGTTTTTGCAACTGTACCTTGTTTCCCAACATTGACCTTTTTGTTGTCAATAAAATGAAGAAACATGAGTAGAAGGTAAAACATCATCTCACTGAACAGGTAAAAAAATGTTGATATTTCCAAAATCTTCCCTTGGAGAAAACAGCTCTTGTTATCTGGTTTCTGGTGAAGTCCTTGTAACAACAAGAATGCCAGCAACTTCATTACTTCATTTCTGGTCATCTTCCAGTGATGGGTCCTATATCTTAGTGGCAACCACCCACAGTGAATTCAGAGCTAGCCAATCACAAGCTAGGACCCAGCCGTTGCTTAGCATTGGCTGGTTCCTAGCCTGTGATTGGCTAGCTCTAGATTCACTGTTGATGGTTCCCACATGTTTTCCGAAAACTTTTCAGCATACCAATATATTTTTCTGCCTATTACTCCTGCAATTTCTGGTGTACAAAACAATTGGAAATATTTCAGGGGGTTACTGGGGTCTTCTAAATCAACATTTATACCAGTCTTTTCAATAAACGGAAAACATGGCTGCTCAGCACCTGACCTTGCCCATATGCCATGCTGCATGCTACTGCTGTCACTGACATTTTCTTCTTCATCAGACCTGACACTCTGTTCACCATTTGACGAAATCTTCACATTTATTTTACTGTCACTACAATATTTGCTCTGAGTAATATCACCACATCCGTTCTCTTGCAACAGTTCACATATCACCTCATTAGTCACGCATCTTTTTCTAAGGATCTGCTATAATGTTTACTCGCAATAACTCGAACCCAGGACAGTTATTAAGCAATCAGCACCTTCCTGTTATACCCTATCATGCACAACGTACATATTTGCATTGCCAACTGTCATTATATCTATAACAGGGTACTTAGAAACACATGTTGAGACGACATACCCACTACGATACAGAGTGCTGCATCACATGTTAAGACATAATAACCACTTAACTGGTAAGGAAAGTTACAGTGAGAGTATGAAATGATATGCTGGCAGTTGCCTGTGAAAGGAGATCATATGGAAGTATCATTCAGCAGTTCTAAGTGATGGCATAAATTTTAAAGTGATGATAGGAAATAACACAGAACAAACTTGATAATTACTTTTTTTCTTTTCATTTTTAAAACCTCAGGTTAATATGATACTCTATAAGTGTGAAAACAATTACATCCACCAGAGCAACTTAGTTTTATTAAACTTTATTTAAACAGAGAAAATATTTTGATGTTCACACATAAAATTACAATACTTCCACTTCATTCATAAGAGACTAACAATATAAACATATCACTACTGTAACAGTGAACATAATTTTATCAGCATACTCTATGTAAGTCAAGAAGACTGCATTTAGAATGCTGCTATATCAACTAAACTGATTACTATTTTATGGTAGTTCTAGCTTGCTATCCTAAATATTCATCGATTCTATGCACGAAAGTCATTTTTTCATGGGGTGCTGTAATCTTTTGTTTGACCCCAAAATACTACCAGAAACTAAAAGTGCCTACAACAAATACCTTCATTAATTTGGATTGAATGCTATTAATACTAATTTCATGATATGAAATAAATATATAAAAAAAGCTACTTTGATAAAGTGAGCTTATAATATGTGTTCCCCACTGGTAGACACCCTGTTGTAATTATGCTCTTGTCCATGAAGCAACACTGCCGCCATACAAACCTGGGTAGCCTCTGCAGCTGAGGATGACTCTTCCCGCGTGAAAATGGCCATCACTTCTGGATCTAGATCTGACATAAGTATTTCCAATGTTTGGTCAGGTTCTGGGATGCCCCGATGCCGCTTCTTGTTATCTCCCTCCAATGGGTTCAGAGTGTATAGGTACCAACAATCTCGATTTACAGTGCCCAAACAGTAAGCAGCACCATCTGTTAAGTCAAAATATATATCCTAATCATTCTTTATGTAAAAGCTATATTACAGTGCACACAATAAGAAGGAATTATAATGAGAAGAGTGGACAATCGTCCACAATACTTCATTTTACATCAGTAATGACTCTAATTACTCACATGTTAAAACTTACAGTGTAATTACAAAGAACGCAGATTAAACTGATACAATTACAATTTTTTAGTAAAGAATCCAGAAAGCTATCTTCAAAACAGTATCTCAGGATAATGGAAACAAAACATCACACTTTGTCGTATATCATAATTCTGTATTTCAGCATTCTGTTGCACTGTATTCTTTCCATGTATTAATTTCCGTCTTCAGCGCAACTCACACTAGAATTTTAAAACTTTCTGTACAAGCTGCGCAGAAGACAGAAATAAATACATGGAATTCACACTTTGGTTTACAAATACCTTTGAAAAAACTATCCAGCAAAGCAACTTCTTGTTCAAAAGCTTGATGTGGATTCATCTGAAGATCAGGTCTTTTGAAGTTCTTCCGAGAATAAAACACATCCTGATGCGAAAAGAAATAAGAATGAACAAATTCAAACTTTACAAGACTAATTTTGCTGTTATAGAGGGTAAAGATAAATTACAAATTGCATACAGTGCCAGCAATGGTTAGGGCAATCCCCACGAACAAAATGTCTGACACACAAACTACGTCCTAAGTTTCCATGACAGAATCAATCAAATATTTCTGAATAAACAAATTCCAAAGTGTAATATCAATGTCAACCTATATACAGAGAAATTCCTATTTAAGGTTTTCTCTTTGTGGGGGGGAACTGTTGTGACATAGTACACAAGAATGCAGAAGCATTCTGTTAATGTAGCACTCCTCTTATGAAGTTTCAGGTAGACTTATTCTGGCTGTCTTATCATAAAGATGTGCTGATCACCCATGGAAGATAACGGTAGGACTCAGTCAATCTACTTTTGGTTTCTTGCGTTCTGCAGTAAGAACTTGCTGCGCAACTGTGTTTTAATCATTAAAATAAAGAGTTCCAGATGGTAACAGCACAGTGAGTTTTCAGAGAGTACATGGCTCAACCAACAGACAATCAAAGAGTGATAATTGTTGTAATACATATTTCAACAGATAACAATCAGTAACCAGATTTGTGTTAGGGTATATTTATCCAACCCCAATTCTAAGGGTTGGGATAGAATGACATTCTAATGCACTGACAGCCAATAAACCTACCTCTTCTCCCTTTCTAGCACAATGAATCATTACATTATTATCCCAAAAAGAGGGCCCTTTTAGGTGTAATTCCCAGTGGGGCACAGTGACAGAGGAATTATCATCCCCTAACAATGGTAAGGGTGCTGCCAGCCTTGGGGTGCATCCCAAACCTGACCATGAGACCAGCTCTTACACAACTTGTGAAAGTGTAACTGGCAAAGAGAGGGTGGCTGGACAGGCCATCCCATTACAAGCAGGTTGCAATAGGAGTCTAGGGGGTTAATTCCAAACAGTTAAGCAGAGGTGATAGCAAAAGACAGAATGATGCTAATCCCCCATCACTTGCAGCAAATGGAGTTGGCAGCAGTAGGATATTCATAGTCACTTCCTTCCTCTACACCCACCAACCACATAGCAGCAATCAAGAGGGGATGAATCTGAACAAACACAACCTCACCCACTAGACAAGGTAAGTAGTGGCTGCTGTTGGATTATTGCAGAAACATAATTTTATGCAGATGCAGATCAGCCACATCAAGTGGTGGCACTGTTGACATTTTCTCACCTTTGTTCTGAGGACATCATTTACATGAAGATTACTGCCTTGGGATCACTGAAACTGAATATTAAATGATAAAATCTTACGCTTAGGTAATTTTTTTAATTCGCATAGTGGGGGGGGGGGGTAGAGTCCAGCTGGGTCCACTCAGCACGTCGGCCACTGATTATACTGAGTTATATCAAATGGAGATTCCAATGTACACACAATGAAGCGAAAATTTGCAGTGAAAAATAAGCCAAAAACTATTGCCAAGATGTCTATACTTTCTACTTTAAGCAGGAATTTCTTTAAAAAGATAGCAAAACTCACACAATGACAAATACACAGACTGTACCATTTAACACAAAAATATACACTTCATTATGTTTTATGGAATGAACCTCTATTATTTCTTATACAAACAAAAACAAACAAACTCTGTGGCCTGTAGTCCACAAGCGAACTATACCGACCAAGCGATCGCCGTTTGTCGGCAAAGTTAGTTCCAACTTTTGCGGATAAAGGACGTTGCGTGGTCAGCACAATGGATCCCCTTGGCCGTTAATTTCGGTTTTCTAGACCGGAGCGACTATTTCCTTGAAATAGCTTCTCAATTATACTCATGAGGCTGAGTGGACCCCGTTCCAGACCCACTGCTTCTCAGATAATCTGGTAGCGTCGGGAATTAAACCCAGACCTCTGAATCTGTAGCCATGAACTCTGATCATCAAACCACACAGGTGGTCATTATTTCTTATAACAGAGGATTATTCCCTTAATTTATTTAAAACTGGCAGACAACACACTGTTCCAAATCAAATAATTTTAATTTCAATTAAATGTGTGGAACATGTTTACACTCAAAAAACGATGCCCTAATTCTACAACACACTCTACTGCTTTCACAGAGGCTCTTTACTTCATGATTTAAACAAGTAACGATCTCATACAGCAAACTTTTCAAATATTGCACATAAGCAAATAATTCTAGAAAATTAAATGGTGGGTGGTGACACGTTTCGACAAGTGGTTTTGATGAGACCTTAGCCTGTACAGTGGCTGTGTATCATTAAACAACTCAAGTAGGCAAAATGTTCCACAAACAGACCCAAAAAGGTTTTCACTGTTAAGTCGTCATTATTAAAATATTCTGTCATGCCCCCCTATCCTGTTATAGAGATCTCTCATGGTCTTATGAGACAGAAACATTTATGCCAAGCACAAATGTCACTGAACATAAAACCTAACAACTACAATTGTAAACACAAGATACAAATTAACAAATATGATTCACAACCTTAAAAGGCAAAAAATATCTATAGGAATTGCTTGGCAAGAAGCATTTCTAACAATGTGGAATACTACAGGACAAACATTAACAAAAGATTCATAACAGTCCTCAAAAGGCCACATACATTTGTGGGGAGTACACTTGATAGGAAATATAGTAAAGCAAAGGTATGCCGTAACAGGCCGTGGAGGCCCATAGGGTTATGAGAGGTTGAGGTTCCCACATTTTCTTGACAATCGGCTCATACATGTGAGTAAGGCTGTCAGCCTTATGCGCCCGCCACCCTTTACCCCCAAGAATATTACTGGTACTCGTTTCTGTTAGAGACTGAGTCAACACCAGGGCCATAGTGCGGCTGGAAGGATTAGGTAAATTGAAAATAACCACCTCATCAGGATTTAATCCTGCAACCCTCAGGCTTGTAGCATAGTGCCTCAACCAACTACACTACCGCATGCCCCCAGGAACTATGATTCCAAACATAAATAAGTGCAATGTCAATTAAGACAAAATTGTACAACATTATAGCAAAATAATGACCTTATCCTGGAGCATACACAGTTTAGAGTTTTGCTATAGATGAATGGGCCACATATTTGAAGTGTCATTTAAATGTCCTGCAGCGAATATTACAAACATTTCTGCAAAATAACAAATATTTTACATTATTACCTCCACTTCATCAAATCCAGCATACTGCTCCACCAACAACATGAGAGGCTTCAGGCACTGAAGTGGAGTTGTGGTGCCACAAGTTTTCAAGATGAAACGACGGCGAGCAACGAACATACTACTCTCACTGAAAGAAAACACCCAGCATAGATACACTTGCAAATAACCAACTATTTCTTCATAAATGGGTATTCCTATAGCATTTTTGGTGTACCTCAATTACTTCATGAGAGATAAATACATTTATAGCATAATGTTTGCAAGAATATGCCTAGTAACTTTCAACCAAATGTTAAATTTTTGGGAAAAACTGGTATGCACATCATACCACTGCAGGCTACTGCACCTTCATAGCTTCTCATTACCTACCACCAATAACACCAAATAATCACATAATTCCAAGGTGGAAGAAATGCTGGTAATTTTCTGAAATTTGGTGTGGTGACATGATCACCAAGCCAATCTTTCTTTTTAGATAAAAGTAACTAAAGTCCATATACATGCATCTTCCTTCTAACTGAAAAACCGCTGAACATGAAATTTGGAGAGTACTTCTTCTGGGATGTAATGCCATGTACTTTGGCACAAGCTCATCAATGCTCCAGAGGAACATATATATATATGGATACAGACCATAAACCTACTTGCGTATGAGGCATTTGTTTGTGTTAATGTTACAAATACGTACGTCTGACAAGTCTGAAACGGTGCACAGAATCCAAAATTGGGGCCCATCCATCTATCAAGATGGATGGATTTAATGGGCAGTAGGTTCACGAAGTTCTTCCAAGAACACTCATTCTGCACTGATCAATACAACACTGTCAAAACCCAGGTACAAGAGACTTTCATGGATTATTCTTACATTATGTATCATATCTGTTGAAAACTGAGTAAGATGAGAATAAACCAGTATCCATAAATCAAAAAGACTCTAATTAAGAACATTCTTTTCATGGGACCAAACACTTTCAATCTTTCCTGATTAAACTTTCTACAAATTTTGACTTCCGAATGTACCGCTAAAACATTAATTCCTAATTATATCTCTTGTTTGCCACTCAGTAGTTCTAAAAAATTTCATAACTATTACTTGGATTTTGCTTCTGTCCCACTCATGTTCATGTCCAGCAATATACTATATGTTAAAAAAAATTAAATTCCCTTTGTGGGAGGTGGAGTCCAACTGGGTCCACTCGGCACGGCGGCCACTGATTGGCCTATTGTTGCCTGCCCCAGGTGATCATGATGATGGAGAATTTGGTGGAATGAAGACTGGCTGGGGAAACCTAAGTACTCGGAGAAAACTGGCCCCAGCGCCACTTTGTCCACCACAAATCCCACTTGACCAGACCTGGGATCAAACCCGGGCCACCGCAGTGGGAAGCCAGCGACTAACCACATGATATGTTAGTACTGGTTTAAAATATACTTTACAGACTGTTGTTCTGCACTGTTTTGGGATTCTTCTGTTCCATAACATTCCCTTTGTAATTTGATAACATTCAGAACTACTCTGTATTATTCTGTTAATTCTCTCCAATTATTTTCCCTTTCTGAATTTACACTTGTCTGGATTCCTTGAAATCTTCAGCATTTATCTTGTCTGCATTCATTTTCAGTCCACATTCCTTCATAATAAAGGTTTAGTGACTTCACTGCCTTCAATTCCTCTTCCTCTTTCCCCCAATTCAACATGTCTGCAAATTAAGGTCCCTTCTCCTCTACCTTTATGAGCAAATTCATCCACCATGGTATTAATTAAGGCTGGTGAGCGGACACTTTCTTGTTTCCCAGCACTGCTTGTTCTGAAAAAATCCTGAACCCTCCAACCAAACGAGTCAAGCAGCAGGAGGGCAAAGAGGAACTCAATACAGTGGCTAATGGGGTTCTGGTGAAGTTGTGACAGGTTCGGCAAACCAATGGTGGACAGATATCAATAATACTTCCAAAATGATGAAAAGCCTTAGAAAGGATGGATGGATTCATATGAGCCCTGCACTATGAATAAGCATACATAAAGTATGTCATACTGAAAAGAAGCAAAACAACTTATCAAGTGTGGAGGTTAAGTTCACATATCAACAGAGTGACCTTTGGAAACCTTAGAAAATATCTGCTCAAACAACACACTACACAGCAGAGGTCCAACTGCTGAGAACTGAAACATTATCAAAATGTCTCAGCCAGCATCTGCTTGCAGGGACTGAGGTAAATCACAAAAAAACTTATGAAGTCCTTGCCAAGATTCAAATACAGTACATCCCAAATATAAGTCTACAGTGTTACAGCAACAACAACTTGGTTGGGGTTTAAACCTTGGGAAAAAGGCAAACTTAAACTTTACCTAAACCTGCTGACAGAAAGTATTAACAGCATTTGGTTTGTGTGTTCATTAAATTAACCATTCATCATGTATAAGACACATTATACCATGTTAGACCACCTTCTGCTAAAATATCCTGAGACATACATCATTTGATAGAGCCTCTTAACATACTGCAAAAGTCAGCAGATTAAATTTCTGACTTCACACAATTTATATCAGACTAACAGGCTACAGTTACAATGTACAAAGTCCATGTAAGAAAAAGTGGAGTTTATTTTCCTTAGGATGTTTGCTTCTTACACAAAAGCTCTGCCTTGGATCAGAAGGATTCATACATACCATGAATCAGTGTGATACTTTACTACTAAGCATGTTTACAGCAATAAACCCCTAATTATCAGGTATCCCAGCATTTTTAATTCTCATGGAGCTGGTAAAAACCTTCAAAGAAAATCAACAAGTTTTATTATGTTAATAAAAGGTAAAGCTGCCCCTATAACAGGCCACAAAGGCCCACAGGGTTGTGAGACACTGAGGCTTCCACATCTTCTAGCTAATCAGCTCACAGATGGAGGTAAGGCTGTCGGCCTTATGCACTGGCCACCCTTTATCCCCAAGGAAGATTCCTGGTACTCATTTCTGTCACAGGATGAATTGACCCCGGGGCAGAAGTGCTGCTGGAAGGATTAGGTAAACTCAAAAAATCCAATGACCTCATTGTGAACTGAACCCATAACCTTCAAACTTGTAGCACAATGCCTCAACCAACTACACTACTGAATGCCCCTTTTATTACGTTAATAAAATATCAAATTGCACATGATGTACATTTGTGACCCATGACCTCCTCTAAAAAAACTATCAAATGCCCTTTTCAATTCTAAGGCAACGAAAGAAAAAGACATGAAATCTGAGCCAGAGAACTCAAAAGAAGAGAAAATTAGTGTCTGCTACGGAAAGTAGAGGGTCCAGACCGTGCCAGTAACCTAATGCTATACAGTTACTTCAAAACCAAAGTTCTAATGCACATATATTCCTGCCATGCTGTAGGCTCCCAGTCATCCCAAGCAGCAGTGTCCACTGTCCTCCATCATGCAGGTGCCATTATAGTCACACAGTGATCCTTGATTACAGCAGAGGCAATGTAGCAAATCTAAACCTTTCACCCATCAATCCAATGTGTTATTCCAAAAGACTCCCATGCAAGAACGAAAGTGAAAATTCACTGACTTCAAACATAAAATAGAAACGCGCAAAAGAAGAGTGAGGGATGAAACTGCATGAAAAATTGCTTTCTGCAAGAGTCGTCCTCTTGTAACCAGAACATCCCATTCCCTGTACATGCTGGTTATCAGGTCATTTACAGTACAACGAATGTAGTCATGTCTATTACAATGTGGTGTGTGTTGCTGAACACACAACAAAATCCACTTCCATTTTTATATGCAGCAAAATCAGAACACCACACACAATGTCTCAAGTTAAGGCAGGTGTGCTGGTTGGTGGATGAGCGCACCATACTTAATCAGTTTAACTATGCTGTATCAAACATTTGCTAACTCACAGATTTTCTAGAGCAGTTGAAAGTGACTCAGATGATCAATAAGAGAACCTTAAGTTCATCACCAGAACCACAAGAGCTCACAAGTGGACTCTCCTGCATCTACCCTAGCTAAACCTTTGTCTCCAAGTTGGTTTTCATTCAGGTATTCTTACTAACATCTTGTGTCCACTTCTGGTCTCTCAGTGTATCATATAAAAGCTCAACGACCAAAATTTGTTCTGAATCCTTTTGAGCTCAATATGAAACAGCTAAAGATTCAACAATTCACAACTATTTACATTCTATACTCTATATACAAAAAAAAAATCTCAGCCTAATAAGTGCTGAACATTCATTCTTCTCAGTTGTTTTCTCACACCATGAGGTAACAGTGGCATTTGATCAAGTGGCTGAATATACAGGGAGGATTTTTATTCTGTGGACTGGATCCACACACTAAAAATGTTCACTGTGTTTCAGTGACCAGTTCAGTGTGAAAGACATCACAGAAGTTACTTACTGAAGACACTGGAAGGTGTCTTTGACTCAGATATTTAAAAAAGAAGCCTATGATGTTGGAATAACACTACATTTTTTCTCCTAAGATAAATATGTAGACCATTCCATTCTAATATCCTAGCAAACTATAAAAAGTCTTCTCACTAAGAAATATAGAACTATTTAACAAGCACTTATAAATGAAATATGGGAAGATGTTTACTCACATACTGATGTAAATAGGGCATACAGTTCTTTTTTAGCAAAGTATTGCATGTATTTTGTAAATATTTTTCCATTAAAAATTCTCTAAAAATAAAGATATCAAATCACAATGGTTAAAGAAAGGGATAAAAGTATCGGGGCAGAGTTTGCAATTGTTATGTTTGTTAATATTTCAAGGTCAGTATACCATACCAAGGCAATATGGCAAATACCAAAAAGAAATCAGGGAATGTTCAAAAAACAAACCAAAACATTTCCTTCAAAAAGAGGCTCCATGTTGGTTTCAAATCCACAAGATATATCTCATCAATTTAATGCTTTTGTCATAGATATTTTGCGGACAAGATGTTAAATCAAAATACGGGTTGTAAATTTGGTCCTGACACTGTAAATAATAAAATATTAATCTCTAATTCCATGTTTCTTGCTCCAATTACTGAAGAAGAGGTTTTATATGTAACCAAGAAACTAAAAGGTAAATTTTCAGCTGGCTGGGACAAAAACCTGAAAGGTTAGTAAAAGAAACTATTCAGTATACTCGTATCAAGAAACCACTAAACTTTATATTTAACATTTCATTATGTTCTGGAACCTTTCCAAATCTGATGAAGATTGCAAAAGTTCGGCCTATTCACAAAAAAGGTGGGAAACAGGAAATCTCCAATTACAGACCAATTTCAATTTTGCCAGTTTTTTTTTTCAAAATTCTTGAAATATATGAAAGAGTAATGGTCTTCTTAAACAAACACAACATGATATCTGAGGCTCAAATGGCTTCAGACAGAAGAAATCTACCAATACAGCAACACAAACCTTCTTAGAGGATATCTAAAAAGCATCAGATAATAAGCTGTTACTTATAGGCATATTTTTAGCAATCAAGTTCCTTCCGTCAAATGTGACACTTTTTTAAGTTTTCCACCTCGTCACCACCTGCCTTACATGTTTCGGCTCACCACGGAGCCATCATCAGAGGCATTTATAGTAGAAAAAGAAATCACCACCGTCACATTTGACGGAAGGAACTTGATTGTTAATTGGTTAGTGTGACGGACCAGAATGAAAGACCTTAAGCATATTTTTAGATTTAATTAAGGTCTTTTATGTAATAAATCATAAACTACTGCTTGCCAAATTGGAGCTGTATGGTCATAGAGGGAAAATACACTCTTGGATGAATTCATATCTTAGGGCTAGAACTCAATTTGTAGAAGCACAGCATTTAGTTGAAAAGACCACAAATATAAAGCTGTTTGCTTCATCATGTAAAGAAATAAAATATGGTGTACCTCAGGGTTCTGTTTTGGGACCCCTTCTGTGCTTGTTGTTTATAAACGATTTGCCCCAAGCAGTTCAAGAAGCTAAGGTGGGGTTACTCGCGGATGACACAAATATACTACTCACAGAGAAAAATCTCCCATTATTAAAAGAAAAATCAGTAAAAGTCATGAAACAATTAGAAAACTGGTTCCTAACAAATAATCTTATAACAAATGCTGAAAAGACTAAAGCAATACTATTTCAGGGAAGAGGATCTAGTTTAACTCATGGACCCATTTTGTACCTAAATAATAAATATCTTACTCATCAAATTTAAAATTCTTAGGTATATATATATATCACAGATAACTTAAGCTGTACCACTCACATACAACATCTCTACCATAAATTAAACATAGTCCTNAACAAGATCTACACAACTCATTATTCTGACATTCACAAGTATAACACTAAAGGAAAACAGGATTTCTATGTATAAACATTCAACACTGTTAAGAAAGTTGTCTTCTGGGTTTAGGCGCCTAAACCTAGAAGACGACTTTCTTCATAGTCATCGCCGTGAAAACCTCAAAACTTACATTCAACACTGTTCATTGCAAATTAAGTGTAATTAACATAGGAATTAAAATACATAACAGCTTGTCCCCCGAATTAAAAATAATAGAAAATTTTAAAGTTTTTAAAAATAAATTAAACAGTTATTTATCATACAACTGCATGCAGGAGTTTTTTTAATAACAATGATGGATGGTAGTTTGGTGGCTCAGGTTGGTTCTGATGTGGTGTGATTGTATATAGATGGTATAAGTGTATGTGTTGCTTTATATTGGATTGTTGGGGGATGTCATCCTTGGTTGCTAGCCTCAGCAGGGGGACGATCCTAAGAAGAAAAGAAAAAAAAAAATACGATTTTATTGTTTATAGTCTTGTGTATCATTTTGTCACTTTTAAAGAGTTGTTAACTTGTAGTGTTTTAAATGTCTTAAACTGACTTGTCCAATTGTACTTGTGTAACAGTTTATGGATGTAAATAAATTATGAATTACACCAGGTCAACCGTACGAATTATCAAGTATTATATAATATTTTAACCCTCTTTCTCCACTTCATCTCTTGGGTATAAAATGCTAACTTCCATTTGCAGAGTTAATAACAGTTTACTATTCCTTAAAGTGGGTAGCGGAGTCACTCAAAAATGGGATGATTTATATAGCAACACAATATTATATTTCAGCATCCTGTTGCACTGGTTAATGATATGACTTATGTGAGTAGTCTTTAAAGTGAAACTTCTTGTTGTACTTGTACATTGTTGGTGTGGTACGTTGTCACTCTTTTGTACAAGTCATTTCTACATGTTTGGACCTCATGTGGTCACCATCAGGTAGATATGTACTGCTTCACTGTACTACTCTTTTTAGTTCATTGTTCTAAAGCAGTGGTTGTGCTGTATGTGAGGTTTATATTTTGTAAGCCATATACTCCATTCTGTGTGTTCACACAACACCAGGGCACACAGAATACAAACCTCAAACAAAACATAACCACTCCTTTTATAACAATTTAATAATAAAAAAAGTATAGTAAAGCTATTATGTAACTACCTGATGACCACATAAGGTCCAAACAAGTTGTAGAACGACATTTATAAAACAGAGAAAATGCAGCACACCAATAGTCTCAAAGCACAAGAAGCTGCACTTAAAGACCATCCATACAAACCAAACCACTATGTACCACCAGACTTTCCTATGACAAGTAACTGTATTATAGGGTAATAAACATATACGGAAAATGTGAAACCCTGCATCAACATTTGCATTATCTTCTACAGATCACAAACACCACTGAAAGGGCCAACATTACAAGCAGCCAAAATGACAATAAAATTCCAGGAGTAAAACTCACCTGAGGACATATGCATCTACTTGATCATTGTGTATGAAGCTGATGACTTCACATCGAACAATTTTCAATAGACTCTCCAGTTTCTGTCTGCAGGAAACAGAATTTAAGTTACATGAAAGTAACTGCAGTAATCAATATACATCATCAGTCAGACAATGTTGCTATTATTAACTCTGATTGTCCAGGAATTCTGAATACCCTGGTAGTACTGGAATGACAACCAGATTTTAATTCAGGGGTAACAATATTAGTATTGGCAGCTGGATTGTATGCATGGTCTATTACAACAGCACTATGAATAGTCAATAAATGTTCGATGTTACGGTGAACATGGTGAAATTACAGGTTCTTACAACAGTGAATATGAACATTATGGTCTTCTGGGATATGTCATATAGATTGGTAGATAGATCCCATATTTTAGGGGAAACTGATGCCTTCTTACCCCACTGTTAAACAAACAGACAATATTGCTTCATATATCTGATAATTCTGGAAGATCAGAATAATCAGAATATATTTATTTACAAAAACCCTTGGCTTACCACTGAATGACAGGATGGTTGGTGAATAAGGGCTTCAAAAGAGGAAATGAGTGTGACCTAATTTAAAGTGTTTGACTGTAAGGATTGAGAAAAACTATGTGAAGCCTAACACTAGGCAGCCCACCTCTGGGCCAATACATAATCCTGGGATTTCATGAATACTACAACCTTAAAGTTCTTTAGTAAAAAGGAAAAGTTGTCCCTGTGCTTAACTATGCCATAGAGGCGTATGGGCAAGTGGATGTATAGATCCATGTATTCTTGACCTTGGCACTAGTTGGAGGTGAGTGGTCAGCTTCATGCCCCAGTCACTTTAACCCTGAAGAAAGGACCTCCAGTATCTAAAACAAGTTTTCTACTCCTAGGAAACTGATGATCCCTAGAAATTTATTTTTTTTAAGTATTACATACAAATATTATGTTTCTGGACATTACTCATCATCATGTCTTTATCTAAAAACACCGTCCTCTTTATTTTTCAAAACACAACGTTTTGGAGACTGGATTCTGTCTCCATCTTCTGGTAAAACCTGCTCAGTTGGGCCCAATCAATAAAATAGGGTTTACCTGAAGATAGACATAGAATCAAGGCTCCAAAACGTTGTGTTTTGAAAAATAAAGAAGATGGTGTTTTTAGATAGATACAACACTGGATAGTGTCCAGAAACTTAACATTTATACTAATGTACCACTGTCACAAACTTTTACATCTTAAAACTATTAAGATATTCTATTATTTAAGCAGGATTTCCATTGGCTTCCTTGAATGAAGGTCAATCTCAAAAGATTAATGCGAATTACTATAACAATACAGGACGAAAAATAACTCAATACAGTTACACAAGAGAGAACCAGCCACCGAATATTGGTTTTTGGTACCTAAAATTAAATAATCACCTGCCAAAACTAGGTTATTAACTGTATGATAGGCTTGTGGCATAATTTTATATTTCGTGTTTTCCTAAATACTGCTGTGGCCGAAAAAAGCGCACTTTGAGTGTTGGATCTATCTTGCATATCATCCAACTATGTAACATGTGACAAATACGTTGTTACATATAAGTAATATTTCATCTTCAGAAATCTATGTTATGGCAGCAAAACAGAACTCTGGATTAACAGGGCATAATACGATAATTGCCCTACCGGCTGAAATTAAAATAACACACCTAGAGCCGGCATCAGTGATTTATCAGTTACTCTGATTCTGACTTGGTTCTGATCTAGTACCTTCAAATATTATTTTTAAAAAGCGCCTCATTACCTATTTTGACCTGAACAGATCCTCGAACGTGACATAAGAAAATCATTATTGTACTCTCTTACAGAGCATGCCTCATCTCAGGCGCCACCATTTTACATGGTCCTAGGAGCTTGAAAACGGGAACATTAACATCGAATATGTCAAACGTATCTACGATTTACCTTGGTATATTCCGCAGATCACACTGTTTGGAATTTCCGTCAGTTCTGGTGAACCAAATTTCCAAAAGTTTTTCTACACCTTCAAAGAACTGCACACCATTACTTCCCTCCGATTCAGCCATCCTCAAACCGCACCAGGCTACCCGATTCGAGACTGCCAGCCGGTTATGCGCAATGACAGATAAATGGGTCAAGTGTGCGCTTATCGACGTTTGCGCATGCCACAGATTCAACACACGTACTGTAAAGTATTGAATTGCGACGCTGGGCATAAATTTTCTTCGGCCTCTGCAATCAATGATATAGTCGTCTTCGGCGTATGAAGTCAATGATTGGGGGCCTTTCTTCGCACACAATATGGAAGATACTAAGAGTAATTTACGTTTATTACGTGAAGCAGCTTACACCGCTTAGGCCGGGTGCATATCAAAGAAACTGGAAACCGCAACGCAACCGCGATTTCCGAGAAATGTCGCCGATTTCAAGGAGGCAACTGGTTTCCAGATTAGCTGGCGCACATTAAGGAAACTCATGTTTGATTAATTAATCACGCCATCTTCAGTGGGTATATTCGGCCGATGTAATGCATGATTATCTTTTTAATTTCGTTCCAAGTGCCTCCTGGAAGATAATACTACTGATCCTGGTGGTAGTTGAGATCGGTTGAGACGGCGTGGGAAGAGAGGACGACGACCATGAGGAATATATTGGGATGTGTAATACTCTTAGGTCCACTTACTTTCATCAGGAAATATCGCGATCACACGCGATACGAAATTTCGACATTGAGTGCAAATATTTTAGCAAAATACCTGATGATGGTCGTATACAGACGAACCATGTATGTGGAAGAAGGGTGACTGTATAATGTGGCGTGTTTAAGACGGAAACATATGTGAAATAAATGATACATTAATGCAACAGGATGCTCAAATACAATATTAGAAAGTCATTGGTATATCCGTTCTTCTGTGACAATTTAAACTGGTGTGCCTTTATTGTTTCCAGAGAACTTAAGCAGGGTCCAGACTCCTTTGTCTCATGAGATATTCTTTCCCAAAGACAAATCTATTTTGTCCTGCCTAGCATAGTCGGGGTGGCGTTTCTCATATATGCCAGGCTGTTACTTAATTAACTGCAGAAAAAACAAAATCAACAGCTTCGTCAACCTTTCGTGGCATCCGAGGAAAAATAAATGAATCAGAGACGCGGGTTATAGAACAGCTGACACTAGGAAACGACGCGGCAACGCCATCTTGAGAAGACTGGCATGCTTCGTTGCCTGAAAAAGACGCGGCAACGCAATTGTGAGAAGTCTGGAATGCTCAGTTTCCTTTCCTCAATTTTCGCTGCTCCATCAAGTAATACGAATACTAGTGCTGATACGAGTTTTTGAAAATTGCGGTTGCCAGTTACCTTGGCGTAGCATCGCGAGTCTATTGTACCAATCCACATGAAAGGCCGATAAACTGACTACAGTAATTATCATGGGATATTTCTGTTATTAACTTCATACAAAATTTTATCCAGTATCCCCTCAAGGTTAAGTCCATATACAGCTGGAATAATTGGAGATCATCTGTGTGGATTTTGATATAACAGATTCACTACTCATCAGATTTTCACTAATCTCGTATTAAAACTATCACTTTCTAATCACCAGACTTGAGTTCACTACCTGTAATACACATAACAAGTGTAGACAGTGCTATGCACAAGCTCTGCAAGCAGCATGTGGGCAAATACAGCCCGAATAAATATGTGTAAACACAATTTCCATAGCTATGTTACCTCTTTCCCCCAAGCAACAACTGCAGGTAAGACAATTTAAACTACACAGAATGAACACAAAAAGATACACTTCACTCTACACCTATGTTCAGCTTATCTATTTGTGTCAAAGGTATACAGAATGGCATACCTACAGTACATACATTCTATACCATGAATAAAACATACACCATTTTGACTCGGATAATACACCTTTACTCTGCTGATCCCTTTACTACTATGTTACGATTATGCTTTGAGTTGTCAGAATCATCTCGTCAACAGTAAAACCAAATGATCACATTCTCTGTATATTAGGGTAAAAAATTATGGAAAAGTATTCTGGTAATAATATTATTATTATTAATATACTATTTCACACCATCATAAGTACATAATATTATGGCATTCCTTTAACTTTCTTTTCCTTGTTCACCAACATATCTTCATCCATTGGTTTAATAATTGTTCCCAGTTTTGTTATAACTGAGGGCTTTGTTAGTTTACGATGTGCAGTTTCTGGAATCCAGGTGTTACCAATGGGAGCACGGATACTGGCTTCAAAGTCCTTCACACTTGTAAAAGGAAATGGTAATTCACTTACCTAAAATAGAAAAACAAAACTTCAATCACTGGACTAAAGTTAGCTCTTTCTAACAGATCAAGCAGAGTAGGTGTCTCCCACCCATCACCTAAGGATGGGAACATATCCAGTTTCCAAAAAGCTGTGCTCTTTCATGTTTTTAGAATACCATATGATGACCAAAATCCAAAAACTTAGTAATCCTGAGTGTTATACACCATTGTTGGAAACCCTTAAGACCTACAAGACAATATGAACCTCACATATACTATGAATTTGTATCAGCTGAAATTTTGGATAGAGATAAATCAGAGGTTACATGATTATTAATTATTATGTTCTACAAGATCCCTGAAATCATTTTAAGTAATGCAGCAGAATCATAGTTCATAATTAACATTTTGTAAAAGCTACATGACTCTAATTCTGGATTGTTCTGAACTGTTCACTTTAGAAAAACTGCTGTAGACAAAAATGCCAACTTCATGGATATACTACACTTCCTAACATTTCACAGATTTACCACTGAGATTTTGAAATGTTCCATTCATTAAAGATAATGAGATGACACTGACCTGATGAGACACCACTTTATTATTCTTTTCTTCATTAATGATAACATTTCCTTTGTTGGTATCCTTCCTTGGTGCTACTGCAGGGAACTTAATTATGAAACGGCGTTTCTTCCTTGAAGACACAGGCAGGTTCTTTCCACCCCACTCTCCCCAGCCAGGCAAAGACAAATCAATACTCTTTGGTTGCGATTTATCTGTCACCTCCTCCTTCTCCTTCCTAATTACAGACAAAAGAGATTTAATGCAACGTATATGCCACAATATTGAAAAAAAGTAAGAACATGCAAATGGGTCAGATTATTTGAAACCGAAGAATTCGACACGGGAAAATTGTGGACCCCAGAAGAAATTGGCTGCCACCTGCAAGAAGGTGTCCCGCCGTGCAACAGTGGCACAGCATAAGCAGAACATCTTCAGGGAGATTTTGACCCAAGGAAAGTGTGGACCACGGCACGAATTGGCCGCTGACAGAAATAAGACTAGATGTGCAGGTGTGACACAGCACAAGGGAAATTTCATAAAGAAATATTCAACCAGGGTCAATTCTGAACAAGAAACCTGGAAAGAATGAAGAGAGGAAAATACACGCTGGAAAGGCCCGCATTGCAAAACGAGAATAAAGAAGCCAACCACGAACTACACTGAAGGGTGTGGATAAGAACAGCGATCACACCTGGGAAGTGAAGAAATGAGCAAGAAGACCGTCAATGAGATTTTCAGAGGAAAGATCGTGAAACTAATAGTTGGTACTTCCCACGGGTTATGAAAAATAAGAAAATATACCTTGTGGAGGGGTAGGCCCCCTCCAAAACGAAAAAGAGACTGCAAGCAGAGGAGGAACCAGTAATGTAAAAACACTGGCCTCCCTGGTGTGAATGAGGAGTGAATGTGATACAACGGATCGACGAACACTGGACCAAGGAGTTGTTTGGCACGAACAATCTTCAGAGGGGAGCAGTAGTAATGGCCGGAGAATAGTCGCTGCAAGAGTAGCAGAACCAAAAAGACGCAGCAAGCACAGCCATGAAAAAAAAAAAGAACAGGGATGCACCATTAGGCTATTCGGGATGAACAGCCTTAAGGAGGGAGCAATGTGGTGTATTGGCTCTATGCAGGAACTGCTGAGCCACAGAGGCTTTGGGGCACGCACACAACGTGAGAGTTGCGGATTGTATCGGCGTGTTGCTAGGCGACAACTCTGTGAACGCTTGGATTGCGCAACAGGGAGTGCAAGTGACGTCATCTACCCCACTCATCCAGTAACTGCGCAACGCTCGGTAACCCCCACCTGTGGTGACATAACAGCATACGATCTGTGGCCGCTATGGTAGCAGGCCAGGAAACACTCCCCCCACGGTGATGTAACAGCACTTCCCACTATGACGTAATAGGGGACACCGCGGTTACTACGTGGCAACAGGGAACAGTATAAGAGGCCGGCTGAGCAGTGTGTGAGTGTGTGGATTGTGAAGCCAGACAGATGAGGTGAAGTCCAGTAGTCGCCGAGTTGAGTTGTATCGAGAGCATGGCAGTGACTACAGCAGGAGAAGCAACTGAGATACTGGATTGTACAAGACTAAAATTGTATATCTGTTAATTGTGTAACTGTAAAAGCGAAGGAGAGTAAATATTCACTACATCCTTGACCTACGTCAAGTTATTTGATTGTGTCACATGACACACCCAACACAAGACAATATGTTCTTCTGTTAGGGTGAAAGATCAAGTTTCTATCTGGATAAAACAACAGGCAAAATTATAGTTCTGTATCTTCTAAATTTTTTTAGCCCTTAACAAACAGGAAGATAAAATATCCTGAACTGAATGGTGGCAAGCATTCCCCAGATATAATCAAATTTTAATGTCTTCATGAATACTGTAGCAAGAGAATTAACAAAGTGTAATTTAGATTTACTGGGAGTATAGGAAATGAGGAAGGACAAGTGGCAATGACTCAGACATTAAATGGAAATTCCACTATACAACATAGATCAACGCATTGCTGGTCAACAACTCTCTAAACACAGTCCAACATGCAACAATAGACGAAACTGTGTTTCCTGTGTTGTCCATGCCACACCCAGTGCTGGTAACAGACCAACAAACTCATGGTCTGATATGTTTTCTATGTTGTCCATGCCACATCCAGTGGTGGCAATGGACCAACAAACTCATGGTCTGTCATGTGATACGTTTTTGCTGTGGTCTGCGCCATGCAACAATAGAGGGGCTGCATTTTCTGTGCATGGTCCGTGCTGAGAGGATGTAAGAGATACTGGAATGTTTAACCCTTGTGGAGGTGGGGTTGAATACCTCCACCGTGACCCTGCGAGTCATAGGAGGCAACATAAAGGGAAGTAGCAAGTCTGAGGCAGTAAAATATGGTCATGAGTCCCAAAGGACTTGGACCCGAGAAAGACTGTGCTGACAATGACCAGCAGCATATACAAAAGACAGACCTGTACTCTCAGCAGAGAGGGCACCCCACAAAAACAAGACCGTAACTGTCAAACAGTAATAAATATCTGGTCATGAGCTCTAGATGGAGCTTGACACCATGACTTACTGACTGAATGACTGACCATCAGTCACAATGTGACTTTGGACTTTTGGAAATGACTTCACTCAAGTTCTGAAGTTCCAAGGGAACAACAGTGTAGCCAGAAGAGGAATTAGAAGACTTAGTGTGTGGCATTACATGTGCTGTAGGATACTGATATTGGGGGTGTGTAATTTAGTGAGATTTTTATAGTTCCTGTGTTATAAATCCATTGCCAGGAAACAGATAGTGAAAACTAGTGGAAACAGACTGAGAGTAGTGTGGAATGATTTCAAACTGTGTAACTCAGCAATAATTACTTGTAGTTATGACCTATAGGTGATTAATAAATCCAATGACATATGTGAACCCTGTCACTGATACACATGACAATATTAATTATATGACACAGCCTTCAGGTAATGGCCTCAGATTAGAACATTACGGACATAGCAGATCAGGCTTGGTGTAATTGCAGGGAAAGAATTTACGAACCCCAATATGCCTTTTTCATATGATCCTTGGCTGCAGGGGACAACTGTAATTATCTTTACATGGTCAGGCATGTAGGAGATATATTTTTCTCTTACCTGAACTCTGCAACTACATCATCTTCAGCAAATGCTTCAGTGATAGTCATCTGCCTTTCTGTACTGTCATCTTCATTGTCATCAATAGCCTCATCACCTCCAGTAACTATGTCTGGGAGCTCTGTCTGCAAGTGTTTGGGTTTCATTGCGATGAACTTGTTGGGATCAATATTGTCTGCTGGAGGTTCCTGCTGTTCTTCCTCTAATCTCGACTCAGCTACTATCTTGTTCAGGTTCATGTTTGAAGATTCAGTTTCCTGTAGCCCATCATGAGGTTGTTCAACTAATTCTTCATCCATATTTGCTTGAACATTCACCTGTTTCAACTTCAATGAAGGACCTTCATTATCTGATTCTGTATTTGTGTCTTCAGCCTTGTCTTTATCTTTAATATTCATCTCTGATTTCAGTTTCTTCAACTTCTTATCCACTTTCTCCTTCAGTTTTTCTTGCATATCATCAAACAATTTGCCTATCTTTACTTCCTTCTTTTTTGTACTCTTGTCAGTACTGTTTCTTTTATTCTGTTTATTGCTTTTTCCTTCTGATATATTATAGTCCACCATTTTACCCATTTCTGGAACTATTGGTGTCACAACCCATGAATTTGTTGTTGCAATTAATGTTGAGTGACACTCCAAGGGCTCAAATTTGTCACCATCTGTATTAAAACTAGATTTGGTTTTCTTCTTCTTACTATTTACTTGTTCGGCTGTAGCATTCGGTTTCTTCTCTGATAATTTCTTCCTCTTCAACTGAATCATAATATTATTATTTACCTCTTCTGTTATATTTTCTTGTTTGTTTGGTGATATATTTCTTTTTTGGTGCACCCCAGAACTAATATTTACTTGTTTATGTTTATTCAGTGATATCCATTTCGGAATAATTTTAGTACCATCATCTTCCTGTTCTGCCATACTCTTTGGCTTACTTGGTGACACATTTTTCATCTGTGGATGCACCAAAGTATTGCTATTTAGCTCTTCTCCAGTACTCTTTAGTTTTTTTGGTGATAATCTTTCTTCCTTACTCAGAATTTCAGTACTATTATTTATCCATTCAGCTGTATCATTTTCTTCATTGGGTTTCCTTTCTGACTGACCCTCAGTACTGCTTACCTCTTCAAAAGTACTGTGCTGTGCAGCTGGTGTCTCAGTACTATTATAAACTGCATCAGTACACTTTTGTCCTTCCTTTACAGGAATGTCAGTATCTATACAAATATCTTCATTATTTTTATCTGTTGTATTTACAGATTCTAAACTGCAGCTTCCCATGAGATCTTCCTCTTTGATATTTTTATCTCCTGGTGCTGTTTCATGATTCTGTGTGTGTCCTTTCCTTACGTCACTTCCTACTTCTCTCACATCTTCCACTTTGTTATGGGCTGCAATTTCATTAGTACTGCTAGTTTCTACTGAAGACTTCTTGTTATGCTCTTCCCAGTATTTGCGATACTCACTGACAAATTCATCCACCTCTGAAGTTGTTTTTGGTGCAATCCAAGGATTATCATTGTTAGTTGGTATTCTGTTCTCACAATTTTCTTCTTCCACTTCTTCATCACTGCTGCTCTCAACCTGAATTTTCTGTGTTAACTCCCGACTTACTGCAAGTTGCTGTGCCAATTCCTGGCGGCTCTGCAATAACAAAACAGGATCAGACTTGCACATACTTGACCCTCTGTTTATAAAGACAAAATAAGTGACACATTATATACATATACACACAAAAGCACAAATATTTTCTGCTGTGATGATAGTAACAGCAAGAGCAGTTTTCGTCATCATCATCATCCTTCCTAATATCAGGCCTAGTTGGCTTCTTATGGGATTACAACTCAGAATCTGCAATTTCAGGAGCCTTCTTAAGCATCTTTGTATCTAAGCTTGCATTTCATCATTTTTTGGTGGAACCTGTATGAGTTTATTCTTTCGATATCTTCTCTCCTATTTCTTCCAAATTTCTTCTCACACAGATTTCAGGAAACAGAGCCTGGAATAAAACTATATGAATGAAAAATGTTATTTGGGAATGATGATAACAAATCGAAACCTGATTCAGGAGGAAATTAAGAGGAGATTGAACTCGAGTAATGTTTGCTACCATTCAGTCCAGAACCTTTTGTCTTCTCGTCTGCTGTCCAAAAACATAAAAATTAGAATATACAAAACTATAATTTTGCCCGTGGTTCTGTATGGTTGCAAAATTTGGTCTCTGACATTAAAGGAGGAATACAGACTGGGGGTGTTTGAGAACAGGGTGTTGAGGAGCATATTTGGACCGATGAGGGATGAAGTGACAGGAGGTTGGAGAAAAATGCATAATGAGGAGCTTCATAACTTGTACTCTTCTCCAAGTATAATTAGAATGATCAAGTCAAGGAGGATGAGGTTGGGAGGGCATGTAGCAGGAATGGGGAGATGAGGAATGCATATAGGATATTGGTGGGAAAGCCAAGGAAGGAGATCAATGAGAAGACCAAGGTGTAGATGGGTGAACAATATTAAAAAAAGATTTTAGAGAGACAGGATGGGGTGGTATGGATTTGATCGATCTGGCTCAGGATAGGGACCAGTGGAGGCCTTTTGTGAACACAGTAATGAACCTTCGGGTTCCATAAAATGCTGGGAAATTCTTGAGTAGCTGCAGAATTGGCGGCTCCTCAAGAAGGGCTCAGCTCCATGAGTAAGTAATGAGTAAATGAATGGAAAATGTTAAATATTCACACATATCATTTCGTTTAACCCTTTCTTTTCAATCCTATTTCTAAACTGAACAGTGTAATTTTATTAACCATAAATTTACATTAATGGTGTTTATATTCTATGACCAACAAAAATTTTCCACTGAATACTGACATCTGGTTTCAATCCATTATATGCAGGTTATGCTGTAAGCCATTTTCACATACACATTCTGAACCTGTACTTGGGGAATCATTTGAAGTATGAGCAGGCAATATTTAGCAGGTATACCAACCTCTTCATCATACTTTGCTCTCACAGCCTTATTTCTTGCCCACTGCCCTGTACTGCGATGTCGGAGAGACATTCGTTCTTCCGCACGTGTCCGTTCCAGCTGCTCAAGCTGCTGCAATGCAGCTTCAGGATCTGTCTTCTGAAGGACTTCAAAATCTTTCAACTGCTGTCGAATACGTTCACGCCGCAGAATTCGATGATACCTGTAGCAAGTAAGTTATACGTACATATGCACATATGTATTCGCAATGCACGCACATCCTATATATTTACCTTTCACTTATCTGTTTCATTTGACAAAAACTGTGAACACTGATAAATATATGATGAACCATCTGAAGTCCACATATTCTGACACCCAGCTGAATTCAATTTAAAATTATGGTCTTTTTGCTCCTTATCTTCCAAAATACACAGTGTCACACCTCATAAAACCACAATCTTTGTATTCACCATCATGAGAACCACAAAAAAAAAAAACTTGTCTTGTTGATTTTTAGAACTGTCATAGTCAGGCTGACAGTGGACTTACATAATCTGAGTTTCTGAATGTTCCTCCTTTGAATTCTATGCACCTAACCATATGACAAGTCACAAGGTTAAATTAATCTGAATGACTCAAGGCATTATTATATAAACCATAAAAATATCATATATTTACTTTTGTTTTAATGTTTTTATGACCGTTGAATGAATCTGACATGGGAATGAAGTATAAATTCTGTGACTGTTAAACTGATTCTGATAAAGGACCTGAAGAGGAATGAGGGGCAATGTTGCTTTATAGGACAGACTCAATACAGCAACTTTCCCAGGACATGATTTTGTGGGGAAGTAAGCAGCAACAGAATAATGAGATTTTCTTGCAGTTACTTTCAATAATTGGTACCAGTGGTTTAGAAGTATAGCATTCCTGTAGGAAAGGTCTCAGATTCAAGAAAATTTTACATCTCACATCACTGACAAACTTAACATTTTGTATGATGAAGCAGAAAACCAGAGTCCATCATGATTTGAGGTTTATGCTATGCCAGAGGTCTCCTCAGATAGGTTAACTGTTCCAGAGTAACTATAGCGACTATCACTCTAGCTTTGTAGTTAGGAGATGGTGGATTCTATTTTGTGCCTGACTACTGTCACTGAGGTTTCTGCAGTTTTCCTCAGTCATGCCAGTACCTTCATGAATATAATCATCCTGTCACTTGATGTTTATTAACCAATGTCGCTTATATAGTGTCATTAAATAAAACTAGCATAAAAATCAATGCTTTATAGCCATCATCATCCCTATTCCTCAAGAATCTCAAGATTCCTTCAACCTTATCACCCAGAGGTCAGACCATGGTCAGAGGCATCTTAGAAGAGAAAGAACCTTCAGTCTTCATACATTTAAAACCTGAAGCTTACTTCTTGCTCTTGATCTTTTTCTGCCTGCTAGCCTTTGAGGCCATATAGGACTGCTGTGCACGCAATTTGGCCATCTCTCTGCGACGCTCTCGCATCTCAGCTAAACTTAACTGATACTCTTCTTCTTCCTACATAAGAAAACAATAATAATAATTCACAATTTCTTGAGAATGCAGAAATTACATAATGGGGACCTCCATAATTCATATTCTTCACTAAAAATATATACAACAATCAAATCAAAGCAGGTTGGACACACAGATTACATGGAAAAAGATGACGAAATACATAAATTTTGGTCTGAAAGCTTGAAGGGACCACTTGAAAGGCCTAGGCCCAATTGGAAGAATAATACTGAAGTATATCTTAAACAAATAGTGTGGACTCAATTCCACCGACTCAATACAGGTTCCGGTTGCACACTCGTGACCAAGGCAATGAACTTTGAGATTCCTTAAAAGGCAAGATATTTATTGACCACCTGCATAACTACCAGGTTTTGAAAAGGTTTCTGTTGCAGATAATTACTTAGTCTCATCTTTGAAATAGAGATTCTAGTTATTTACCATAGAAACCAAGGACGAACTATGACTACCCCCTCCTTTTAATCTTAATTTCATGCATCCTGCTTTTAAATAGAATCATTTATATAGAGAAGGCACCTGAACTCAAAAGTTCTTAGTGATACATCTTTGTCCAAATTCATAGGGTACAAACTTTCTCTACTCTCTGTTCACATAAATTACAGCAAGCACTCTGAAAAGCAAACAGACCTTTCTTTCTTCCTGTACAGCTGGGCTGTTGTTTAAGATTTCATCCATTTGCTGTTCCAGAGGAGTCCTTGTTTGCGACTGCAACAAAAGCTTCTTAGGTAAGTGACATAATTTTCATTTAACTTGTTTCACAAAGAACACAAATTGGAAGATATTCAAGAACATGGTAGAATTACACAATGAGAAGCTTCATACGTAGGCGAGTTAATTGAAAACCTTAAATATTTTTTTGAGTATTATTTATTGTGCACAAGTGGTACAAAGCTGTATCACTTTTCAACATAATCTCCCCCACGCTCAATGCAAGTCCTCCAGTGCTTACAAAGTGCACGAATTCCTTTAGAAAAAAATTCTTTTGGTAGTCCGCACAACCCCTCATGCACCGCGTGACATACCTCTAATGTTTAAACTTGCCGCAATTTCATTCAATGTCACTCAGCGGTTTTCCCTCACTATGGCTTCAACTGCTGCAGTGTTCTCTGGAGTCACACTCGATGTGCCTGACCCAGACACGGAGCATCTTCCACTGAAGTCACACCATTTGCAAACTTCCTACTCTATTTGTACACTTTCTGATGTGATAAACATGCATCACCATACTGAAACTTAATTTTTCGATAAATTTCGATAGGTTTCACACCTTCACTACACAAAAACCGAATAACAGAACGCTGTTCTTCCCTGGTGCAAGTCTCAAGTGGGGCAGCCATCTTATACTGGTGCTGTGACGGTGTTCAGGCATCTGCACTATGCTGCAACCTACAGGCCATTCTGCACGCTTTTTGTAGCATGCTTACCAACTTACAGGATAATGGCGTGAAATTTCGATTTTTTATTACAAATTTAAGGTTTTCGTTTGACTCAGCCTTGTAATTTGTGCTTTTCTCCAAATATTATTAACGGGATTAATCGAGATGGACAGGGCATGTAGCATCCATGGGACAGAATACATACAAAACTGTGGTCAGAAAATTTGAACGGATGAGTCCGCTTGGGAAACCTAGGCATAAAGAATTTAAATTCAATGATGGGTTCTTACAGACATGGCAATGAATCTTTGGGTAATGTTCAGCAAATTTCTTGCCTAATTGTGTGACTGCTTCATTCCAAAGGGCTTTCATCCATGTTAAGCTAAAATGCTACAGAATTGTTGTCCGTCTGTAAATATAAATATGGAAATGTTACTGAAATTGCAACACAATCTTCTAGTATGACACTGATATTTTTGCCAGCTGGTAGTACAGTTTCTGCTTCTGCCACCAGAGGGTAGTTGCATATAGCAATTTCTTTCAGTGGGTAAGTAAAATTGGTTTAGCAGAGATTTATTTAATTTTTTGTTTACTTAAATAATTTGTTTATTTATTTGTTACCGTTCTTTTAGGATACAAAAAAGTTTGTTCTTCAAGTGACATATGGTTCATATAGATGATTGGTCTAGTTATGAAGTTCCTTTTTATAGTCAGACCAATCTGTTTCCACCAAAAAGTTGTCTGTCTGGGATTTGAGGTTCTCATAGCAGTGGTTATGAAGAGTTCTTCAGTTGTCTGTCTGTCTGTCTGTTAGTATGTAGATTTCTTCACACTGTTATAAAACTGCAGTCTTGTAATGGTTACCAACAATTCAGAGCAACCTGCTGTTAGAGGCATACAATGTCACAACCCAGAAATCCATAAACACCTAAAATCTCATATATTATGTTGACAGAGTACAAGACAACAGGATCCCTCCAATAACACATTTACATGCTCCACAGAGAAAAGGAGACAAGGGAATACAATGAAATACGTGGAGAGATCAATTTATCTTCTTACCACCAGAACAGTTTCAAAACACTCAATCCTTAAGATGGTCAGCACTAAAGACTTGGAAAAATAGAATCTGAGATTTCACATGCATGATATATACAGGGTGTTTCACTTTTTAGGGTATAACTGCAGGAGGTGATTTCCTAGGTCTTTGTGATCAAAAATGTTCATATTGTAACGTGTTTCGTTACTGATCCCACTTCTGACACCAATGTAACGTGTTTCGTCACTGAAGACGCCGTAGAGATGGTTAACTGGTTTATTTAACAATCTACAAATAACGGCTACAATTACTTATCACACAGTTGCGGGGTTTCACGCTTTATAACCCTACTCGCGATAATCTGTTACCACTGTTGCGGGGTTTCACACTTTATAACCCTATGCGCCAATCTGTCTCAGTAGTCTACACGTTTACAGTACAGGAGCGATGTATCACTGTATCACACGCTCCCAATTACACAATCACACACACGTCCGGTTCTTCTTTCCGCGACGGCTGCTATGCTCCAACGGTAGTCAGCTGACTGGAGAACTGTTGATAACACACTAGCTCGTAGGCTTGCTCGGAACTATCTTCGGCGATGGCCACGGTATAACTGACTAGGCGACTGTTACTTTATAACTCTCCTCGGCTGTCACAGTACAACTCGGAAATGTCTTCAGTACAACTGAAGTCGCCAACTGCTACAGTAGAACTGACTGGTAGCTGCTGTGCAGCTCACTTATATAGCTGCAGTGCTTGCCTGTTGCGTAATGAGTGCCACGTCACAGTAGGAAGTTGATTACGGGTACGTAGCGTTGCGCGTTACGTCACCGCGGAGGGGTGGGAGGGAGCGCTACGTTACTGCCACGCGCTTGTGGCCTGAGTTGCCACGTTGCAGTTGGGTAGGGAGGGGTTCTCCGTTGCACAACATGTTACAATATAAACATGTGTCCGATTTTGGACAAAAACGGAGTTATGACCATTTTTCATTCCCGTACACACTTTCGTGTGAACCATGTCTTATCATCTGGCAGGTCGATATTTTTAGCCAGCTACAGACAGAGCATTCTCGTTATCTCGACACTTGAGAGGTGGGTTGGTATGTCTGGCCATGGCTAGTATGGCGGCTACTGGTGTTCAGAACAGTTCTCATCTCGGTGCGTCTGTTATGTTCACGATGCCATTTACATTTTCATTTGGGGAGTATGCAGATATGATTTATGTGTACGGGTTTTGTGACAGTAACTCAGTTCTTGCCGTAGCTGAATATCAGCAACGGTTTCCGAATCATAGAATACCGAACTGGAGGGTGTTTACTGGAGTTTACCAGGCATTGCAAGATACCGGTACACTTCCCGGCGTAAGTATTGCAGCCAAGTGTGGTGTTAATGAAGGTGTCAATGAAGAAGGCATTGTTCGTATGGTACACCGCAGTCCACGTACGAGTACACGAAGAATTGCCAGCCAGGTCTCCAGACTTAAGCCCACTGGATGGGGATGGATGAAAGAACTGGTTTACAATGTGAAAGTGGCAACAAGAGATGCTTTCCTCGGTTGCATTCTGGACGCCGCTGACAACATAAGAAACAGCCAGCTAAAGCTGCTACGGGCTGCCCGCATGGTTCACAACCGAGTGGCAGCCTGTGTTGAGGCCGGCGGTGGCATTTTCGAAAATCAGCTTTAAGCACCAATCAATTCAAATTAAAGGTAATTTCACGAAGTTAACTTTACATTCATACTTTAAATGTATGATGTATTATACTGGTTTATTATTTTGTTTCGTTTATTGTCAGTAATCATTACCTTCTATTCTGAGTTTAAAATGGTCATAACTCCATAACCATCCAAAATCGGACACATGTTTATCTGAACTTTTTTGATCACAAAGACCTAGGAAATCACCTCCTGCAGTTATGCCCTAAAGTCGTGAAACATCCTGTATATACTCATTACATGGAGGTGTGTTTCATTACCTTTATTGTTTGCACCCTGTTGTGTATCAATTAAGAACTTTAATGTGGCCATCAACACAACACTTTACAAATAAATACAACTAATAATGTGTCGATACTTTTTGTTTTCTACATCAGTACATATTTTGGATGGTCTGACCATCAGCAGATGGTTACAATAAATACATAACCGCCATCACTCAATTAATGGACTAATATGGATCTGTATTAGTGAACTAAGTAAATTATATATTAAATTTCTGAATTATATATATTATGAACATCAAGGACATGGTCCCTAAATCATCATAATCATCATAAACTGGAGACCTGTATTTTGAGGGTAATATAGGATAACTGTTTGAGATTAAGGCGTTGAGGAGAATATTTGGACCAAAGAGGGCTGAACTGACAGGAGGTTGGAGAAAACTGCATAATGAGGAACTTCATAACTTGTACTCTTCTCCAAGTATAATTAGAATGATCAAGTCAAGGAGAATGAGGTGGGCAGGTCATGTAGCACGAATGGGGGAGACGAGGAATGCGTATAGGATATTGGTGGGAAAGCCAGAAGGAAAGAGACCACTGAGAAGAACAAGGCGTAGGTGGGTGGACAATATTAAAATGGATTTTAGAGAGATAGGATGGGTGGTACAGATTGGATTGATCTGGCTCAGGATAGGGACAAGTGGAGGGCTCTTGTGAACACAGCAGTGAACCTTTGGGTTCCATAAAATGCTGGGAAATTCTTGAGGAGCTGCAGAATTGGCTTCTCCTCAAGAAGGGCTCAGCTCCATAAATAAGTAAGTAATATAACTGAATTTAAACATACCTTTAACTTTGAAATAAAATCATTTGTTGTTTGAAAACTAACTGTGGACTGTTTCAACGGGAAAGAAAGTTGATCTGCAACTCGATTGCTGTACACAACAGCGTCCCATCGACCCAGTTGAATTTTTGCATTCCGAAATCCAACTGAACGTTGAATCTGGAATGAAATTACAGACTTTTTAATGCACCATAAATATATATACACTCAACCTATACAGGGTGTTTCAAAAAGAGCTTTACGGCTTTGAATGCTTATATAAATTTATACAGAGGACATACACAATGTTTTGAACTGTCATAACGTAGCAAAAAACACCCAGTTTCATGCACGTGGTACTGCAGTACCCAATACTGCCACCACAAGCTCTCCCGCAATTGAAATCAAGATGGCTACTTTTACAGGTGCAGAGCATGCTCGTTGTGTGTTTTGGTTCGAAGAAATGAAGTCTGCTACTCAAGTTCAAAGGAAATTTCACACTCAGTATCGCAAGGAACCTCCCAGTAGGCCTACAATTTACTTCTGGCACAAGAATTTTGTTCAGACCGGATGTTCTGTGTGCCATGCCAAGCCACCTGGTTGGCCACACGTTTCTGACGCTACAGTGGAACAGATTAGGGAGAGCTTCGATCGAAGTCCACGAAAGTCAACGTAACGTGTGTCTCAGGAAACTGGTATTCCAAATATGACTGTGTGGCGAGTGTTACAAAAACGTTTACAATTAAAAGCATACAAACTATCCATCATTCAACACCTTATGGATGCAGATAAGGCGGTTTGTAAGGAATTCTGTATGCAAATGTTTCATCAGATACAAGACGATGAGAAGTTTCTTGACTCCATAATTTTCAGTGATGAGAGCACGTTTCATGTCAGTGGTAAGGTCAATACCCACAACTGCAGGATCTGGGCAGCGAAAATCCATGTATCTCCCTGGAACATGTTCATGATAGCCCAAAGGTGAACGTGTTTTGCGCCCTCAGCAAAGAAAGAGTGTATGACCCCTTCTTCTTCATGAAGACGACCATTACCAGTATCGTATATCTGAACATGCTCCAAGAGTTCCTCATTCCACAGTTAGACAAAGATGACCAAGAAGGACGCATTCACTTATTACCTTGGAGAAGTGCACGAGTACCTCAACACCCATTTACCAGGTCGGTGGATTGGTAGAGCATCGTCGATAGCAGGGCCACCTCGTTCCCTGGATTTTTTCTTATGGGGATTCGTTAAAGATCGAGTGTTCGTACCACGTTTGCCTGCAAATGTTGTTGAGCTCCAAACTCGAATTACTGCCTCAGTTTCAGAAATGACACCAGAGATGCTACGTAGCATGTGACAAGAGACTGACTACAGGTGGGACGTCTGCCACATTACCAGTGGAAGTCACATTGAACCATAACTATCCGAGGTAAAACTCGATGTGTTTTGCTACATTATGACAGTTCAAAACACTGTGTACATAACCTGTATAAATTTATATAAGCTTTCAAAGTTGTAAAGCTCTTTTTGGAACACACTCTATATCTGGTTGTTAACATGTGAGACAAATCTAAATTCACGAATAAAATACATAAATAGTGAACAAAACTGAAACTCAATTTCTTCCAAGACTTATGTCTTATAAATAACAGCTTTTTTTACTTGAATTAAAACTATAAGACATTAGCACTTATTCTTTAGGCCCATATGCAGTTTCAGTTCAGTATTAAGTTCTGTAGGATTACTTAGGAGGAGGACTGGACAATTTCAAGGCCTACGCCTTAGCGTAGTCGGTTGAGGCACGATGCTACAAGCCGGAAGGTTGCGAGATCAAGTCCCCATGAGGTCATTGGATTTCCTTCAATTGACCTAATCCTTCCAGCTGCACTATGGCCCTGGGGTCGACTCAGCCTCTAAGAGAAATGAGTACCAGGAATTAATTAAATAATTTTCCTGGGGAGTAAAGATCAGCTGGGGCATAAGACCTACCACCTTACCACCATCTTCGAGCCAATTGTTTAGATAATGTGGGACCCTCAACGTCTTGCAACCATATGGGTCTTCAAGGCCTCTTACAGGGATAGCTTTGCTTTTTCTTTTTTTTTACACTTACAATGGACGTCCATGAGTAGTGCCATGATCACATTATTTGCATAGTTCAAGACGACATGCTCTTTGCACTGTGTAGGCATAGCAATCACTGTTACTGTTACATTTTCTTCTTTAAAATTATATTCACAACATAAATTGTCATGTAAAGTATAACATGATGTATAATCAGTATATCATTACTTCCAGTAATATAAATATGTCTGTATCAACTTTTCACTCTGAATTGTCATGTTTTCTTTCAAAGACTATCTCTGCATATTCTACTCTTTATACATCTCAAAGAATAAGAATGTGGGTTTTCCAATTTTGCTTTAGCTACTGCAGAAGTATACTTGGACATACTGCTATCAGTGGCTATTCAAGGTAATTAATGTGAGAGTGTATACTCATTCATAACTCAGAAACTAAGAAATAAATGAAACACAGCTGTCCATCCACATTAACCATAACAGAACAAACAGAAAATGAGTCTTCTTACTAACACATTTGTGAAATAGTTACTAAACTGATCCATCATTCACAGTGAACCAAATTTATGTTAAATGATATTGTAAAAATATTCAAGGAAAGAAATCATCATTCCAAAATGTCTGGAAGATGGCAAGAAACCTTGCTATTCAGTCATTTAAAATCAAGTTGCCCATAAACATGACAACACTGTGATCATATTACTTAAAAAAAGAAAAGTAAAGCTATTCCTGTAACAGGCTGTGAAGGCCCGCAGGGTTGAGATGTCAAGACTCCCACATTTTCTAGACAATCAGCTCACAGATGGCGGTGAACTTGTCAGCCTTATGCGCTGGCCACCCTCCACCCCTGGTACTCATTTCTGTTAGAGGCTGAGTTGACCCCAAGGATTAGGTCAACTGGAAAATCAAATGACATCGGGATTTGAACCCGCGACCTTCCAGCTTGTAGAAAAGTGCCTCAACCAACTACGCTACCATGTGCCCCCTCATTTTATTTATGCTAACTACAAAACGTACTTTGGGAGCCGGGACAGCAGTCAGTATAGCAACTGACTATGTGCTGGACAACCGAGGGGTCAGAGTTTTGAGTCCCAGTAAGATCAAAAATTTTCTCCTTTCCCATGTCCTCCAGACCAGTTCTAGAGTCCACCCAATCTCCTACGCAATGGGTACCGGGGGCTCTTTCCCCGGGGGTAAAGTGGCCAGGGCGTGAAGTTCACCGCTCACCTCCAACTAGTGCCAAGGTCAAGGAAATGTGGATCTATACATCCACTCCCCCATATGCCTTCAAGGTGCAGTGCTTAATTCATTAAGCACATGGATAACTTTACCTTCTACCTTCACAAAACATACTTTACCCTTGCAGCAACAGGTTTCTCTAACGGACGTGGGAGCGTCTTTGCTTTGCGATGAATGGAACGCAACTGTTTGGTGATTACAGCATGGCTACCTTGCTGGCCTAGTGACTTTGTCAAATTTCTTATAAGAACTGCATGTCTGTTGGCATCATTCTTCCCTAGATGGAACTCAGACACTTGGAAACTTGATTCTTTACGACTTGGAGGTTTAACCCTAAAACAAAACATCAGTGTGCAATTTTTATTTGACTTTCAAGCTAGTACAAAATCTGACAAGTTGGCTAAACAATGAAAGGGAAGAGACTGCAGAAAGACAAAATAAACTGCAGATTTTTTTCCATCAAACCATATAAAATGGAAATAATGCTGGAAGAAGAAAAAATATGAATAATTATGGAGACCATAACTGGGAAAGTCAGATTTGTGGTACTGCTACCAGACTACCAGGTATCCAAAAAGTTGTGATCGCTCTCCTCAGCACACCCAGGAAACCTCTAGCACTCTATCAGTACCTAGAAACAGGCCACAAATGCTTCTTCCTTCTGGCCCATCACTTTCACTCTGTTATTCATATCATCCTAACATCGACCAGAAGTTTATATGACCTACTTAACTAGCAGACCAAAGGTACCAGACCTTCCTTGAGTAAATGACAGTTATTCAGCTGGTCAAGACAACAAAAGACAGCCATCAGACAATATGATTAACTAGTTCATACATTATTGTTTCTTTGTTTATTTAATATTTTCTTATTGTGTAAGTTGTCATATACATTGACAGGATGACTGTCGATGATCAGTTGGAGAGAACATGGGAAAAAGTAGCTGTGGCCTATTTTAAAGAAGTATTCTTGCATTTGCTTCAGAGGTCTTGGGTAAACATAAGTGGGAAGCAGTTTATGTCTTTTATTATTCCATCATCTTGAATATGTTGCGACCAGTTATACTGCATCAGGATATTGACTCTTTGTTGCACCTGTGTCACCTTTCGAATACTAGTCAGATGTTTCACTGTTTGGAAACAGTCTTCAACTGCTGTACATTAGTGGGTCATATTAAACTGTTACAAGTGCAGTCACAGATGAGAACAGGACAGTGAGATATAAATTCACAAGAAAATATTAATTTAAAGTTACAGACTTCTTGGATATAATGACATGTGGTTTGGTAAATAAGTGCCAACATTTTGGAGCAAATTGCTGCCTCCATATGCAGGTAGATCTTGAAGATCCCAGAAGACTCTAAACTTAATATTCACCAGAACCTCAAACTTTGAACACTAATTTGTCTGCAAAGATGTAACAATAATTCCCTTTACATATAGAAGTTCCTTTTTATCATACCAATGATATCCTTCCAAGAAGACATTTCATTAAAGGAGCTAAGGGTCACAGAAGAAGACTATGTGTGTTTGTCATGTGGCCCTGAAACACAGGTTGTTGAACCTTGTAATACAGATAATATACTTACCTATATGTTACACAACAAAGGCTATAAATAAGTCTGCACAGAACATACCGTTGTTTAATATCAAGTTGAGACACAGCATCTAACAAACTGGAATGCTGTACTTCATTTATCTCGTGGTCACTGTTATCACTACACACGGCATCAATGTCCTCCATTATGCAATTGATATGAACTGCTAGAAAAAGAAACAACACATTATCATTATTAAATACTAAACAGGAAAGAATGGTAACTATACATGAATGTATCATGTCATAATATCAGTAAACAAATCTAAATTTTAGTATTCACAAAGTAATAATGCTGTTGATATCTATGTTCTTTTGATCTGACACCAAATCAAATTAAGCACATTTAAGATTTGAAGATTTCGCGGCAGTGACTACCCTGAAGATGGATGCGATACGTTCCTCCAAAACGTCGGGTCACACATGATCTACACGATGTCACATCCCATTCAGTCTTCAAATCAAGCAGTTGTTCAATTATATTAGCATCTCATATTTCTGAGATAATGGTACTTTCACTATTCTGGCTCTGTAACACCTTTTACTTTTATCTTAAAAAAAACAGTCCATTTTCATAAATGTGTTAATGGGAACCACTTCCCGCTTCACTGTTTATATTACAAACCTGCATCAAACTGACGTTAATTGAAATGGATGAAAGAAGATAGTGAAATGCATGGTAAATTGTGAAAAATATGAAGTTCTTTATATTAAGTAAAGTCATGTAAGTTATATCATTCATCATACATTTTTGTAATTACTAATTTGAAAAAAAAAGTATACAAATCAAGTAACATAATGCACAATTTTACTTTAACATGAGATACTTTAAAGGAAGAATAAAGATAACAGGATACAATACATTACATTAACCCACACTCTATCTCTTCTTAATGTAAAATACTACTGACATCATATTCCTACTTTATTGAAAGCACGTAATTGACGGCCACATGAACATCACAGACACAAAACCACCAACAAATCATCTTCCGTCTTGTTTTCACGGATCCCCCTTCAGTATGCATCTGATTCTCTGTTAGCATAAGATAAAATCTCTACTCTATCCTTTCTCTTGGTTCCCCTATTCAGTGAACCGTGGTCGTTGGATCGACTTTCTCGCGCGAAACATGTTTAATTGTGTCGTTGAGGGGGTGTTGGTGGGAATGGTTCGTGAATATCTGTGTATCAAAAAAGTACGTATTTATTTCAGGCGCTGCTAATACTTTGTTTAATAATGGGACGTAAGTCTGCGAAGAGTAAGGAGAAGAGGCAACAACGTAAAGAGGAAATTGCTCGAATATCTGCTTCGCAAGCACTTGTGAACAGAGCAAATAATCAAGAGGACCCAATGGCACCATTTTCTGTGTTCAGAAAATTTGAAAAGAATGGCCTTACTGTCACGCTTGAATGCAAATTATGTGGTTCCCTAGATGTTGTTACAATGGACTGGATTTTTGAGCTTGAAAAGAGGAACATGAAAGATTTGTATGAACAATGTGAGTGGGGTTGGAATGATAAGGTAAAGAAGGAAGAGATGACAGATGACAGAGCATGGTATCTTATAGCACGAACTCCCGAACCAGAATTGAAACCAGTTGCATTTTCACATTTTCGATTTGATATGGACTATGGAGATGAAGTTCTTTATTGCTATGAACTGCAGTTAGAGGAAGAGGTACGCAGGAAAGGGTTGGGTAAGTTCATGATGCAAGTCCAGGAACTGATTGGATTTTCTGCAAATATGAAGAAAGTTGTTCTTACGGTACTAAAAGGCAATCCTGATGCAAAGGCTTTCTTTACTGCTCTCAAGTATACAATGGATGAAACGTCCCCAGAAGATAATGTACTTGAACACTATCCTTATGAGATACTCAGCAAAATGAACAAAAATCTGCCCTCTTCTAGATAACTATGGTCAAGACATCAAGTGTTGATTACTATAAATTGTGTTCTAAGATTGTTGATGAATAGGGAGGTGTATTAATAGTTCAAAGCTTCACATAAGCTTGCTATCTATTGTTTCATTATATATCAGCATTTTATTGAAGTATGGTAGTGAATTTTAAATCATGAAGATATGCGACTTAAAAATTAGGACATGTGTTACATTGCAGTAGAAGACATTTCACAGGAGAATATCAGCTGTTAATGAATCAGACTGTTGAACAGTAATGAATGTGGATTGATTGTACAAGTCTTTAACTATGCGTTAAACCAATAGAAATAAAATGTAACACTGATGGATCACTTGTGTGGAATTGGTATAGTAGGAGACCCATACTGTAATTTGAATTTTCAACAAATATGACCAGCACCTTTGGTGCAGGGTCTTGTGAAATCGATAGTCAGCTGCTGAAGAAATATCCTGCATTTATAGGAAGTGAGTTTGTTGCTGTATTAATGATTGTATATCTTATTTCTGCTGCTGTAACTGAAGTATTAAGGGAGGTTTTTACTTTTTTGATGTGATTACCCAGAAATTCGCATTAGTATTGCCAAATTTAGCATTATCAGGAAGTATCTCACCCTCATATTTTAATCTTGCATGAAATGTATTATAAATTTAATGAATAACTCATTTTCACATGTAAGATGCCAACAGAAAATTAAAGACTGTATTTGTTTTTGTTCTGGGATGCATTATATATTAAATTTTTAAATACATCCTGTACAAGTATTTGTGTCGGGCACACTGAAAGAATGAATGGATTTTGTTAAGTGTGTATTGGATTTAAATTGTATTTTTAGAGTTGCGTGTTACTGAATAAACCTATAGATTAAAATATTCAGTTAAGTGATTGATGTTGATGTTTTACAAATATCCTGTATTAATAAACACTTCTCGTAAGTGAAATGCACCATTAGTGTATTTATATCATAAGAAATTATGCTCTGTAAGGAATTTAAAGGTTAAGTTCTTATTCATGTAATGAACAGATGAATGAATGCATGAAAAGTAAGTAGATGCAAATATGTACTGGTCCAAAATAAAATTTGGCTCCTCTTGTCATTGCAGTGTAATGAAATAACAGTGCAGAGCTACTGGTTATTATTAAGTCTGTTAAGTACTGCTATTGTGTTCTTAATAGCAGAGGATTTTTTGTACAAAAGTACATTTACAAATAAAAATTGGTGTAATTTTAACCAACCCATATTGTGTTACTTTATTATACAATGATTTGTTATAATGCCATTTGTTGCACATGAACTAAATATTGTAGTTTCAGTGTCCAGAAGAGGTAGACACAGTACACCAATTTGGAATGCACTGTCTCAATCTTTAAGGTTAGAGATACGGAAAGTAATGGACAAAAATGCTGTTTGCCACCTAGAATCTCTCTCCAGAATATTAGTGTGTGAACTTATGCCAGACTACATGATGTAACATCCCAGAAGCCAGTACTCTTCAGTCACCAGTGTAAAAAGAACCTCAAATCCATGAGAAATGTGTGCTCTTACCAGTCACACAAAAAGAATGAAAATGAATTCATTTGTATTACAGGATAAAGAATAGTCGATTTACCAATTATTAAATGTATAGTGGAACCTCTCTTAACGAGCATAATTTGTTCCAGAATCTTACTCTTAATGCGAAACAATTTTTCCCATATAAATTAATGTAAAATACGATAAGGTGTTCCATGCCGAAAAAATACTCAAAAAATTTTATGTATAACGTTTATTCAAAGAAAATTATATATACATTGTTAAGGAGCGTGAATCATCTTCATCTCTTCTTCTATGCGGAATGAACCAACCTGGAATGTNCCTGGAATGCGAATTCGATTTGCAGAAAAAAAATCGAAATAATTAATTAATTATTTATGATATATCTAATTCTTCTTTTACCAGAAAGCTGTCTAGAGACATTTGTTTTTGCCGATGTTTCAAAATTTGGTGAAAATGTGACACAACATTATCATTAAATAAATTTGTAGCGCGCATAGCCACTGCCTTATTAGGGTGATGCTTCTCAATGTATGATGCAACAGTTTCCCATGCATTCAGCATTTCTCTTATTGCACCAGAAGATTGTTGCTTTGCTGTTACCTCCTCCTCCCCCTCCTCTGACAAACTCTTGAAGTCGCCGATGAAGTTCTCGGCTGCCTTCGTGTCAGAGCTTGCTGCTTCACTGTACCCTACAACCCTGTGGATGCCGGTTCTTCTCTTAAACTTCTCGAACCACCCACGGCTTCCCTTAAATGCTCCTTCTTTGGCCATTGATGATCCTGGTGTCTTCTTAACGAGGTCGGCGAACATCACTTTCGCCTTCTCACAAATGATGTTCTCATTAATAGTGTCACCTTGCAACTGCTTTTCGTTTATCCATATAAGGAGCAACCTTTCAACATCGTCGAGAACACGTAACCGTTGCGCAGATATTCTTGTCACTCCCTTTGAAGCATCTATCTCCTTAATCTTGTCCTTGTTNCTGGTTCTTGATGAATTTAAATTCTTCAAGGTCATCTTGTAGGTCTTGAGGATGGGCAGCAACAAGCGAGACATGGAGTGGCAGATCCATCTCAAGCAAATATTTTTTCACAGAAGGACCAAACACTTCATTGATCCAATCAGTAAAAAGGTCATGTGTCACCCAAGCCTTGTTGTTGGACCTCCACATCACACTTAGCCTGCTCTTCTGGACTTTACACTTCTTGAAGGCTCGTGGAGTTTTTGAATGGTAAACAAGCAGCGGTTTAATTTTCAAATCACCGCTTGCATTGTCACAAAATATCAGCGTGAGACGGTCTTTCATTGGCTTATGGCCAGGCAATGCATTATCCTCTGCTGTTATATAGGTTCGCTTCGGCATCTTTTTCCAGAAGAGACCCATCTCGTCACAATTAAAAACCTGTTGCAGCAAGTAACCCTCAAAATCTACGAGCTTCTTGAAGTCGCTGATGAAGTTCTCTGCTTCCTTTGTGTCGGAGCTTGCTGCTTCACCGTGCCTTACAATGCTGTGGATGCTGGTTCTTCTCTTAAACTTCTCGAACCACCCACGGCTTCCTTTAAATGCTTCTTCTTCGGCCGTTGATGATCCTGGCGTCTTCTTAACGAGGTCGGTGAAAATCACTTTCACCTCACAAATGATGTTCTCGTTAATAGTGTCGCCTTACAATTGCTTTTCGTTTATCCATATGAGGAGCAACCTTTCAACATCGTTGAGAATACATAACCGTTGCGTAGATATTCTTGCCACTCCCTTTGAAGCATCTATCTCCTTAATCTTGTCCTTGTTCTTGAGGATAGTGCAAATCATTGATGTAGACAGACTGTATGTGGGTGCTAGATCAGCCACGCTCACACCTCATTCTCACTTTTCAATGATTTTACGTTTCATTTCTACGGTTATTTTTATTCTCTTATGGCTGTCTTTTTGCAGCTTTTTCTTCGGGGACATTTTTGCAAGGGTTATTAAACTTCGCATAAAAAATTACAAATAATATGTCTGAACACAAGTTTGGAAAAATGTGCATCACAAGTGACACTAAGATGCTAGCGGAACGAGTGCTAAACACAGACTGATGTAGCAAGCGCACAATCCGGGACTTCCCCTCTCGTCACTCGTTATGCGAAACGTCGCTTGCTAAGCAAGTAATTTTTTACAATTTGTTTTGCTTGTTATGCGAATTACTCGTTATGAGAGGTGCTCTTTAAGCGAGGTTCCACTGTATTAGTAATACTTACCATTAACATCAGCTAGCTCAGAGGCACATACTGCAAACTATTTCTGGAAATGCACAAATGTAAAAACCAGGGAAAGGATCATGTCAAGTGACATACAGTGTTTCTCAGTTAGTGTGCTGCGACATTCTGAATGCAAATGCACTTCAACACATTTAACAACAGTTCATGTAACTGTGGTAAAGAGTCGGATCTTTCTATACATCTTGATGGTCTGTACTGCTGTTGGTGCCTTGGTATTTTCTGTATTTATTATATATGTTACATAGTGCTCTTTCGAGAACAACCATTTTTAACTTCATTATTTTATTACTTTTTTCATGTATTACACAGTTCTAAACTGCTGGTAATCTGTTAAATTTGTTCTGTGAACATAACCCATGCACTACACACTATGCTGCCACATGGACAACAGTTGGGAAACACTGACCTAATACCATAACAAGGGATATTAATTATGAATGACCTCAGAAGAGAAGCTTAAAAAAATTATACACTTTATTATTACTGTTCCCCCTCAACATCTGACATCAGGTCTATTTTATAATATGCATTATTATTTTATATTTTCACTGGCAAAGAATTGTACACAATTAAATGATAATTTATACACAGACAATAATACTAATAGAAAATTGATAATTCACATAATTCATTAGTACAAATCATAAGAATTAAAGAGAGTTGCTGTGGGGCACTCACTGCCCATCATTTCTCATAACAGATGTATCCCCATTGGTCAAACATGTTTCATCATCATCTTCATTGTAATGAAGAGAAATCTCAGAGTCCCGACGTACCTTCTTAATTAGAGGTACATTGTCACTATCATCACCGCTACTGTCATCACTGGGATATGTCCGTTTCCTCACACTGACTGGGGATCGTTGAGCACGATTGTTATCCTTCACAGAAGCCTCTACTTCGTTATCACTAACATCTGCAATTTCTCTTTTGTTGGTTTTACTTTCTGTTTCAGCATGGTTTGAGTCCCTGGATTCAATTTCCTCTTCACCAATGTCTTCTGCTTCAAGCTTGATAATCAATTCACCAGAATCACTTGATGATTCATCTTGATGTTTAGTTCTTTCCCATTCCCGTTTCAATGCTGAGACAGTTGGGCTGGGTGGTTGCAAATTGACTGACTCATCTGATTCCTCGAAAGTTCTTCCTTCCGGCTCCTGGGGTGAACGTGGTGGCCTTGTCCTAACTTCACAAGACACACTATCTTCTTCAGGAGGAGGAGGAGGAGGAGGAGGACTGTGGATTTCTTTGTGTGCACTGGCAACATCAACAGATTGCTCTATATTAGCAGATGAGGGACTACGTACAAGGGACTGTACTGGTGATGTGCCAGGATCTCTACATGACCCTCGGTCCGAAGTCCGTTCTTCCCACCCTTCAGAGTCTTCCTCCCCTTTATGCTGCACTCCATTATGGCATACTGGTGTCCGTGGTCTGGCTTCCCTCCCCACCTCACTATCTACCATATCTTCCTGATGTTCAGATGCTGTAGATGCATTCCCATTCTTTAACGATGTGTTTTCTTGCTGAAGACTAGTCACTGTGTCTTTCGCCTTACGTAGTTCCTGTTGTAGGTAATAGATGGTGCTTTGCATCCCTTCTACATCTTCATCTAAGTCTTGCAAGAATTCATCCAACTCTGAGAACATAATCATGTAACAAGCAATGATTCTGATATTAATGCATCATTTCTGACAATTAAAACCAATAACACACAGAAAACTTAGGATAATAACACTAAGTGCACACGTAAGTTATATTCTAATTTGTTTTTCCAAATATGCCAGCAATTCCTCCTCACCTTCTCTATGTAATTAATTATCTAATATAGCTATAAGGTCAAATATCTGATGGTAATAAACACTGTCGACTCTACTGTGGTCTTCTGTGTTATGAAACTATCACACATCATGGTGTCATAACCCAGGAAACTACAACACGAGTCTTCACCACCATAAAACCATAGTTACAATATCTGTATTTCACATTAAAATAAATACGGTAGGCCACTATCTGCTATTTTACTGTAAACCACATTGTTTTCCTTGCGGTACACTGAACGGCTGACTTAATCCAACATAAATTTGGTATAGTACTAGCACAAATTCAGTAGTGTCACCATTTTATTCTGCCTAGTGATTACATAAAAATCTGACCCAACAGAATGAGACAATAGCAAACTAAAAATGTATAAGGTGCTTCAAATATGACCAGGAGTGATTTTTTTTAACCATAATTGCCAAACACTTACTTGCACGTCAGTCTTCAACATACTCCCCTCAGGAGTCAACCGTTTTTTTCCAACGTTCTGGAAGCATCCTGATGCCCTTTTCAAAAAAGGCTTGTGGTTGGCGATGTATCCACTCCCGAACAGTCTGGATGACGGCGTCGTCCACAAACTGCATGCCTTGCAAGTCTGATTTGAGCCTTCTCAACAGGTAGAAATCACTTGGTGCCAAATCAGGACTGTATGGTGGATGTGTCAGAAGGTTCCATTTCAATTTCCAGAGGGTTTCCATTGTTTTGGCTGTATGGGGGCATGCACTGTCTTGAAGGAAGGCTACCCGCTTTCCACCTGTCTTCCGCTTGGATCAGAACTTTTCCTTCACGTCTGTTGCCAGAAGGTCTGAGTAATAAGCTGCACTGACTGTTCTGGCATCTATTAGAAAGTCTACATGGATAACCCCCTGCCAGTCCCAGAAGAACGTTGCCATCACTTTTCCTGCCGAAGGGCTCTGCCGCGCTCTCTCGGGTTTGGGAGAACTGGTATGCCGCCACTCACGTGATGACTGCTGGGATTTGGGAATGAAGTAGTGCACCCACGTTTCATTGGTGGTCACTACAGACTTCAAAAATGCATCACCTTCGTCTTCAAACTGCTGAAGGAGATGAGTGGCAGCTTGCATGCACACCATTTTGTTCACATCCGTCAAACTGCGTGGTACCCACCGTGCATTCACCTAGTGATAGTGCAGGTGGTATGTCACAATGTCTTCTACACTACCAACACTGATGGACAGCATTGCTCAGAGTTCTTTGATAGTGATGCGCCTATTCTCACGAATAAGCACATCTTCACGATCAATATTTGGCTTGGTGACGGATGTCTGTGGCCGACGATCATGCGGTTCATTCTCCACACACTCTCTGCCCTCTCTGAAGCACTTACACCACTCAAACACATGTGTCCGTGAGAAACCTTTTCCCCTTACTGTTGTTGGAGTCCGTGGTGAATTTCAGCAGACGAGACGTCTTCTCAAACGAGGAATTTGATCACAATGTGTTGTTCCATGCTCCGTGGTACCTTCTGTTCGCTCATCACTCTAGCAACTCCCAAACAGGACTGAAGAGGTTTTAACCCAAACAGGAGGGAGGGTGGAGGTTGTGGCTTCACTCTCTCAAGGTTGCACAGCTGCTGCACAGTGCGGCTTGTTTACACACAAATCAGTCCCGGTCATATTTGAACCACCTTGTAGCAAAAATCCAAACACAGTACAAAGCATCACCCTAATCCAAAAATTTGAACATCCAAACTCTCAATAGAGCATACAAAGCCTTTCCTTATGTCATCAGAAGTCATTGACATTCTTTGAGGATTTACTGTCACATGTTTATATGTATATTGGATAGGAAAGGATAAATATTATGCTGACTGAAAATTTATTTCATTATTTGTACTGACATCACAATATGCAAAATTAGTGTTTATTCTGAAAATTAATCAGTCAAGGGCAACAATGAGGATAATATTTACCTGACTGTGATTTCTTCACTTCCTCACTGAAACTCTTCTGAAGAGCCAAATCACCTTCCAATTTAGCCAGTCGACCACTGTTGATCATGCGACCTAATTCTTCGTTTTCCTGGTACAGCAAGCGACACTTTGCCATCAGCCTTTTGCCTGTGTTACTTTAAAACAGAAAGTAATGATAAGAAAATGCCCAGAACTTACTTCCTCCATGGAACACATTCCTTCTAGAGAAGATGGTATTTTCTCAGTAACTCAAGAGTTCTCCTATCTTCTGTGGAACCTGAAGGTTCATTATCATGTTTGCAAACGTTTGCAACTGGTCCCTACCTTAGCCAGATAATTCAATCCAAACCATCCAAATTTATCTCTTTAAAATCCATTTTACAGTATCCTACCTATGATAGGTCTTCCAAAAGGTCTCTTCCCTTCATGTTCTCTGACGAAAATTCTGCCTGCATTTCTATCCCATGCATGTCAAAGTTTTGAGCTCCCCCTTAAGTCACTATTTCCTACATGTGTGTCATATATAATATTAACATATCTGGTAGTTGGTTGAGGCACTATGCAACAAGCCAGAAGGTTGCAGTTTCAAGTCCCGATGAGGTCACTTGATTTCTTTCATTGACCTAATCCTTCCAGCCGCACTATGGCCCTTGGGTCGATTCAATCTCTTAACAGAAATGAGTACCAGGAATACTGTTGGGGGTAAAGGGCGGCCGGCGCATAAGGCTGACAACTTTACTGCCATCTATGAGCCGATTGTCTGGAAAATGTGGGAACTTCAACATCTCACAACCCCATGGGCCTCCATGGCCTGTTACAGGGATACTTTTACTTTTACCGAATCTAAGATGCAGTTCCATTCCACTTAACCTCTTGCCTGTTCTAAAAAATATTCTATGACTGCCAAATTAAAAGCCTGATGTTTCTGCAATTCATTTACTGTTTTCAGCTGTCACAAAACCAATACAAGCAATAGAAATGCAGGTAACTCATACTGTCTTATGAAGACAAATCAGTTTGTAAGATACTGCAATGAAAAAAAATCTAAATAATAACTGACAATATGGTACAGAGATATTTGTGTAAAGCTGGTAATTATTACTCTTGTCAAGAAATTACTTTGTTATTAACTATGGGTTCATAACCATCTTCACAACCACTCTCCTATGAACCATCTGAATACCTTCTATATTTTGTAGGCACCCCACATAGTCTCCTTCAATGAGGTTATAAGACACTAACAGTACATCCCAGATGCAACATCACAAAAAAAAAAACCATCACTGGACAAGATCCGGAGCCAGTTCCATCCATCTCCCACTCTCACAGCCCTCATGGATGAAGGTAAAGTCCCTGTGCTTAATTAATTGAGCACTACAACATGAAGGTGTATGGGGGAGTGGATGGAGATCCATGTATTCTTGACCTTGGCACTAGCTGGAGGTGAGTGGTCATCTTCATGTCCCGGCTGCTTTACCTCCAGAGAAAGGTCCCCCAGTACCCATTTAATAGGAGGCTGGCTGAGCTGCAGAACCGGTCTTGATGACCTGGAGTAGAAAAATCTTCCCACCAGGACTTGAAAGTCAACCCCTTAGCAGTCCAGCCCCTAGCCAGTTGCTATAGATATTGCACTAAACCATTTCCCTTATATCCACCTTCTTTGGGTCTTCCAAGGAGACTGTCCCCCAACCAAAAATTCTGGGTACATTCATCATCTGCCTTATCCTACCTACATGCCTAGTTTTTTTTTCTGTTAATATCTGCCGTATAGTGCTGACTTGAAAGATGGCTGAATAATGAACTGGAATGATTTCAGAAGGAAGTAGCTTTGAAAAAACTTGGAGTGGATAGTTGCGTGTCCCAGCTGACATCTGAATCAAGCATCACAAATACAAGTCTTGAGCATTACTGCTACATCAACCTGCCCAGCTGCCCAACCTACTACAGCCTCCCAAATTTCAGCCTAATACTGTGTGACCTGTATAAAACACGGATTCCCTTCCATAATACTATGTATGACACATATAAAAATGAGTGTACATACTTTCTCGTATCACACTGACCTTGACTAGGCTGCCTTAGAAATAAAATCCACTGTTGCGTGGATTCTTGGTTACTGAATACCAAACAACAATTAAAGTCGTCTAACTGGTAAGGCAGGTTTCAACAAAATTAAACACTTTGTTTATGGGCCCCTAGAGCATATACAGTTATCAATGTTATTTAGGGGAATGATCTCCATAAATTACTAAACTTGAAAACAATTATGGGAGCTGCTTTTGAGAATAATAGCCATTTTGTCTTTGGGGCTCATCTGAAGGGCACCTATTTTTGGAGCTGATGTTTTCATATTCAACAGATCTCAACCTTTGACAGATAAACTACAAATACTAAATATGAATAAAATCTGTCCAACCATGAAGGCACTAGAGATGCATTTATTCATATATAATAAAGACAAACGGCATTCCAAAAATGACTTCATCGTATACAGGGCAGCTTGGAACATGTAAATCCATAAAAATCTCAAGACTGATTGTTTTCACAATAGGAATATTTTCTCATATACAGGGTGGGGTGCAGAAACTTCTTCTTTGAAGGTGAATAAAAGGAAAATTATTGCTGATAGACAACATTTATGTTTAGCTAATGAAAGAACATATTTTAAAGTTTTAAACAAAATACCTTGAAGGTGGTGGCCACCATTCTCTATGCACTGATGCAACCGTTTTCTGAAGTTCCCCTCTGCACGTTCCAACATGTGCACTGGAATTTGGGCTACTTCCTGCCGAATAACATTCTTCAGCTGAAGCAGGTTTGTGGGGCGATGTTTAAAAACCTCTGCCTTGAGGCATCCCCATAAAAAAAAATCACAGGGCGTTACATCAGGTGAGTGTGCTGCCCACAGGATGTCACCTCGAAGTGAGATGAGCCGTCCAGGGATCTTTGCCCTCAAAACTGTCATCGAAGCTTAGGCTGTGTGGGCCGTGACACCATCCTGTTGGAACCAGACATTTCCTAGATGCATTTCTTCAAGAGCTGGTTTGAAAAAGATCTCAAAATCGACTGTTGAACTGCCTCCACATTTTCTGGCATCGTAACGGTCCACTGTCGTCCTGATGATTTTTTCACCACACTCCCAGTTGTCCTAAAGTTCTCTACCCATAAAACAATTGATTTCCGGTAGGGAACCGGACCTCTGGGCTTAATTCCCAAGTGAGTACGGAACACACGCTGCACTGCCACGTAGGAATGGTTGTTCGAAAAATAGGCGTTGACAGCAAACTCGCGATGCTCACTCGTCCACCTCATGTTTCCTACTGAGGGGTATTAGATAGAAACTTCTGCAACTGCTGCATTCGCCGAGCCTATCCCCACTTTTCTGCGACCTCCCCTCCCTTCACAATGCGTCTTCACAAAAAGGAAGTTTCTGCGCCCCACCCTGTATATTTCATATATGAGAAAGTACAACTTCATCCTTCATTATGTGACAGCAGATGGGATTATGGCAGTCCAGAACAACAGGATAACATGTTCTGATTTTCATTCCCCTACAGAAGGACTTCAAAGAATGAACAGATGCTAGATGACTCATATCCATTATATTCTATCCTGAAGGGGACCAGGAAAGAAGTGTTTCATAAGTTATAAGTCACTTGACAGATTACCTATCGGGTGTGAACTTCCATGCACTCAGCTCATTTTGTGTCTCCTCAAGGCGTGCCCTAGTTGCAAGAAGTTCCTGTCTCAGACGCTGAAGCAATAGGTTCACTGCTGGGTCAAGCAGGGCTGAGCGAAGTGCAGCAGCTCCTGGGGCTTGTGCTGCCTTCAACTCAGCTATCTGATTCTGCACAGAATAAACTCCTATCTTATAAATGCAGGAAGAAAAAACCTGTAGAGACAATAACTATGGAACAGAGATCATTACTTCTGCAGAAGAAACTCTCTGCTAACACACCCTGAATATCTAATACCAATAATACAAAAAGGCCACCACTGAAAAGAATTCAAAGCTAGTTCATAGTCTTAACCTACCCAGTTAAACTCACGGAACAGTTCCATTCAACGCTCTTTTGATCTAAGGGCTTAGACTCCTAATAGCTCTGAACTGTGAAACTCAAAGTTCCTGTAGTAGTTCCTACTGATTTATCTTAACTATGGTTATTCATAATTCTATATAGTATGATTTGGAACTGTAACAGAGTAGGACAGTTCATAAGGGCTTTCCAGTCCTTATGAAATAAGTCAAGCAGAATAAAGTTTTCTAGGACTACTCAAGCAGAAGCTTTAAGACTTCTGCCCCATGATATTCCTGGTTCCAACCTTCTGCCCCGTTTCTTCTCAGAAACAGCGAACAATTTCAATTCCTGCTCCAATACACTAATTACCTTTCTGTTACATATCAGGGAGGTTATTCATCACTGAAACAAAGCTCATCAATTAGATCTGAACTCTGTAAAACAAAGTTATATTAATGGCCAACACACAACATATTTTGAAACAATCCTCATTAAAAAGAGTACTATATTCTGGGATACACCATGTAGTCTGTCAAAAGTTAATGGACATTTCAAAGGAACATATCACCTACATCTACAGAGTCAAAGAATAAGCACAACTCTGCTTGCCACCTACTTTCATACTGGTTTCTTGCTCAGCTTATTCTTCGACCCTGAAGATGGAGGCGATATGTTCCTCTGAAATGTCGGTTGACTTCCAACAGACTACGTGGCACTATATCCCAGAAGACAGAACCCTTCATAACCACTGTTGTGAGTACCTACAATCCTCACTATTCTTATCAACAATCTAAAGTAACATTAAGTCTTCCATGATGATCCCGGGTCTGGTCAAGTGGGATTTGCGGTGGACAAAGTGGCACTGGGGCAGGTTTTCTCTGAGTATTTCTGTTTCCCCTGCCAATCTTCATTCCACCAATTGCTCCACAATCACCCTCACTTATCATGTGCGGCTGGCACAATAGGCCACAAGTGGCCGCAGTACAACGGACTTAGTCCCACCCCACTAGCAATAAAAAAAAAGTTTTCCATGAAGAAATCTAAACACAGCAGACAATTCACTACAGAAACACTTGCCTTTCGTACAAACTAAAGCTCTCAAAACGTTTATAGCATAAGGATCTTACTTTCAATACAGTTAAAGATGTTAAAAAAAAAATGTGTCACCATTGCTCCTAAGCACTGGTCCGGTTACAGCTTTTGTTACCATCTTATAGATGAAATGTAATTACAGCGTAAGACTACATACCAGAACAGGTGACACTGTTCAAACTAAAAGCCTGAAAAACAACACACCCTACTCTAGATGAAATATAAAATAAAAATTCTCATTATATAATTTTCTTCATTGTCTTTGGACCTTTCTATGGATGCTTATTTTACTAAAAACACAGTTCAGTATTCTGACAAAATAAAGCTACTGTTTGATAGTTTTTGTACATTTTTAATATAGGCATTAACTAACACATACTGCATATTCCTGCATTTCTTGTTCCTTGGTGGCTAGCCGACGGACAAGCACTTTCTCCCGTTGAGTGGACTCAAGATTTTGTTGCCGCAGTCTATCTTCAGAATCTCTAAGATTTGCCAATTCAGCTGTAAATACAAAATCAGAAATATAGTCAGGAAATTAAATACATCCAACTCAAAATATTTCCTATTAAAGAAAATCCTGCATTAGGTGACAGATGAGATCTACACATAACACATATTCTCCTACATCTGCAGCAGTATTCTCAAGAATGTCCCTTCCAGTAATTTCACGGTAAATTAAACAAAATCACTGAAACAATGTACTAATTAGAAGAGATCCCAAGCATGTGAAGGATTGGTGCAACCAGTTTGTGTAATATTTATGACAAATGCAGACTGAATGCAATGCTATGAAAAATTAATGTTCAGTCATAAATAAAATTATTAATTCAACAGTACTAGTTATTTCCTGTATTCAGCTAATCATGAAATTCCCTGTCTTCATGGCACCCAAAGTTTCATCTGAGTAATCACAAAACACCACCACTAAAGAGAAAAAGCTTTCTTCTTTAAAAGGGGGGGAAAATTAAGGTGATGATGAAGATTTGGCATATATATATTCTTGGAATGACATTAAAAATGCACATTTCATTTACACATGGTGTCTGTCTGTATAGATATCAAAGTGAATTAAACTTAAATGCAGCGATACTCATGTGACATTAGTTTTATACACTAATCAGAATGCATATGAGTTCAACTGAAGTCCATCAAAGAACACAAGAGATATGTGTATAAGGTACTGATTATGATAGCCTTAAAAAATAAGATCAATGAAACTTATATACGGCAAAAGCTACATAATGTGCTACATATCAAGTTCCATCACATTCATAGAGCAAAAAAAAAGAAAAGAAAAAGAAAGTATTGTATATAAACATTCAATTCAGTTCAAGCAAATGGGCCTTAAAATTAACCAAACCAGAACAATCACAAAGCAGTTTAACAAAATGTACTGTACATTTATCAAACTGTTTGAATGAAGTGAGCCCAGTGGTTTTGCTGCTATTAAAACTGGAGAGAATCGTTGTACATTTAGATGGGAGGAACGTCTTGACTTATTTACCCAAATAGCTCAACAATTTGTGGGAAGCCCTTAGGTAAAATAAGAGTTGGATAAAATATCTGCTCTTCATTAATTTATGTATGTTATCACAGATTTTCTAAATGTAGGATCAGTATTTGAAAAAAAGAACCATATTTACATGAAACAATGAAATGTGCTACAAAATATATTGGATTTGAAGTTCTCATAGCAGTGGCTATGAAGAGTTCTGTCTTCTGGGATATAACGCCATGTAATGTGGTGAAAGTCAACCGAATTTCTAGAAGAGCATAACATCTCAATCTTCAGGTCTGAGGAGTAAACCAAGCAAGAAACCAGCATTCAGCAGCTAGCAAGCAAAGCTCTGCTGGTTGCCTGCTTCATGCTGGTTTTTTGCTTGGCTTACACTTTGACTGTGACAAATGAAGCACTATGTTCCTCCTAACCATAGGGTGACTTTTCACCAGGCTACATGGTGTCATATCCCAGAAGATAGAATTCATCATTTCTCTTTGTAGTTTATAGGACTGCTCCTCCATCATGAACCTACAATTTGTACATGACATAATGAAGAGGAATTAACAGCACCGGATTTCAGATATATGAAAGTTCCAATTTGCATTAACATGCAAGCACTCTCATTTTAATAGCTTGTTTCCTTTGTACTTTTAAGTACACATTTCTGTTATGTGGTATGTGACAACAATACAGGATGTACAGATGCCAGGATGAGTGTTACACAGTACAAAAGGTGAAATACCTGGAGTAACATATATTTATGTATTATCTCACTGTAGGAAAAACACATAAAAATCGTTGGTTAGAATGGAATCTGAACCCTACATGTGCTGTGACCATTCTTCTTTCAAGACATTTATACTGATTCAAGAGATCTTCATACCCACACTGTAACACCCTAGGTCTGCAGCCAGCCAGAGTCCTACTTCACTTTGCTGCCAATATCTTTTTGCAACACAAATGATGTTTAGCACTCATTCAGTCTGCAATAGCTACTAGGACAAGGATGATGAAAACAATGATCAACAAGATGTTTAGAAAATGAAATGCTCCGTCTTCAGTATACACAGTACTCTCTTGGCATTAATACCAAATAGTGTTTTAGTGAGGGAAATAATAATTGCAAATCACATAAGTAAACAAAGAATGTTCATATGTTTATGGGATCATTGTAACAACAGAAAAATGTTTTAAAAAATGTAAAATGTTACTGAATGATCTTCATAATATTACTTCCTTAATATTTAATTATGATTTATAGTTGCAAAAGTGTGAATTCTTTTAGTGTGGAAAATCTGCTGGTTCATGATGTAACTTTCATGTAAGCTGACTGACATGGTTTCCAGGAAGAAATAAAGGCGTGAGGATGAGACCAAAACACGAAACACAAGAGATGACAGAAATGTGTTGAAAGCTACTGGTGCCCAGGTATCTGAGGGTAATGTTACACACATTATGTTAACACAACTGCACTTACTTCCTCCTTTCTCCCACCATTTCACTTTGTGTGCTGTAGCCGACATTTTCCTTTCTGGTCTTTCATACTTCGATACACCACACCTACTTCAGTTAGATGGAACAACAGCCAGGCAAATATTCGGTTAACATAAGCTCTGCCATTTAGGTTGTGTTGTATAAGATGTCTTACAGGTGGAGCAGGTCACTGCAATGAAGCTATTTACTTTCTCCCACTAGATGCAGGTTGAGTAATTGCATCTGCCACCAGGATCATATGAATCAGTGGTTCCATAGCTGACAGCCAGTGGGGCAATAATGGGCAATAAAGGCGTGAACTTCTTATGTCAATTATCTTGAAAAGCACAGTGCCCTAATAGCAGTTTTACAGAACGCTTACCATGACTTCTCTGCTATCATTTCCTTGCAACTACTCCTACACACCATTAAAAAAAATCAGTTGTCCATAAGGACAATCTGCCACTTACTGAAGCACTTCTTGTGCACTTGATTTCAGATGGACACTCAACACACCAAATCTAAGAGATCTAACACAAACTAGAGAAAACACTCCAAACCAAATACAAGCCGCTGAATTTTATACAAACGAGAATGCTGCTGTAACACGTGGAGGATACATCACTTCTCTGCTTCTGTGAACACAATATGCTACTCACTGTCACTTCAGTAGGCGAACAGACTTCTATCTGGCCTATGCTATACTCACTCACTTGATTTAAACTACATCAAGTAGCACTGCAGAACACTTGACCATTCACAGAATGAACACAATATTGAAATAAACTAGTGTTTGACCAATGGATCTCGAACTATGAAGCTTATGTAAGGCATATAGTGCATTAACTGTAAGGAAAATGGTAAGCAGAAGTACAGAAATCTCCTACAAATAAGGCATAAAGGATAAGGAATGAAGAAAGGCTTCTTTCAGCTCGAGATACCTTGGCATTATCATGCAGTTCCATGGAGACACTTGAGACCATGTGATGGCACCAGCATGCAGGAACAAACATTTTCTTGTTGCAAATGACACACATATAACTGTTTTGTTACTGGTAGCTTCCTTTGTACCAGACTATCAACATAATTCTAGCAAAGTTCCAACTTGTTTGATGATATATTTCAAAACAAAATATAGTTTTGCAAATTCCAGTCACAGGAAGTCTATCTTAAACACCAAACCCTTTGACTGAAATTCTGTATTATTGAAACAAAATCTGGTAATGACATATCATGACACCACCATGATACAAACAAATGTATATATTCTACTTGCATAACAAAATTTATGCTCCTTGTGACAGAACTTCATTATTTTACATACTGAGCACATAACTACTTTCTTACTGAACCTCTGTGAAAAAAAAAAAGAGTACAATGTAAGTGCATCACATTCTCTGTCTTGGTCATTAAACCAAACCTAGGATAGAATACACTTTGTTGTTCAGTTAATTCAGCTGTCTCAGTAACAGCTGTTACCTAACTGCGTCACATCTTCAACAACTTTTAATCACTAAATTAATATTTACTTACATAATTATTATCCAAACAGAACAGCTGTTTATGCTGACATAGTATAAAGTTCAAACAAAGGATATGTCACCATTTTGACAATATTATGGCACAAACTGGCCTTAACACAAATACATATCTTACATTTTGTGTTACAATTATTTCCAATATGATGGCCACAGGTCAGGAATCATGACCCTGACCTGTAAACTCTGTATCTAGCTACCAACTACTGTTTCATCAGCAACATAACTGCAGAAATTAAAACAAGTCAGTTTATTTATTGAAGACAATTCCTGAGAAGTAAAAACAATCGTGCAAAAGAGATTTGTGATGCTAAGATTATCTGTAGGTAGCTTTTCCCAATTATCCAGAGTACAGATTCTAATTGGCCAAATTCAGCTGAATGTATCCTCCCTTTAGATCTATATTTTCAATGTCTCAAAAACGGCTTATCAAATGAGGGAAATTATTAAAACAAAGATATAACATTTACTTCATTTATTCCACAAGATTTATCTGGGACATTTAATTCCAGGAATAACAGTTGATCAGTTTTCAGCAGCCATGACAGTTCACAGTGGGTATAACCTTATTACTCAGTTAAAGATTCTGAGTCACATATTCAAAGGAAGAAACTGCTCTTATATCTGTTTGCAAAGTCAACATTTCTTTATACCACGAGATAGTCGTAATTAACAAATATGAACATACATGGGGAGAAACACAACACATCATGACAATGGGTTTCTTGCATTTAATCAAATCCACCTCTGTGACCCCATAATCTCTGCATCACATATGTTTTATAGTCACAATACCATGTTTCTTATTTATATGCACATAGCAGTATCTGCCACTGTCCACCACTATGACAAAGTAAAGAGGAAGATTAGCTCTTAGGTGTAACTTTACCTGTGTACCAAATTCTACAAAGCATGTCCATACAATCTGTATGCATACACAACTGGTCTATTTACCATCCTGTATTCATGGATGTGTTACAGTATCTGACATACGAGACTACAGCTTCTGCTATTTTTTACAGTTCAAATTTTACTTTCTCCAGCTAAAACCTCATTTTTTTCTAACACTCAAGTTATTATTTCATTTTCTTCAAAGGCTTGCATGAACGCCCCAACTGCAGATAGGACTCTTATGGACTGTACTGAGTTCACTAATTTTTCCTCTAAACTGGTCACCAATTACTATTATATTTCAGTACAATATCTTCCTTTTTTGTTAGCACTGAAGAACACAGACTCCCCACACCAAATTATGAATATGCCCCTTCATTCAGAACTATGTTCATTAAATAGTTACTATAGGATTCTGACGACGGTGTATAACACACAGAGATATTGGGTTTTCGGACTTTATCCATCGTCCTGGTTTTTTAAGATAACTAATAAATAATAGTTATCTTAAAAACCAGGACAATGGATAAAGTCCGAAAACCCAATATCTCTATGTTCATTAAATCTCTGCTTTTGAGTCCTTAACATTATAATGTAATTTAATCTCCTCCTTCCGCTTCAAGAATGTTGCACAACAGTATGCCGTTCTGTATGTCAGTCTCTTGACAAACTTGCGGAAGGGCTGATATCATAAGGCACCACCATAACACTCTCACACAATGCATTTTCCATTTGGGGGTTATTTTACAATAACATCAGCAGCTAGACAATAGTGTCAAACAGTAGGACGACAGGTGAATAATGAATTGGAAAGAATGCGGATGGAATCAGTTGTAGCTTAATCAAAGTACTATCCTGGCATTTGCCTGGAGGGACCGAGAAAAACATGACAAACATCAGTCAAGATAGCCAGTGTCCCAGCTGATATTCAAACCAAGCAGCACCCATATAAGAGTCTTCAGCATTACCACTATGCCAGCCTATGTGGTTACACAGTGTTACACATTCATGTATGCACTTTCATAACTGCCTTCAGCTTGGACATTGGTACTAGTACAGCTTGTCAACAAGATAATTTATAACAGATTTGTATCTGCATTAAATGAACATCAAGGGCAGTGATGTATGTAAACACATAAGGAATGCATTTGAAAAACTTACTCTACGAGGCATAGCCACAAAATAAGTTCCATTTGCAAACATTACCACTGCAGCACTGCACGTGTGCAGAGTTTGTTGGTCCTTTTGGAAGGCACAGACACCATCTGCAGACAATCAAACTGCGTTTATGCATCGTCATGTGTGTTTACAACGTTCAAGAAACTCGAGAAGCCCATCTCATGTGAAATGCGGTCCGTAATCCATTTCTTGAATGCAAGAAATATGAAACCGCCTGACATTCACTGTCAATTTTGTGAAGTGTATGGAGAACATGCCATGAGTGATTCAATGGCACGGAGATGGGTAAGACACTTTAATGAAGGGCACGAAAATGTGCATGATGATCTGTGAAGCAGTCAACCGTCTGTGGTTAATGAAGATTTGGTGCGTGCAGTGGAAGAAAAGATTCAAGAGAACAGACAATTCACCATTTCGTCACTTTTCATACATTTTCCACAAATTTCATGGTCACGTCTTCATGAAATTGTGTCTGATAAACTTTTTTCGGAAATTGTGTTCATTTTGGGTGCCGAAGATGCTTACGGATCAGGCCAGTACGTTGACCTTTCTGACACAATACAGTGAGCAAAGCGATGACTTCTTGAGCCACATAGTCACAGGGAACAAGAGACATGGGTGTCACACATAACCCCTGAATCAAGGCAGTAGTCCATGAAATGGATGCACACATCATCGCCAATAAAGAAAAAATTCAAATAGACCATTTCAACTTGCAAGATCATGTGCACAGTGTTTTGGGACAGACAAAGCGTTCTGCTTGTGCAATTCTTGCCTCAAGGCTCAACAGTCAATGCAGGTGTCTATTGCAACACACTTAAAAACTGTGTAGTGTGATCTAAAACAAGCAACATGGCATGCTTAGTTGGGGTGTTGTGATGCTTCATAGCAATGCCTACCCATACACTGCCACCACATCACAGAATCTCATTGTGACATTAGGCTGGAAATAATCTGATGATCTCCCCTACAGCCCAGACTTAGTGCCAATTGATTTTCATGTGTTCCTGCATCTGAGAACTGTCAGAACTGGTCAGTGGTTCCATGATGACGAGGTCAAAGAAGCCATTAACACAGGGTGTGCATCGGAAGTGGCATCGTTTTATGATGCAGGGATACAAAAACTGGTGTCCCACTACAAGTGCCTCAACAATGGTGGAAATTACCGTATTTACGCATGCATAGGCTGCGTGCATGTATAGGCCGCAGCACAATTTTCAGACAGAAATTATAGAAAAAACAATTTTCTTGGAATATTATTTCAGGAATATTACACCCTGTATTACTAATTATGAATATAATTTTTTTTTAAATGAAGTGTGATTTCGAATATTTTGAATATAAGCCGCACCCCAGTTTCCCTCTTGAATTTTTGGCAAAAAATGTGCGGCCTATACATGCGTAAATACGGTATGTCGAAAAGTAACATATGGTATGTACCTCAAAGGGTTGGAAATAATTTTTTTTAATAAACCATCGGAACTTATTTTCTGGATAACCTACGTACACTGAATGAGCTTTCAACTGTTCTACTTATTCAGTCATCTTGGTACAGTAATAAATGAACAGCAAATGATTCAAATCATATCTTCTAGAAAAACCTGAAATCAGACTCCATTGTACCTATACTGCAAGGCAGTAATTATCACAAGTTTTGTAAATATGGGAAAAATGGAAATGGCCATCAATGGTAGCACCACTCTCTGCTATTATAGCAATGTCAATGGGTATATGAGAGTACACAACATGTGTATCCTGAATGTATAGAGAATGTAAAGTATAGTAATTACGAAAATAAAGACCAAAGTTTTGACAACAAACTTAATTTTCTTCTCAATACATCCACTTTGAGACAGAATTCTAATCATCTGCCTTCACTGTGTGTAATCCTTTGGTCCTTTATTCTAGCAGATAATGCTTTCTTGATCTATATATCACATTTTTTTGTTTCCACATGTATTCAATTCAACCTGTAACAATGTACAACAATGAGAACACAAACTACCTTCTTGATTTGATGTTTGGGACTCAAGCATCTCCACATAGGAGTCCAGTTCTCGCCAATTTCTCAACAGATCTTCATGACTTATTGACTCAAGCTGCTGCTCATTCAACTTAATACGTCGTGGATGGCGACTATTAATTGTAGTACTAGGTGATGCAGACAGAGTACCAGTTTCATCAGACATAGTTGTAATTCTATAATTAGAAAGAAATACATATATTTCTCTATACTTCTGCTCATCAGTAATCCTGCTTCAAATTTTATATTTAATTATCAAACATGTCAATTCCAAAAGGTAAATTATTAATTTTATCATTCTGTCCAATAACAGCAGACATTCATTCTGAATAGGCTGAGCCTCAACTACTGCCAGCAGTAAAACACAGGTAGCAGAAGGAGATCCATAAGAGAAAATGATGTAATAAACAAAAACTAATCTAAGAAACTATTTACTTACTTACTTACTTATGGAGCTGAGCCCTTCTTGAGGAGCCACTAAATCTGCAGCTACTCAAGAATTTCCCAGGATTTTATAGAACCCGAAGGTTCATTACAGTGTTCACAAGAGCCCTCCACTGGTCCCTATCATGAGCCAGACCAATCCAATCCATACCATCCCATCCTATCTCTCTAAGATTCATTTTAATACTGTCCACCCACATACACCTTGATCTTCCCAGTGGTCTCTTTCCTTCTGGCTTTCCCACCAATATCCTACATGCATTCCTCTTCTCCCCCATTCCTGCTACATGCCCTGCCAACCTCATCTTCCTTGACTTGATCATTCTAATTATACTTGGAGAAGAGTATGAGTTATGAAGCTCCTCATTATGCAGTTTTCTTCAACCTCCTGTCACTTCATCCCTCTTCAGTCCAAATAATCTCCTAAACACCCTGTTCTCAAATACCCTCAGTCTATGTTCCTCCCTTAATGTCAGAGACCAAGTTTCACACCCATACAGAACCACAGGCAAAATTATAGTTTTGTATATTCCAATTCTTATGTTTTTTGACAGCAGACAAGAAGACAAAAGGTTCTGGACTGATTGGTAGCAAGCATTACCTGAGTTCAATCTCCTCTTAATTTAATCCTGAATCAGGTTTTGATTTGTTATCACTATTCCCAAGTATCTGAACTGTGCCACATTTTCAAAACATCTGTTTCGTTATCATTTTGTCATGATTTTGCCCTGCATGTTGGTGACGAGATGTGTTCTACTCTTGTGGCTGCATGCGATGTATCGTTGGATCTGATACAACACATGCAGCCACAAGAGTAGAACACATCATAAGACATAATATACACAAAACATTAGAAACTTAAGAAGAACGACCCCCATGTGGATGATCAATAACACGCACGAATTTAAAATATGACGTATGAGATAACAGTTTTCAACAAGTTTTAAATACATAAACTTTATTATTATATAAGGACGTACACAAATTTAATATTATTTGTAAATGGACATATAAAGGCAAGCAATGAAATGGTTGATGGATTGATACACCTGAAGATGGCAGCATACTGCTGAAACATGTAGTGTAGAAGTGGTAAATGAGACTGTATGCACTTGAAGACTGTTAATACATACACATTATGAATATGAATCAATGCAACAGGACACGAAAATACAACATAATTCTGAACATCCTTCATGGAACCACAGATTATGCTTCTTCAGTTCATGATAACCTAGACTATCCTTGGCAGAAATTTTGATATTCTAATTGCTTTCCCAAGCTTGCTGTCCATGAGCAAACCCTGGACAACTTCAAGAACCTCCTCATCAAGATAGACAGGCAGCACAAAACCTGCCCCATACAAGAAGGATGATAGGCATATGGACAAGAACCTACGTGGTTTAAAAAATTTTAACTAGTGACAATAAAGGTTTTTTAAATTAACATCTAGAAACTTTAAAAACTTTACAATACCAGGAAGCTGCTGTGATTGTGAAATGTTCGACTTTATGCATACTGTGCATTATAGAATATAAGTGTATGTATTTTAAATCAAAACACCTATTGTGATGGTAGTTTCCAGTTCGTAATGATGTGCCCTCTGAAGATGGTCCATAAGGACCGAAACATGTAAGGGAGATAAGTTTTCATGTAGTAAAAACTTATGTCACATTGGATGGAGTGGTTTGTATTTATGATGGCAATACTACCACTGGATGGCTGGACACGTCACTTAGTGATGACCATACCTTAATTAGCAGTCAATATGTATTTACCGTTAACTAAAAAACAATGTATTTAATGGCAAACCAATCAACACAAATATACTTTACCACAAACAAAAATAACCAATTCCACACACTACCGACCATGACATCGACGGTTGGTCCTTCAAATGATTTCACATATCATATGTTTTTCACTTCATATTTACATCTGTACTTATATTATGACATGGTCTACATTCCTGGCATATCACTATAAAAGTTCTACGGAATGCAAAAGAAAAAAATTGATATAATCAATTCCCTGTCATTTACACAATAATAAACACACAGTATGACTCACATCAGTAACAGCTCCACTCACACTTATTAGAGCTGGAGACGATGGGGGAATTAAAGTTTAGGTTCTGTAATAGATTAGGGTTATATTGCCTCCATGCTTTTACAGCTCACCTCATTCAACGTGCAACAACAAATACCACGAATAATAGGTTAATTAATAGCTCTCGCAGTATAACCGAATATTTTTTCGTTATGAACTTTTTGTACTTATAATCTAAACGTTCTAAACGTATATAGATATATCTTTTCACAACTCATAAAAGACCTAAAAACATAATCGATTCCAAAAACCGCGATCACATCCGACGAGTTACCTGTGAAACATTGCACACCATGGGGGGGGGGGCACAGGGCGTTCTCCCTCACAGTTCCATTGATCAGTATAAAGTGACTACGGATCAAAGCATGAAACAAGACCAGAGATGCGTTGTCTTTCTAGCTTCTTGCATTTCTTAATTCTCAACTAATCGTCACAATAATTACATAGATAAAGGGAGACTGTGTTAATTCTAGATGCAATCTGATATTAGCAGACTATGTAAATCGTGTGTTTAAATGCATTCGCCGTTCTGAATTTTACCGGAAAGCTTACAGTAATCGAAGTTTGTAGAAATACCACGTATACACAATTATGGTGTATCCAGTAATTTACTTCAGTAATAATGCATTCCCATAATACGCATGTTTGATTTACACGCTGTGACTAGAACCGATTCCTTGGTTAGAACTGTGCATTATATTTGTTACACTGATTGATGTATACGTGATACATGCAACTTTCACATTGTGAGTGGAATTTCGTAATGCTGCATATCGTATGATAGAGACCGGTAGAGACTATGGGCTAATACTATTGTCACTAGATTCTTCATTGTCCCACTTCGACCGTTATTATGATATATAATAACTTCTCTAAGCATCCATACGAGCTGATGCATAGATATTAAAACCATGTAGATAGAGATATCAGCGAAACATTTGAAGGACCATCAGAACTACGAAAATAAGGTCGGAAAGGTTCATTAAATAGCTCTAATCCATACTCGCTACATGGTGTTTATTTAATCGTATTGCCACGTGTATGTCCTACTACAGACAGGGTTTCGGTTGATGAATAGATTTATATCTGACGCGCGCGCGCACACACACACACACACACATACACATTAACACAAACTAGTGTTCTCAATGCACTAGCCGTTTCCTGGCAAAGGATTTTAACAGAGGAAGTATAATAGCCTCACTGAATTACACACTCCAAATATCTCACATAAAGATTTCTCTTCACAGTCGCACCCTTACAACCAACTATTTCTTCACAGCCTCCTGTACAGAACTGAATTCTCAACTGACAACTGCCTGGATCAAGTCCGTCAAGTCAAAGTCAAAGTCACTTTACGCCTTTGCGTCAAGTCACTTGATACACTCGACCAGAGATCTTTTTCCCAGCTGAACAATTTCAGTCATATTTGAATCTGAATTCATTTACGTTCCGTAAAGCCAAGCACAGGTTGACACCTTAGGATATGGAATAAGTAAAGTACAAATACATAGATGTACAATAATAGTTTTGCTTGAAAAGTTAATAAGATTATAATAATAATAAAAATGTAAAGCTATCCGTGAAGGCCCATAGGGTTGTGAGACGTTGAGGGTCCCACATTATCTAGCTAGACAATCGGCTCAAATATGGTGGTAAGGCTGTCAGCCTTACGCGCCGGCCGCGATAAGATTATAATACAGTATTAATATTACAGTGTTAATTGGATACATAGAGCACTGAATACAAAGAAGCAAAATGATACAGTAACGTGCTTGGGAATACACTTTAGCTTAGAATTGTTGCTAGTTACTGTTTGTTTACATTGAAATGTTTATCGACGGAGTAGATGGTGTGAGTAAGTACCTAGTGTTTCAATGCTGTTTTAAATTTCACAATATTACTAGTTGTAAGAGGCCCATAGGGTTGTGAGACGTTGAGGGTCCCACATTATCTAGCTGATTTGGCACCACATATACACGGTGCCAAATCCCAGAAGACTGCTTTCTTCAATATTACTAGTTGCTTTTTAGAGACTTTGATGGAGGATATTGAACACATGTAACGTCCTCTCTGACTAGAAGATGGGGTTTTCTCTTAGGAATACGTTTCGGATGCTTGGTCTTTCGTCAGGTGTACGTATCGCACACACAGCATTCGTAAAGGCTATGACAGCATGCCTCCTTACCGATATTACTCTCGGCACTGGCGATTGTAATTTTGCAGGATTTGTCATGCTTTTGCATATAGATGGCAGATGTAAAGCATTCGTGAAGTCATGCCGACCTTGTTTCCCAGCAACGCAGAGAAAGTCTGTAAGCGAAGATGGCGAATGACGTTTTGGCGTACAGGAGAGAAACACGACGTCGGCGTATTTTGGAGAATTCAGAAAGTAGATTGCAAAAGATAACTGGGAAAGGCGATAACATATCGAAAGGTAATATCTTAATGGTGTATAATGTTTGTTATTTTACACTGAATAAACATGCAGTCACTGCCCTTTGTGCAGACAATGAAAGTGCAGATTTCTAAAGAAAAATTATCTCTCATTTTGCAGTGACATTTGATAATGACGAAGGTTCATTACGTACCCAGAATGGTACTTCCTTGCGACAGGTGAAAAATGGCGAAGTTCAACTGATTGCGAGTTCTCTTGGTTATGTTGCTGAAAGTCATGCAGTAGGGTGCAGTTTGGGGCAGCCAGTGAAATGCTATCGCCCGGAAATTAAAACTCTTCTAGAGCCAGAATACTTTGGCACATTGAGCTCAACCAGTGAATTGCCTAAACGCATGGAAACATTTATTTCAACTTCATCCAGTTATCATTATGTTTATGCTGCCAAATTGCATTTAATTTGCCTTGCTGTTTTGGTGAGAATTATGCTTCTTGTCAAATGTGGCTTTATATTTGGAGAGGTAAGATATGTGTATTTAAGTATTTCAGATTCTTACAGTCGTGTTATGAATTTGGATGAGCTAAATATTCTATAATTTCTGTAGGCTGATTGTGCATTATAATCCCTTTGTTTGGTTAATGAACCTGTAGGATAGGAGATGTATCCGACAGTCCTGTGATTCTTCTTGTTAATTTACAGTATATACGTTCGTAGTTAATGGCAAAGTGTAGTTATGTAGGTTGATTTTCACCAGTCTGCATGGTGTTATATTCCAGAAGGTAAAGAAGTTTTGTATTCATTCATTTTTATTTGGCATTCATAATTGCTACAACAGTAACGCTCGAACAAGTCACATCATTAAATACATCATTCTTTAAATTCTTTTGCCCAAATGCCTAAAAGATTAGAATTTGTTAACAATATATAATCACGCTTTACATGGTAACCTGTAATTAAAATATAACACACTATCAAACCAGATAAATAATCAAATTAGGTACAATATGTAAAATGAAATGCAAGGCAACCGTATGAGTTCATCAAGAGAATTTTAAGAGTATTGAAATAAATCAAGAGTCCTACATATGACCATGTCAGTCACCGAACACATTAAGATACTGCAAGCAACCATTATCTATTTCCATTGCTGAATAGTGGTTTTGCTATGCTTAATACTGTCCCTTTAAGAGGAACTCATACACTGTATAGAATGGATAATCTACTAAAATACTTTTAGTCCATGTTTAAAGTCTTTAGATCCATCTGATTTTCTTAATTCCAAATTCAGTCTGTTATACAGTTTAATACCTAAATTGATAACACTTTTCTTGAAAGTTGATGTGTTACAATTTGGCACATGAAAATCATCTTTCCTTCTTGTATTCATTCATTCATCAATAATCTGTCAGATGACAAGTCCACAATCTCTTCCAAAACAGTTCCTGCACTTAATGCGATCTCAAGCTTTCTCCTTCAATTAAGATATCTTCTTCGGTCTTCTTCCTCGTCTTTTGGGCACTTCTATCTGCCCCTCCGGTTTGTTTGTCTCCAGAGGAAACATTTCACATGCATGGTATCTCTGTTTTTTTTTTTAAGAGACTATCCAGGAAAAGTGATAATGTGGTAGTTTTTCCATTTGCTTT